GTCTGGAGGTTTGAACAGCGGGTGGGCGGGTGCGATGAGGTCGCGGTCACATTGCGACCACCTGTGGAGGCCATCGTATGCGTTGATGGGACACTGACAGTGATCGTCAGCGACGTGCATGCTTGGCGTATTGGGAACACCACGGGAAGATATCAGTAGCCGGGCAGCGTAGGCGAGTGTATTTGAAGAGCGGTCGCATGCGATAGTGATGCGACACGCGAGCACCACAACACACCAAGCGATCCTGTATCTCTGTGCAAGCGACAAGAGATACAGACGTCACTGCGTACGCACCTCTAGGTCTGATCATGCTCGCAAATGCACATCGTTCTCTCCGAGGTTATATCAGTTGGCGCGCGAACTGCGGCGGGACGGTCCTTGAAGTATGATGTGGCGACTGTCGGAGGGTAACAGCTCGTTCAATACGCGCCTGTCTTGCACTGCATTCAGCATTGGAGGTCGGAATGATGGTGGTGGCGTTGTGCGACTCACCAGAGACTGCCCGTTTTGGGTTGCTGCCCAGTGCGCCCATTCGAGACATCGGGCCGCAAGCAGCGTCTTCAACGCCAGATGTCAGATCATGCACGCTCGTGACTCCGAGCTGTCTGTGAGGAGTTGCGAAGTGTATCAGTTAGAGTGTGCCACGAGAGCCGGAGCATGCCCAAAGACCATGTCATACCTACGACACAGATTGTAGATCCGCGACGGCCAGGTGTCCTATGTACCGTTAGCTGGCGACATGCATACACAGAATCTCCAAGGGCATTCTGCATGTGAGAGAGCCTATCAGGCATGGCGAATGACATCACCCGATTGCACGGAGAGGTGTCGACGGCTGTGTACGAGACAGGCGTCCGTGCGAGCTGCGTACCACGACGTCCGAGACGTGAACACGACTCTGCGGCCGTCTTTGACTTCGATGAGACGTAAGACAGCATGTAGCGATCAACGCTCGTCGTGCATTGTGTGACTTGAACGACCATGACCTTACGCGTCTCCCCGCGCGTTCATGGCAAGACACCGGCCAGCTCAAGTTCCTGGGCGTCCCCTCTCAATGAGTAGACCTGACGTCACGCGCGGCCAATGCGCGGTTCTGCCCAATGGAAGCCACCCTCCACCCGATCCCTGAGAGTCTGAGCGAGTGCCTCTCAGGATACCGGGGGACACGACTACTCGGGCACCCGCACTATGTCCGTCGGACGTGGCCACCAGTGACGCGAGTTCGCCTTCGCCAGTGATGGGCGGACGGAGTCGGTGCTGTATGTGGCAGTTGGCGAGTACGTCCCGCGCGCTGGAGCAAGTGCGGGCTCGCCAGCTCATGATCATCACCTGTAGGGTGTTAATGACGGTGGGCGGGAGAAACCCCGGGACGACTTACGGAGCCTGGGTACTGTGGTGGCTGATGAACCCTGTGTACATTGACCGCCTGGGGCTGAGCACGAGCGCCGGCGTCAGCGTACGTAGGCATTAGCGTAAGTTACTCCGGGGAAAGGAAGAGAAGAAGCTCGAACAGATGGCGAGGAGGCGGCCACCGAAAGCGGTCCGACGTTCGATGGGCGGTTGCGTGCCTACTGGGAACGAGCGATGAAGATGGAAGGTACTCTCGAGGCGGCGCCACCAGCAGGATGTGAATGATCATAGAAGAAAGGCGCAGGAGAAGTGTTTCCGGGAAACAAGAGTCATCCGCAGTTCCTTCCGAATGCAGTCTTCCACGGGATCTTACGTCCGTGCCTCTGAAACTAGGAACCGGTGGAGGTGGATACGCTATGCTGATCGTGTTTGACACTTCGATACTGCTTGCTAGGTATAGTCAAATTCGGCCTGCTTGGCTGTCCGCGCGCAGAGAGTACGAGAGCCGCAGCAGTCATATGCATCTTCCGAGGACCCTCGATTGTGATGAGTAGGACAGCATGGCGCAGGCACGCTTGGAACAAGGTGGTATGGGCGCGTGTGTCGATCGACTTGGAGCACGGCGAATCACTCCAATACGTACAGCTGCTGGAGTCACACACAAATTCTGGGCAGCGAACGTCAGCAATCCACACCGAAGGTGCTGGACTCAGAAGGAAGCAAACCAGGAACGGGACTAGGAGAGGGGTCAATAGGTGGCGGTGAAGCCTACTTAGGAGGAGCAAAACTGCGCATAATTTGAGTCAGTAGAAGTCAAAGAAACAAAACAGAACGGGAGAACAGTACCTGATCCGAGGGCGGTTGTACGTATGCCACATTTTGACGGTCTGGACCTGCCGTCTAATAGGCCAAAGCGCATGAAGTCGGTCCTTGCACAGAGGTATGTTCCGTCACTCTGTGAAAAGATATTTCAGTACGGGGACTGAGACGAAGTATGGGAAGCACATCTAAAATGGGCCTTATGGCCTCAGAGGGTACTAAGTTGAGTCAAGGCGATGTCTTTCGACGCACACTTACCTCTTGCCACGAGACGTGCGTTCCCCCCGTCGTTCCGCAAAGCATTCCTATGTAGGGCAGGGATGGGGGGGAACCGGGGTCGTATGATGCTGTAGTAATGAGTAGTCTAGTACGTAGGCCCATGGGTCGCAATGTTGTAGCTAGTGAGCGCTGGCACCGTCAAGAAGTCGAGACGCGCGTGCGCTATCGGCCGGTGGCTAAATGGACCCCCCTCCTCCTCCTCCTCCTCCTCCTAGAATGCGTTGCTCCAGAGACGCGATGCTGATCCTGATGGGTGTATTGCTCCCTGGGTGCAGTCAAAATCGGCCTCCTTGGCTGTGCGTGCGCAGACCGCCACAGCAGAAGTACGCGTCTTCCAGGACAGATAAGACAGATTCCGTGGAACAAGGCTGGGCGAACGTTACCTTGTCCGTAGGTTGCTGTTCGTATGCCGCATCTGAATGCGCGGCCCGGGGTCGCTTGACAATAGGCCAAAGCGGGCTGAAGGGAATCGTCGAGTTAGGTAGGAGTGCGTCATCTGATCAGTCCCGAAGTGGCGAGCAATTGCACAGCTCTGCATTCTTGCGCACCCAGCGGAAGGTAACAAGCCAAACACATACCGAATAGAACGTCCGCATCCGTACACAATGCGACGTCGCACCGTGACAAAAGTGGCCGCGTGCGTCCGCGAGCTAGCGCCACCGTAGCGCCACCGCGACTGTGACGAACCGCCGGCTATTGTGCCGCATTTGGGCGGTGACCATACACAAGTGTCGCGCCGACGCGAAGCACGAAATTTGCGATGACAGGGCCGTCGTCCGCTGATCGACGCTTTTCTTCGATGTAACAGATGCGGCGGCTCGGGGCGCCAGACAGTCTGAGATGGTGCCGATCCGAGGCCCGTCGTTGTGTCGGACTGGAAGGAGATGGGCCTCTCCAAGTCGAGTAGCACTTCACCGATGCGGTGCGCCGTCACTGTCCCTCGACACACCGTGCCAGTTCCAGTGCGCGGACGTCCCGACGTGATATGATGGCCACCATCAGTCCCCGGGTGATTGGCGGGGCCGCAAGCATGCACGGTTGCGAGAATGGGGTCGTGCGAGTCCGGTGGGGCGTGCTCGCTGCCAACGCCGCATCACAGAGGCACGCACTGACCAAGGCTGTGCGTCGCGGCGGGCGGTGAGAGCGCCTGGACAGAACTGGCCGTCGGTCGCATGGCCTCGTTGGGGCCTTCCTATTTGGGAGATGTCACGGTGGACCGCGACGGTGGCTGAGATGGTCCGCCACAAGCGCGTCGAGCGGACTTCGAAACCTCTCTTGCCTCTTACGCTCGTGCTTTGGCCTCTCGTGCTGATCGGCACGGAGAGTTACGAAATACAAGCGTGGACGAGACAAAGGCCGCGTGCGAGGGGAGTCATTGGTCGCGAAGGTAAGCCGCATACAACCACCCACGGACAACGCCTTGAGGCAACATTGATCTTCGCGCAGCCACAAGTATGCATACGTTCTTGTGGAATGACAGAATGAGATGGCTCGCCTTCTCGTCGTAAGGTTATATCTGCTTTGTTCCTCCGCTGAAGCGTTACACCAATAGGAATGTCATTTCCATCCTTCTCTCAGTGGACCGGATGTGTCAAAGTCTCCTGGGATAGAAGTTAGAATGCGGCTGGACGTCGACCACCGAAGGTGGCCTGGTACAATATTAGGCAACTCGTAGGCGTCCTACAAAAGTAGTGCACTGCGAGGTATGTTCTGTGCTGACCGCCGTGGCTACTGACTACAAAGACTTTGCTGCTCCTGCCGTCCGTGGCGGGAGCCTTCGAGGTCCTTCCGGCGGTGGCCGCCCGTCACAGGCGTGACTATCCCAATCGGGAGCGGCCCCAACGCGGGCAACCGGAGCTTAGACGCTTGGACGTTGGGCCGAAACAGCCTTCCAAGGCGACAGCGCCTTTGTGCTCGTGCTTATATATTGCTGGCCAGTCGCTCGCGAGAACGCCGTCAAATTTCCCCGCCCTCCCCTCCGTCCCCTGCCGCACGTTCTGCACGTCGCACTCTGCGCCCGCGACATTGTCTGTGCATTGACTGGATAAGCCTGCCCGCCGCCTCGAGATAGGGTCGCGTTGCGCCGCCACGCCAGTTCCGCGCCGAAGGCTCAAGTGTTCACACGGTGAGTGTTTGTTGCATCCCTTTTTCCGGATGGGTCGGTGCCTTTGCCGGGCACGAGGCGGGCTGGCGCCTGGGGCAGCGAGGCAGGGGCCCGCACTGGCGACTGGGCTGAGCCGATAGGCTCGCGTCTTGCCGGGCACGCGGCAGGGGTCCCACAGCGCGAACTGTTGCCTGTCGCCCAAATTCGCGAGAGCAGTTCTGATCGGGCAGGAGCGTGATGGGGTGCCACCTCTTCGTTTATCTGCCTCGCCTCTTCCCAGCGGCCCTTCTGTCGCCCATGCGTCAGCTGTACGCACGCCCGCCTGCCTGAGCCCTTCCGACGCTTCTATACATCGCTATACCCCGCGTGCTCACTTATATCCCACCAGCCTCTCTCCGCCGCCACCGTTTGTCGCCCATCGCCACCGCGCCTACTCTGCTACTCCATCATGGCCGCTGTCTCTGGTCCCTCTACCGCCCGCCATCCCTCGCCCTTCCGGAGAGCAAACAAGATCTCCTCAAGACCGCCCCCGGCGCCGTCGAGCGGTAGTAGTGGGCACAGCGCGCACCACGGAATCGTGAGTGTCTCCTGACGTAGCAACGACTCAACCAACTCACCACTCCTCTATAGCCCGACCCGTATTACGGGCACGAAGAGACAGCAAAGCTGTGCGGAAGGTTCGTGACGCATTTATTTGCGTGCCCCGACCTTCCGCCGTTATCCACCGCCAACCCGCCAGCGCCGTCGCCGCCCCTCGCGCTGTTCATTGCATACGCCCTGCATCGAACGCGGCTCCATACCTCCGTCACTTTCGCCGCCCTCTACCTGCTCCAGCGACTAAAAGCCCGATTCCCCGCCGCTCGCGGTTCGTCAGGCCACCGCCTATTCATCTCCGCCTTCATGATCGCCTCTAAAGTTATCTGCGACGACACCTATTCTAACAAGTCGTGGAGCATCGTTGGCCAGGGCATGTTCGCCCTCCGCGAAGTCAACCAAATGGAGCGCGAGATGTGCTCTTACCTGGAGTGGCAGCTCAATATCGAGCCGGGAGCGTTGAAGGAGTTCGAGGCGAAGGTACGGAGAGACTTCAAGGGCCAAGGGCCATACCCAACGTACGTCCTCCCCACCCCAGCGCCGACACCAGTTCCCTCGACGACACCCTACGGTGCCACGTCGACTGCAACGCCAAGCTTCGCCGCACGTCCGTCGACGTCGCCGCCAAAGCCCACCCCCATGCCCGTCGACACTCCCCCAGCGTACCCCAGTCCGCCGACAAGCCCCGACACGCCCGACACGCCCGAGCAGTCGTACTCGACCTCGACAAGTCCGGCCTCGTCCGCGTCGCCATCGACGCCACCGGGGTTCGTCGACGCCAACATCCGTATCGCCTCGCACAGCACCCATGGGACGCCACACGCGATCGAGCAAGACTCCGTCGCCGCCGTCGTGCCGCCGCCACTGCGAAAGCAGACGAGCAAGTCGCTCTCGCGCTCGAACACCCTCGAGTCCATCCCCACGAAGGAGTCCCCTTCGATATCGACGACGTCAACCGACCACTCTTCGACGGCGAAGAAGGCGAAAGGGCAGGACTGGTACGCGCACGCGGTGCCGTGTGTGTGGTAGAGCCGTCCGGCGACCTGCCATGTCAGTTTTTCCTCATGCTTGCTTTCATCCAACTGGCCGCCGCGCATTCGCTGTCGCGCGTGCGGTCGCTGTCATTCCCTCTCCTGGACACCGTGCTCGAGCATAGGACCCTCTTGCCTCGCATATTGCTGCATCCGGTTCGTGGCATTTCTTTCTGTCGTCTCTTACATTGCTCCTCGTACCCCGCCGTCACGACCCGTTTCATCGTGCATTGTTTACGTCTCGCATGTCGTCCGCGCCCTCTATAGTCTCTCGAGAATATTTGCATGTCACTGTATCATTACCATACAAAGTAGCTTATCTATAGTTGTACATGGTCTCTGCTTAGGGCACTTCACTATAGGGCAATCCGTCTTCAGTTATATAGGTGAACATAGGCTGGCCGTACTAGTGTTAACGCGCTGGGAAGAAAAATATAATGAAGCTAAACACTGCAATTCCTGTCTTGTGTGATGTTCGAGAGGCCTTACTTAGCTGCGTCCAAGGATTGGACTTGAACAGTCTGTGCGCCGGTTGGGCGCCTTCGTCGCTTGCCCTCAACGTTCACCCCGTCGCGCCCGCCGTTGTCTCTCGCTTTGCTCTTTTGCCGCTACGCGGGCACGCTCAGCAAGGTCGTGGCCGCCCCCGACCGACATCAGCGCAACTTCTGTCTTTCTCGTCCAAATCCGAGTCTGGTCGAACGCGCGACCGGCGACGACCTGTTCAGATCTTCCAGCATCTGACCCCCAGTCAGCCCTTCCTTAGCCTTAGCCCGTCTCCCTTCCGCCGGACCCTCCGCATGCTCTCGCTTCACCGTGCGTGGTTTCCGGACGCATATGGCCGGGCGATCGTGCGGTCAACGTTCAACAACGCGCCCTTTCCTCTCTGGGCTGCAGCCGCGCGGCTGCTTCTAACCTGGGTTGTTTGGCTCGGCGACCCCTGGATCGAGCGCAGACAATCTATCGCGACTCGCGAAAACCATTGGGCTGCCGCGATCGCGCAGGTCGTCGTCCGATAGTCGGCAAGCGCATGGAGGGCGCAGTCGTCGAGGCTGACTGGGCTGGGCGGTCGCGGTCGTCGGTGAGTCTAAACTGCTCTCTACGGTACACGCTGTCACTACAGGTCGTGCTGGGGCTCCGCGCCTACATAGGTCATGCATCGAGCACGGAAGCAGTTCTCGTGTGCTCAGGGACCTCGGAGTCAAAGCTTCCGCTGCGGCCACGGGCCTTTGATTAAATTGTCGTCGAGGCGTCGGTGTATCACGCCCTATCACGACACTTAGGGGCTGTTTAGACTCGATCTACTTGCTACACGACGGCTCTCTGCTTTCGGTACGCCCATGACCACACCACCCAGGACGGCGGGCACCTTACTCAACACTTTGACAGGAGCCTGGGCGTTAGCACTCCGTACTTCTGTGGTTGGCCGGCGTCATGAATTCAGAGAGGTGCCCTCTGGATGGCCGCCGCGGTGCGTTATCCAGTCAGTGTGCCGCTTTGGACGACGTTGAACCGCAGAGCCTCTCAATTATGCTATCCTTGCTATCCCTGTGCGGCGAAGTGCACGTTCGTGCCAGCCATTCATTTCGGCGGTAGTTCAGGCCTCAGACGCGAACTGGACGCATTATGATCATCCACACATGCATTCTTGAAGCTTGTTTCGCGGAACCGACGCAACCTCAGACTTCGAGGTCAATGATCCCGGTTCCCAGTCTGCTGTCAACATCGCCGTCCAACTTTCGTGGGTTCCAATCAAGTTCCAACGCTATGACCTTATGCAGCCGTCGCAAACCCCTTTGCCCAGGCTGAACTCTCGCACTCCAGCCTGACGATTTTGCTGCCAGGACGCCTGTGTACGGGCCCCACGGCGCTCGAGTCACTCTACGTTCGCGGACCTGCGGCGCAGTCCTCTGCAGTACTTGGTGCCTTCGCCCCACTGCCCATGCAAGCGGCTTTACTCCACTCCAAGAGAGTTCGCCCTAGCCAGCTCCAAGAAGCTGTGTACTGACGCGCATACAGTCGCATATGGTAGACATGTCCTGGACTGTTTCTGTGACCCCGTGCGGACTCCCGCGAGCTGGACGCCGTGATCGATGCGCGACGCTCGCAAGGTACGTCAACACAGGTACACATATACGCCCCTATTCTCGCTGTCACTGTGTCGGAGGATTATCGTCCTGCTGAGGCGCCATATCTTCGGCCATCGCACCACCTGCCGATACAGTTGTCCTTGTGCGCTGACCTGCGCTGACCCGTGTCTTCAGAGCTTATGGACATTTGCCATTGCCGTCGCGTGTCGACAGCTTGTCAAGGTACGAATGTTTAGCTGTCGCGTTCGAAGATGTTTATGCTGACTGGGAAGGTATCAATTTTGTCTGTTGACCCGATACGACGTCGGACCATTGTCGAAGTCAGCCATGCCTCGGTCACTTTCGTTGAGCCACCTTCTGCAGCATTTTGACCACGCTGTGCCGAGGACATATTTCCTAGATACTCTGCGCGCGACCTCAACAACTTCATCAATCGCTCCTGTCTCACCGGGACTGCCACAGCATATATCGTTCACTCTCGGCATGCCATAGCCCCCCTGTATGTCACTGTTCAAACGTTCAACTCGCAGCAACGCATGTAGCAGCTTGACATCCGCATAATCCTCCAACCTGCCTCTAGCCAAGCGGCGGCATCCCGCCATCCCCCCAAACGCCGGCCGTCGTCAACGGCGGTTGCGTGACGACTACTCGGGTTTGTCGTGCATCTGGAGGACAGACGCGATATTGGAATTTTGTGCAATTTTGGAAGGTCGAGAGCCACGTGCTGGGCGTGTAACTCACCCATCGGAACGCGGCAGAAGCGTCTGATCATATACGCGACCCGACACGGGCGCGCGCCCACGCGATCCGGGGATAGGCTTTCCAGCTGGCGCAGGCTGGCTTCTTGTGTACGTGTTCGCGGAGGCAGGGGAGGATGCATTTGGGCAAGTCGCGTCGGAGCCTCGGGTCGGAAGCTCTCGTGGCTGCGATCATAGGCCAGTTCGTCCTTCTCGGATTTTGAACGCGGCAGAACCAAACGTAGGTGATACGGGGCGGTCCGGTGTCTCTCTCCACCAGGCTCAATGCTCTATCGGTGGTCAGCTTACTGCAGGGTCCAGACAGGGTGAGACATCGATTCTCCCAACGTGCTGAGTCTATTGTATGGGAGACCATGCATTACGTCGTGAAGTTGGTCTTCGAAGACTTCGGTGCGTCTGAGCCCGAGCTTGAGCTTTGTGGCGTCGTGATATGCCGTGTTTCGGTGTTCAAATCTGACCACTAAAGTTTGTTGTAGCAGGTCCGAACACGGAAGGTGGCAAGATGACTTGTGGTGGCCCGAGCGCCGTGGCTGAAGTCAGGGCCGTCTTCTAGCTAAGGAGACAAAGCTGAGTAGCAATTTCTCATAGGTGGTGGGGACAATGAAGTCCGCGGTTGTCACTGATTGACACGTTCTTACAAGGTGAACTTGATTGGCCTGAGTGCCTGGGAGGGATCAACACGAGGAAAGAGGTACGCTGGGATATTCCGATATTCGTTGTTATTGATGCCATACTACGGCGTCATTTCCACGCCTGTCGCTGAATCGCTTTTGGAGGGCCGCTTTTGCCATGATAGCGGACACGTTACGAGTCGCAAACATCAACGGACATGCACGGCACGATTTTGCGGGCAGTCCTTCAGACAGCTCGCGTCTGATTTTTGACTCGGCTGCATAGCGCCGTCGTGGCCATGGGGTTGCACGATTCGTGGATTTTTTCTACCCCGACATTTGCATCCGTCTCAATGGCAATATGACGAACCCAAAAAGGAGAGCCTCTTTCCCCTTTGATCGCACCAGGATCGCACTCACCGGCTTCTCACCCCGCACGCTTGTTTGTAACACCCACCTCCGCGACGCTCCCCTACGCTCCCGCGCCTCGCGATGTGGCAACAAACTTATGGACGTTCCGCCGGTCGCCTGGATGAACATTTGAACAACCGCGCGCCCTTCCTATCTCAGCAATTGTAACCTTCCAGAAGCTCGGTCCGACGCTCCCCGGACGCACGCCCGATTAGAATCAATTGCAATTGCAACTTTGTAGCCGCACGCGCCTGACTGCAAAACGCACGCTGCGGCCTCGAGGCTACCGGTTGCATGTGTATGGTGTCTGCTCATGACCACTCACCGCCGCCGGCAGCGCTCATCAGCAACATTGGTCTGTGCGCAATCTGTGCGTACTTATCCGGCGCCTCCGATTGACCGCATATGAAGAAAACACCTCTGTTTCCGATTGCATGAACCTCCGTGCGTGCACCGCTCATTGCCCGTCCCCAAACGCATTTGATCCAGTGTCTGGACAGGATTCATATTGACCGCTTGACGTCGAGCACTCGGAGCGGACACGTTACTGATCATGCGATTGTCTCCGTTTGTCAATGCGCGCTCCGTCCCCATCAGTTGGATGAGCGGGGCAGTGAGGAAGATGATCGACCGAAGCATTCACTCGACGTTCCAGTACTACACGGCGTGATGTCTACGTGTACTCCAACCACCGAAGCTATTGTTCGTTGTCTCGGACCAAACCAGAGCTGGTGGTATTCTGGTGCGTCCCAACAGCTCGGCTGATCTCCATTATGTCCTCACATGGCATTCCTTATAACTTATGCATCGCCTGGCAACCTTGAAGTCCAACTCATGACTGCGCTTACACAAGGCCGGCACGTTGTCAGCTCAACTAATGCTACACGGTGCGTCATACATGCGAGGAGCTCGCACGATGGCCAGGATCTGCCAATTACCTCGCGGATGCACCAGACCGTTCCTCCTCCCGTTTGAGTCGCGGTGCGTTTGAGCGCCCCATTCATACACTGCACCTGTAGTACATGGTGACGACATTTCGAGGACTACTATACTGACGGACTGCATGCAGATGACCGCCAGTACGGCATCTGCAATGGACTCGTGACTAAGCGCGCTTCGAACATACGCGTTCACTTCCGCCTCGAGGATCATAGGCGAGACCATGCGACGCGATGACGGCACAGTGGCCAATACAGACAGCGTCAGATACGGTATGCTGCGCGCAAAGCCAACTAGTCTTTGCACGTAGGTTTGTGGTTTCGATGGGTGATGGGTGGGATCCTTGGGCGCGACATATCCCAGGAATGTGATCCGCGAGCGTCCAAGAGCTGTACTCCGTTTTCCATGGTGGATTTCCTAATAGATATGCATGACGGTGGTGGTACTCATTCGAAGCTTTGCCTCAGTGGACACACGTAGGACCCCTGATAATTGGGGAGGAAGCCTTAATCGAATCCGGACAAATTTGGGCGATTCGGAGGGGCTGGGGCTGATGTTTGTCCGGACAAATGGGCAAATTTCGCCGGGAAGGGCTGAGGAACTGTACGGACATAGCTTGTCGTGATTGCTCGAGGGGTGAGGAACATCCGGACATGGCCAGCCCAGGTGCTCTCGCGAACGGCGTCAGCGCGACGACAACCCCCCGAGAGCACCAACCCTGCTAAATGGCGGGGTCCGTCGGTAGAGGCCTGAGGAAAAGTCCGGACAAACCCCCGCCGAACTTGGGACTGCCTGATTTTATCCGACCAAATCTCGCCAAATTTCGCCAAAAAAGTCCGGACAAAAGGGCTGAATTTGCGCGCGAGCAGATCAGGCCTCTCCGCATATAATCAGGGGTCCTACACACGTACCCGGTTCTAGTGACATCCGGGATACGAGTACAAGACCAGTTCGCGGATCAGGACATTGTGGATGTCTTCCTCTTACGATCGAGGTGAGTGATCGAGAACATGACAGCAGTTTGTACTCGACTTCTTATGTGTACGTACGTCGACTATGCTTACAGGCACCCATTTCTTTTGCCTCATAAGGTTCGTTACCCGATCGGAATGTTTGGTGTAGCTTGTTCGCTGAAGACGGCATCTAGTTTGCTAGATATCAGCCTGGCGAATGGCGAATGCATGGCACTGGTGACACATGCCTGTACTCTTCGCAACCCGAACATCGCACTCGATTAGCCGCGTCCAGCGGCTTGTATGTTCACAACACAACCATACTATCACTTCGCCAAAATTACCTTGTTCCCCGCACCTCATCGCGTCCAATCTTCACCAACGGGCAAAACAGACCATTCCCTGAAGATTTCTTGTGCCCGGGGCACATATACCCCCTTGCCTCGTTCCCGCAACCCCATCCAGACCAATACCGTGACGACTGTCGTACTTTTGTGCTTCTCTTTGCCCCCTATCTACTGGGAACCCTCGCAGATAGAACCTCGAGCACGGGAACGACCGGAGGCAGTAGTTCTTACCGCCGTGGGCCATCGCTGCATCAGCGCGCGTGCGGCCCAGGCTGTCCTACGCCACTGACGCGTTTGTGGGCGCACGGTGATAGCCTTTTGGCTTGCAAGTGTGGTCCGAACTTTCGGAGGTGGGCTCGAGGACGGGGAAGTCGACTGGCAGGGTGCGATCGGCCGGCCCGTGAGCAGGGCATGATGGCAAGCTCGAACTTGTTAGGCAAGGTTCGGAAACCCTCCACGTCCAGGGACTGGAAGGTTTCGCGCGCGTAGTGAACGTTGTCGGGGATCGTACGTACGTATACTGTCAACTCCCATATACTTCATCCTCCTGTCGTCGAACACGCTGGACTGATCACGCCTGAGAGGCCACTAGGGACTGCGATCGTTGCCGATATCATCCTGGCATCCTGAGCCATGCGTTTCCATTGATGTGGGAAATAACAAGCGCGATACGGTTTGCCGCGAGGCATCACTACTCAGTAACAGTGGCTTCTGTTCGGTCTCGACGCTCACGTAGTGCCTGACATAGAAGGCGGCATCGTTTCTTTATCCGGCATGCGGAATCTTACGCTCGCAGGAAGTTGTGTGCGATTGGTCATGCTACAAGCAGGAACCTCTTTACCCTTCAATATGCTTTAGCCAGGACGACTTCGTAGCAAATAAAGCTACAGGACAAGTCGTTAGAAACAAGATTTTCATGGCAAACAAGTCTCCGGTGAGCGTACTAGTAATCACGATGACTCATCAGTCGCATAGTATATAGGAATAGAAAATCTTGCTTGAGCAACGTACGCGGTCATTGCTGTGTATTAAGCGTGCCGCCGGTAGCCTGAAAGCGTGATGTTGATGGGCAATCAGAATGGCACTGTCCGGTCAGACCTCATGCACCCAACCGTCATATCCTTGTATGTTCCGAGATGGCAGACCTGCAGGACACAGTGTCGCAAGACGCGAATATCAGATGCGTTCGCTTCTCAGTCTACGTGGTACCTACTCATAGGGACAATCATGCCTGATCACAGGTACGAACATAGACTCGGACGTGAGCTATGCTGATCCTCGCCACGCAACGGCATCAACGGGCCTGATTTTGGCCTCAGGACTGCACATCCGTGAAGCCAAGGAGGCGCTACCGATAAGACATTGGAACAGGTTGGTATGTACACTGAGGCAATGTACGTTTCAAGGTAGCTGCCGTTGATGGTGACTGAACGCCGAAAAAAGCTGCGAAACAGACCCCAGAGTCAATCAGCTTCTCGCTGCTTCAGCTAGTCGGACCTACCTCTGCCCTAGAGGCTAGAAAGGGTATCAGGTATCCTCAATTATGGGTTGTCTAAAACGCATTGATGTGTATATCATGAAGCAGCAATGATATGTATGTTCAACCACTCAAACGGAGAGTAGGTCATTGGCGTCACAGATGTTCATACTTCACGACTCTTCACAGACATCTCGAGGTCACGCGCCATCTGGCGTTCAAGATGCTCTTTGCGTCCCGATACGGTCACGAATGGGCCCCACTGGGCAGCAACTCGAAAATGGTAGTCTCTGGTAAGTCGCAAAACGCCACCATCATCTCTCCGATGCTTCAGCTTCAGTGCTGAATGCAGTGCAACACAGGCGCATATTGAACGAGCTGATACCCTCTGACAGTCACCACAATATACACACGATCCTTCAAGGAATGTCCCGCCGGTCTTCGCGCGCCAGCTAATGCAAGCAATCTCGAAAACGACGCAGGAATGATGCACGGCTGCAAGTATGATTGGACTTGTAGGTGCGTACGCACTGACGTCTGTGGCTCTCGTCGCTTGCGAGATGCAGGATCGCTGTTCATAAAGCCCGCTTGGTGCTGTGGTCCTCGCGTGTAGCATCACTACCGCATGCGACCGCTCTTCAAACATAGTCACCTACTATGCTGCCCGGCTGCTGATATCTTCCCGTGGTGTTTGCAATACGCCAAGTATGCCACATGTCGCTGACGATCAGTCGCAGTGTCTCATCACCACATAGGACGGCCTCTGCCAATGCAGGTGGTCGCGATGCAATCCCGATCTCATCGCACCGGCTCACCCGCTGTTCATACTTCCAAATTCAGCACCGCGCGTCGCACCGGTGAGTTACGCCCGACGCATCTCGAAACCTCGTGCTCGCTGACTGGAACTCGATGATCATGGCCTGAAGAGTGGTGGTGGCGGCACGCGGCGATGTCATGGAGCAAGGTGGACACCTACTTAAAGCACGGTACAAGCACGTCTCGCCATTGCTCGCGCCCTCCGGCGTGCTCGGACTGATCCCTGATCGGGATCGAATGAGGTCGCGCCGCGCTCGATCTCTCCGTCGACTGCTTCTGCGATTCGCGCCGAGGTAGGTGGCAGTTTGCTGTTGTCATTGAGTACTGCGCATTGTGGATGCCCGTCTGGCAGGATCTCCGAGTGCGACGCGTTGACAGACGCCCGTCATATATGTTTTCAGGCTCATTTGAAATGTATTCTTGGACCCGCCTGGTAAATGTCATAACTTCACTGACGAACTCTGGAACAGACCATCGTACCGGCGTCTTGCGTACTTAGCGACTGCGGATACTCCTGAGTCGTGGTGAACCCGGTGTTGACCGAAGTCTACTCTGCTCGTTGATAAGTACTTAGGTGCGTAGCAGGCTCTCCATCCCTCAGCTCGAATATAGCTTACGATCGCATGGTCTCTTCGAAATACGTCGGTGGAACATGGCATCGCACCACACAACCTGCGCTCAAGCTGTCCTGTCTTTGCCTTTGTCCTCCTTACTGGGCATGCAGTGGGAACGGTTGACGGCATAGACTCCTATCTCCATTACAAATGCAGGCGCGACGTTGGCTACAGGGCGCCAGGTCTTCCATCATAACCCCGCCCTGCATGATTGACCTGACTTTGACTTTCTGATGATACGCTCAACAGACGCTTGTTGTCCTCTTTTTGCGATGTTCGACTCTTCCTTGCTCATGCCTTCTCGTTGCACCCACGGCGTACGAATCCGATATGTTCGGTGTTGATGTCTCCACAAGACAATGCCGAGTTAATCAGACGCACACAGATCCCTCTTTGTTTGTGGATTCGACTAACAATCTTCGCTTCACTCTTCCTTCACTAGTCATTGGATGCGTATCCCGAGCTCCGGTCGACGTTGAATCAGCACCACTCCCAGAGATAGATGCTTATTGCCGGCATTACTAGCCCAGTGGGATGCACCTCTGACGTCGTCACATGGATCCGCGTCAAGTGTGTGCAGGCCCTCGATATAGGCCTCGTCCATGTGGCGAGTGACACCGAATTCCTCGTCTTCCTCCGCCACGCTAACCAGACCCTCGTCCCCAGCCTCCGTAATCTTCCACGAGTCACACTGAGTCACTGTAACTCGCTGTGACGGCGTGACACTGATTTGCCTCCGACCGGACCATCCTGCACCACCGAAATGACCCGGGGCGGGAAGCCCACAGCGGGGCACTGCATTGGTTATTTAGGAGTGACGTACGGACGGTAAGCAGACATGTCAGTGAATGCGGGAATTACCTAGCCAGTCATGTAAGTTTAGGCTGTCCATCTTCGACTGGACCGACGCAGCAAACTTTACTTCCGAGGTCGTCCGACGTGCAGCGTTGAAGGAATGCTCCGGTGGCCTCGGAGACGACACCGGACGTGTCTTCAAGACTGCAGGGGATATTGTCCGCGGGTCAAACGAGACACGGGCCAGACGCATCTCCGCTGAAACCCGGATGCAGGGTGCGGCGCAAGGCGGGAGTAGCATCGCTACCCTGTCCATCGATAACTTACTTGTGAGTTCTATCACATTTGAAATCTCTCTATCCTCAAATACAGTGAAGCTTCGTATCGCTCATGTGCCGTGCAGTGTCGCAGTGACCAACCGTCTTGGAGCATAGGCTCCGCACCCCAACTTCGCGCGGTGCTCCGGAAAGCTGTGCGTGCTCCGAGGGTAGGGGCCAGGCAGGGACAGACTCAGTTCTGGGTCTGGGGTGCCCACGTTCGCCGCATCTGACCCCGTTGAGTCCGACAAGCAGATCTGTCCTAGGATTGGCTTCAGATCACAATCGACTCCACCCACAGGCGGATTGTGAGCAGCCATTTCATTTCAGACGTCTAAATTTTGCCTCCATCTTCAGTCATTTGTAGTGGATGTAGTGTGCTGAAGATTTTGAGTGTAAAGCAGTGCGCCCATGCCTCCGCGGGTGTGTGAATCCGGTCGGTGCGCGTCTCACATTAGGTGCGCGCGTGGTGGACACGATATTTTCATGAAACGGCGCGAAGGCGGAGATTCCAGACTCCCAGGGCCCCTTCCGAGTAAGGCTTGTGGCGTTCATTTGCCTCCAAGCGCCCTCTTGCATGTCCACTACGGAACGCCTGCGAATGATAGACGCTGGATAGGTGGGCGTCAGTGGCCCGGGCTATCAACACTAGTAGCCCAACTCAACATATCCAGACACAGGGACAGCGTCTCAGTCGGTCACGGCTTATCTCAGATAGCAAGACTCCTGCATTGTGCCTCATGCGTCCTGCGACCTCACAGTCCAAGCGGCACGATTCCTCGGCACGGTATCCATCGTCAGTCCTTTGTATAGGTACGGGCTCGTTTTCGCCAGCTCACACGAAGTCAGCGGGCTCACACTCAGCAAAGGCAGGTGTTCATCGCTATCGCTGGAGCCCCGTTGTCTTCACATGGTGATCAGTCAGTACCATAGTCTCGCACGTTCCATGATGCGAGAACGCGGGAGTTGAGTAGCCTCGAGCTTGTGCCGCCATCTGCTCGTCAGGACGATGACGCGACCACCTACCAATCGTGGGCCAGTACAGACTATCGAGACAGCACGAAGCAGAACATGGCGATGCCCAAAGGTCCGCGATACGTTGACGTCACGCGCGATACTGGGCTAGGTTTGTCTCTTCGAAGGATGCACTCTATCCCATATTTATCTATCTGTTCCCGACGTTCTGACTTATCGTCGCAGAGCGTCCTTCCTCATCGGGATGCTCACGGGCATATCGTCTGAAAGCTCAGTTATGTGGCGTAGCCCATGGCCAGTAAGACAGCGTCGGACAGAGTATTCAACGGGTCCCGAGAGAGTTTCGCCCTTCGGAGCGATGCTCTGGATCCCGTTCGTTTGGCGGAGCCGGATCTTGCTAGTCTCCCTCCCACTCCAAGCATACACAACCTATCGGACCATGTCGCGGGGAAAGGCAAGATCTGCGACACATGAACGTGCATTGGACGTGTTTGAGCATGCCCTTGGACTGCTAGGAATCATCGCAAATTTGGTACATGCTCTTGAACGTCACAGCCGGAGTAACTTACTACGTGACGAAGGCTTACTACACGAAGGGAAGGAAGGGCAACCTTTCAAATGTCGCAGATTTGATCCGTTCGCGGGCTTCCCCAGTGCTGAGGTACATACCTAGATCATGATCTGCGAAGTGAAGGATGCCCAACTCACTGTGTTATAACAGGATCTGCGAAGATCGGTCCAGTTGCGTGGCCCTAGACGCATATGAATGTCGACTAGTGAAGGACTACCACGAGCGTACGGATCGGCTCTTCATCTATGTACACCTTGTTTCAGCCACATGTGCCCCTCAAGCTACGCAGTGAAGTCGGTGGCGAGTCGATCCCGAGCAGGTACTGTATTCGCGTTCCTGACATCGATTAGATTCATACCATACTGGTCGACCTGCCCGAGGATCCGAGTCGGGGCTGAGGTTCAACAACGCCACAATCAAGCTGTTAACCGCAATCCTCATCGCACTGTATGCTTCCTCTCGCTTAGTACTGTAGTTCAAGTTGTTTGCCTTGGCTGTGGCGCTTGTCCCGGCGACTCGCTTAAGTGTTATCATTCTTCTGGCTGTTATGGTCGCCTCTGAGCTTGTTAATTAGCATTCGAACGGAGGACATCCTAGTTGCACCATTCCATGAGGCACGCTGTTCATGCAAGTGGCCTGCTTCTGTGGCGGTTGAAGATATTAGGCGCCTCCGATTTGCGGCGTTACATGTAGCAGGGAGAATATGATTCAAGGCTGGGCAGGCATGCCATTTCCAACAGTTGCGGTGGTCGCTGTGTCATTACAGTCAATTATAGGTGCATGATAGAGGGACCTTGTATAAGAATGGCAATCCTTGTTCAGGTTCTGACTTCGGCAAATCGTACTTTGCTTATTGTTCCGCTCTGCACTAACCGCCGTCCTTGTACTGTAGGTGCGCTCGGACTGCCGGCACGCGGTCGTCTATGAAAGAGGATGGTTCATCAGTCGCTCGGATAAACTTCTAGTACAGGAAGCTGACGGGACTTACTCGATGTCCACGATATCAACGTGTCCCCGAAGCGCGGAAGTCGTCCTATCAAGTTGGCACACGCGCCTTGGCTCCATTCCTCATGCGCATATACACTAGACACTGTTTCTAGTAGCCTATTCAGACTAGTTCTGTCAGACATTCAAAGCGTGACGTACGCAGAAACGAGCATAGCGGTCCACGCCGCACCCATAAGAGAAGGGGCCGCACCTGAACCAAGTAGAGCAGTGTCAAAGTTATTCGAAGGCACGCGATACGGGCCACAAGATAGCAAGTCTAGAGCCCGGAGGGAATCTGCTGACCCTCGGCAGCGGATGCTTTACAGAGAACTCCGGCCCTCCGCCATGGCTAGACGCGGGTGCAGCGTTTCGCGTCCTTCACATACTCAGCCATATCCTTCTCGGACGTCTACGTGAGTGTTCATCTGTCCAGCGCAAGGGGAAACACACTCAGTGTCGCCCAAACATCGAGCGCTGTGCTGCCACTGTGCCATCTTCGCCTATAGTGTGCGATGAATCAGAGGGTAGCACCAAGGGCACAACTATGGGATCCCCCGAGTCCAGCGTTCCTCGGGCGATGTGGGATGCGCTGGACGTACAGCACCCTGCTGCAGAACGGTCAAGCCCACAACCCACGGTACAGGAAGCGAAGATCCGCCCTATGCAAGCTATAGATTCACTAATAGATGTCGGTGTGCGTGCAAATCGTGGAGCAGCGACTGCACCTAGCATTCAACCGCGAGACGACCCAACGCTGCATTGCCAGTACAAAGTTCGTCCAATGGAAGCGCGGGAGTGCATAAGCATTCTAGCGGTATCCGTGCTGCCAGCATCGAGCCGTGAAATGACCTTCTTGCGTCTATCAGTGACCGACGGACCAATCAACAGAAGCGCACTGGTTCACGGTGACAGGGACGATACACCTCTCCATTCGTTCCCTTCACGCGGGGAAAGCATGGCTGGGACCTCTGATATGCATGTATTGTGTCCAAGGTACGGCCGGACTGCGACGCACTGCACAACAAGATAGGGAACTGAACGTACTAGGCCAAAACACGTCCTCCAGGCATCGCAGTGCTTGCGTCCAACGTGGTCTTGGGTAGTGCATCGCGGGATCGTGGTACCGTGCAGACCTACGAGCTAGTGACTGAACTCGCTCCCCCTTTGTCCACCGAAAGCCGGATGCGATCACCCGCATTTACGTCTTTGAACTGGAAGAGGAATCATTAGCGTCCTGGACACATACAGAAAGAGAAAACGCGGCCTGTGCATTGGCCAACAGTAAAACACACCGTTAACTCCCTCGTGCGATGGAGGCTCTCGATCTCGTCTACTCGGTTCCGCACGCTGTCCAGTAGATCATCGAAGCCTTCCTCTTCCACGACTTCCTGTGCGGCTTGCAACAGCAGAACGGAATCAGGCATAACGTCGTGATGCATCTGACATGTGGAAGCAGTGGTCAGAAGGGCGAAGTGCCTCATCCAGCCGCGAATGCTTACATCAATGGCTATGACATTGGCACGATCGAGGTCTGGCTAACAGTAAGTTGACAGTCCGCGAACTAGCATGCATATATGGTGCGCACCTTCAAGAAAGTCTGCTCTGGTCATGATCTGACGACACTTGTGCTATAGCTTGAGGTCAGCAGACAGCGAAACCCAGCCCAAACAAGCAGCTCGCACGTATGAGATCTTCGGGAGAGGCAGCTCATCGAGGTCCTCGGGCGATAGCTCACCGGAGGCAAGCGCCTCCGTACGCTTGCGCTCGTCCTCGCGGCGCTGCTTGACGAACTCGCGCAGGAGAAGCCATGAGCACGAGCTCCACTTCTGCTCGTCCATGACGTCGTCGTCACAGTCGGGGATGAGCCCGACGAGGCTGAGCAGCCACGCCTTCTCGACGGCGAGCATGTGCCTCGCATGCTCGCGCATGTTCGCGTACTTTGAGACCCGGGAGAGGTACGATAGCCGTCCGCCCACTATGGAGACTGTGTCGTGGAGGTCCTCTGGGTCAGTCGGAATCTTGGCGTTGAGGCGCATTTGTGCCGAGGCCCGGAGCGCATCCTTGAAGCTCAGGTCAGAGACCGTAACAACCTACACGGGTGCTGCGATCAGGAATGCTACGAATGTATCATTCATTGCGCACCGACCTGCATCCTGCTGGCAATCTTGCCTAACGGAGGAGTCAGGCATACGCGCGCGAAAATTACGCAATGGACCTACGCATGACTAGGAAAGGCCAGAAGTCATCGCTGAGACATGTGAGCAAAGGAATCCCAGACAATCTGACAATACAATACATACCTGCTGAACACCATTGTCAAAATCCCTGTGGCATCACGAGTGAGCGCAGCGTTTCATGAGAACACAACGCAATGGAGTACCCGCCTGCAGCCGCCCAAGTTTCCGCGCGTTGCTGCATCTGCAGCAGCATCTGCCTCCCGCCATCGTCGTTTCTGAAGAATTGAATGTTGTTCAAGATCAGAACGAGCGGCCTGCCCGTCCGTCGCGCGTGTCGGAGCGCGACCTTCTCCAGCTTGTTAAGTGCTGAAGACGTAATTTATGAGCACGGGATCCGCGAGGCAGCCACACGAATGACGGACCACGCTCAATATCCAGGCATGGTCCGGCTAGATGTCCGTGAGGTCAATGTGAATCTACAAGAGTCGTGGATCGACGTACCCTCTCGAGGGTCACGCCGTTGAAACAGGCTGGTCTGCGTATCCTCATTGAACTCGTAGTTCAACGCCTTGCCAAGACGCAGACGGAACACTTCCAGGTCCGGGTGCGCATCACATATCGCGACACCCTCGGCTTCGACGGCCTGCATAGCGTCGAGGATCATTGTACCCTTACCAGTACCCTATGCGACCAAGCTTGAGCTCTGACACTATGACGCGAACAGCAGCATACCTTGGGACCGAGCAGGAGGTAGTACTGTCCAATCTCGGCGCCCTTGATGATACGGTCAAGCAGTGTTTGTTCTCGGCGGCGTACGTGCTGTGCCCATGGAACATATTCGTCTCTAGCTTCGTGCTGCTTGCGTGGATTGCTAGCGAGTTCGAGGGCTGGGTCGTAGCCTCGTGCGAACGCAAGTTCAATCTGCGGACTCCCATTGAAAATATGATCCCTGCTTGCCATGAGCGCACGAGCCTCTCACCTTGTCGAGAACGTTCTGCTTGTACCAGGAAACATAGGCGATACCGCCGAAGAACACTGGTAGTCTCGTTAGCACACCATTCTGTAACGCGATGATCTCCACATTGAAATGACGGGCAGAAGTTCTGATGCTGAGTGTATGCTTGCCATTGTAGCATACACGTCTACGAGGGTGTCATCGCCCTCTTCGAAGAGAATGCATATTCAGTGGGTTAACGGGCACCAGGACGCGACGGGAGTTCTGCATAGCTGATGCTGTACTCCTCCGACGCGGTCAGTGTCTGAACACGAGTGAACCATGACCAGCGCGGGGTCACGGTGCTCCATGCGCCCCAATTTCTCCGCAGCCCTCCAAGTCAGAGAGACGCCGCGAGGCCTGATCCTGCAATCCGGACACCGATCCGCTAGTACGTCCGGACAGCAGCGGACAATCCTGTTTGAGGCCTGATCGACATATCTGGACACATACGTCCGGACAAAAATACCATACTCTCCGGTGGCAGGATCAGGCCTCCACACCAATAAATAGGGGTCCTGCCTCTCACCGTGGTTTGGATTTCCATGGGCATCTCGACTTCCAGGAGAAAAAATACACGTACCGGCTCCGAGACCAATCAAAGCCGTCGCCGCCGCATCGACGACCGGCGAACCCGACGTTGGGAGTCCTCCAGGCCTCAAGCGAGGTCCGTTTTCGCGCGAATGAGGCCCTCTAGACGCGTCAAACTTTTCATCTCCTCCTCCTGCTCCTTCCGCCTGTTCAGCTCCGCGCGCAAGACCTTGTCGGCCAGGTGTTTGAGAATACGACCGAGTGCAATTTCGCGCAGGTTGCGATGCGTAGGGGCTCCAGGGCTGTCGGTGGGGCGTGCGAGCAGCCAGACGACGTACCAGAGCTGCGTTGGTCGGTAGGTTTGAAGCACTCAACATGTAGGATGCGGTTGAAACATGAATCTGCGCGCCATGGCCGTACGCTGAGCGGCGCTGCCGCAGTCGTCGCCGACGCACGCCAAGAGCTGCAGGCGCTGCCATAGCATGCCCATTTATGGTGTCTCCTCATTACATAATCTACGTCAGCGTTGTATCATTTGGCCTGCGAGGATTACCTCCTACATGCAACACTAGCAGACTAATGTGTTCGTGAAGGCTCGTTGCTGGTCGAATGAACATCGCCTACACTGTTCGAGGTGGTATGCTTATTTTCGCTTATATTGGGCCACATATAATGTGTCAGGCTTCGTCATAGGTGAACCGGTGAGGGCTTTTAGGAGCGTAGGGATGCAGGGGTAGCCGTCTATCCTCGCCGCGAGTTGGCATCCCATCTGTCTTGGTCCCGAGGTTATTGGATTGTCGTTCACCGGACATTCCCCCGGTCTCGCTCGCAGCGGGCGCCATAAGTAGTAGCAGCCGAAGGCACCAACGCCTTGTGAAGGTTGCCGTTGTACTTCCCTCGACTCAAACTGAACGTACGTGTATGTGTTCCATCGGAAAGCTTTCAGTACGTCTGATCATGTAGAACACAACAGGACATGCGGGCCACGTTCCCTGATAGCTGCCGCTGGCCGTTACTGAACGCCGACAGAAGCTGACTCGGAGAAGCAGAATACTTCAGCGTCAGCAAGTGGTATATCCCCGGAGATACCAGGAAAAGGATGGCCGCTATGGCGACTTCTAATGCATCCTAACCCATGGCATGGCACTGATGCGAACCGCAAGCATTCGCTCTCAGGCTGTTTTGAGCCTGAGATGTGTGTATCAGATGTCTTTGTCGGCAATCCTTCGGGCGTTCGCCCTCGACGCTATCTCGTGTAGGACAGAGGCGGCGTCCGCATTGATGAAGTCTGTCCAGCAATCAGCAACGTGTTTGCGCGTCGACGCTGACCACAAAGTGTTGAACGACACCCAGCGTGTATTCTACTGGCTCTCCGGCCGGGCGCTCGAGCGACTTGTCGCCTGCAGAGTAGCCCATTTTGAACCAGCGGCTCAGCTACGCTTCCTGTTCCGACAGTTACAATCATTGATAGGCAACAGTACACATTCTAGGACTGGCTCTGCGTCCTCCACGCTCCCAACCTAGCAATCGCTAAGAAGACTAGCTGTTAAGCGCTATTCCCCCTACGTAGTACAACACCTTGAAACGAAGGTAGGTCCTACAACTTGCTCGTTACGTTCACACGGCATCCTATTACCCATTGGCATCATGACCGCGGCTACAGACACAGAACTGCATCTATGCCTAGACATGTAATTTTTGACTTTGTCTTCCGTTGGACAAGCTTCGTGACACCTCTACCCCAGAGGACACCGCTCAGAATACTGACAAGGTACGTACTTGCGAATATATCCGGTCTCTGGGAACACCTACTGATGCTGTGGATACAAGGTTCCTGCTCGGAAATCTATACACTGGAACCACCCGTCGATATGCCGTCATACCCGTGTACATCCCGATGTTCGCATCGTCATCGTGGCCTGGCCATTGAGTCGCTCGCCGAGAGGCTGTACGAAGGCCCTTGACGTGTATGGTTCATAACCACACCATTCAGTGCAATCACGGTCTCGTGCATCCTCGCGAACCTTCACGACAGCGATACGGGCCTGTGACCGCCTCGCTTGAGGACCCGAGTGGTCGACTGGCATCGTACAGGCGTCCCTGAGTCCATGCAAAGGACTATTAGTCTTGGCGTGTGCACTTCAGGACATCGAGTGGCCGCACATCGCCTCTGCGTCGTGCATCCACCTCTGCGTCGTGCATCCACCTCTGCGTCGTGCATCCACCTCTCGAAGGCGCCCATATCAATGCAGTTTTTTTCGGAGTCTCGTTTGCGGGTTTGACTGCGATGTCCCCGATCGCTGGCTCGCGATGCTGGACCTCCTTATGCCTCGTGTTCCTTGAGTCACAAACTGCGCTTCGATGACCTCATCGAACACCCGTTCTTGGTGTGTCCTCTTCCGTCCGCACGGACCAACTCAATCATGCTTCTCTTACAGCGTTCTTCAATCGTTGTCCGGGGATAGTTCCTTTAGGACATCGTTGGGCACCCTCCGGGCTTCGCGTCTGCATTCCCATCAGCTGCGCTTCCCGGGTGGCTTGGACATTTTGCTCCGAGAATCTGCCCATGCTGAATTCATGTTGAGTTGGTCGGAGTCGGTGCGTTCTTTGATGTTTCCGTGATGTTCAATGTAACACTGCTGAGCGTACAATCACAGATTTAAATGACTCCCAAGTCGCCTGCCACTTGCTATGAGTGGAACATGGCAAGACCGAAGAAGAGCCCTGGACAACTGGACCGACCCTGGAAGGCCTCGTTCATTTTGCCAGGTACTGCGCTTCACTTATCTTGCTTGCGATCGACGCCGACACGTCCGACATCGAAGTCTGCCCTGAGGTGAAGGCCGGCGGTGGCTACTGCAATACTGAGCTCCAGTCCATCGAATTTGTCCGTTCGCCCGCCCTGAGCAACGCCGCGCACATCGCGGCGTTCTTACATGCGATCTTCCCCAACCTAAACTGGATCAATGTCGGTGATGGTACGGGGGTGGGCATGTCTTGGCAGCCAGTGCAGGACATAGTTGGCGTTTTACGAGGCGCGCCGGAGTGGCAGAGGTGATTTAGGGATGCATAACACGTACAAGTTGAACCTATCGCGTACTGTACGTCAAACAAGTCAGTGATCCTAGCCTAGGTAAACTGATATTCGACGAGTCATGTCATCCTTTCTTCTCATGTGGTGTGACCACTACCAGAGGAGGACGGGAGTTGGACGGGAGCGACTCCGGGGGAGGACCAGGAGCTCATTGGTGCGGCGCGTACGTGTCCTATGACCACACTCGTCCGCGAGGTACGCGCAAATCATGGCTGCGATCTCAATGTAGACCCTGCGAGTGTAAGGCCAGGTTCCACTGGTGATCGTCGTCCGACTCGCCGAAGATAGTCGTCTGGACACGGCCACATGACAGAATGTCAACGCGGACTGTTCTGTCATAAGCGCAACGGGTCTAAGCATAGGTCAAAGTCGAACAATCGGCCAACGTACTGTAAGCAGACCTTAACATAGGATGAGGCACTTTGCTCGCCCACTATCGTGTCATTCGATGAGACCTGCGAGGGCAGACAGTCCGCCTCGACTTTGGTTGCAAACAGTATCAACTATCTGCGACCTGCTCATTATCGACGCATAGAACGACACGGTTGTGCGGGGATTCCGCGGCACATCGAAAAGGAAGTCATCTAGTACCTAGGTCACTGGTGGCAGGTCGAGGGGGAAGTTTTGGCTTCATGAAGAATTGCTCGTTCTGCCGTCGCCACATATCATTCTCACGACCTCGCATTGTTGATGAACATTCATACCGTGTACAGTCTACAGCTTACACGTCGCCGGAGACTCACACATGACGATCTCAGCTTCAAGCCACTTGCGATCCTGCCGGGTGACAGAACCATCTCACGTCTCAGCAGTGCAACACATCTGATAAATTGTACAACGTACCAGCACCCTTTTCCCACTCGGACGCGAGCCGAATACCCCCAATGACCTCCTGCACTATTGCCCAAGATTTATGTTCCCTGTCACTCAGACCGATGATCCACTGGAGTTTGGGGAAGATCGCATGCAGGAAAGCGCCTATCTTCGCGCAGCTACCCAGTGCGGGGTACTCGGGAATTTCGATCCGCTCCAACACTCGATTACGGAAGCCGTCGCCGAGCTTGACGGGATCGGGAACAGTGTCCAGTCGGTGCGTGTCCACATCCATTGTCAACCGCCGCAGCGAGGGGCAGTACCGAGCGAGATGTGCGAGGCCTACGAGCGTCGTCCCAGGCGGGCTCGGGGTCGCCCAGGGATACTTGGCCATGCTCACAAGGGAGAGCACTTCTAGCTGAGGCCACGACATGGCCATTTCCTTGACTGCGTTGTCGTTGAGGACGATGTGTGCCTCGATGCAGATATCGAGGACACGCAGGTGACGGAAGACGCACAAGCTGGTCAACGACGCTGCGGTGATGGCTTGCCCGTGCACACCTATTTCGTAATCTTGTGCATACTCGCCACCGTCGATTCGAATGGCTTCCAACCCATTGTGATTGCAGTGTTCGCGGATGAGCTCGAAAGTCTCCTCGAGAGTCACCGCGTTGGTGGCGCGGTGCGCTTTCAGGGATATATCTTCAAGTTGAGGAAAGCGGTACGGGGAGATCACCGTGTTAGCGACATCCACGGGCATGTTGAGATCCAGGGACACCAGTCTGCGGAAAGTCAGATTAGGAGAGGAAAAGGACACTGCCACTCTTCCAGGAACAATGATCTCGTCCTCGATGTCCGACGTCAAAGTGAGGTCCACTTCAAGGTCGGCAAGTTTTGGTAAAGTGGACAAGTCGACGAGAACGTCATGTGTCAGAGGCGAGCGTAGTGTGAGCGTCGTCAGCATCTTGAATGGGGCGAAGACCCCACCCTGGATAGGGTCTCCGTGTCGAGGTGCGACGAAACACATGTCACGTATGTCTGGGCAACGCTGAGCGTAGCGAAGCAATACAGCGGAAGAATGTTCGTCGGACATTTCCCAGGGGTCATGCAAGTCTAGGGTCAGTTTCACGAGGTGTGGTCCAACGAGCATGTACGCAGAGTCATCGTATCCAGAATCCCCTTCTGCCTTCCATTCCAGGGATGTCAGGTTAGGCAGCAGGCGATGGGAAGGCCGCGCAGAAACGAGCCAGTGGAATAGGTTCGCCGAGAGAGCCTGAGCCAGAGACGTCTTCAAGTTGTTGGTCTTTGTAACGACATCAAGTCCTCGGATCCGGTGTGCGTAGAAGTCGAAGCGCTCCCAGTCAAGTTGCGTGGTCGGCCTCGTAGGCTCCCTGACCGTCTAGGTGCAGCACGGACAATAGTCAGCTTGACCAACGAAGGCCTAAGTAGCACAACTCATCGCGCACCAGTGTCTCCTGTCCAGTCTCAGATATCCCCGCGACTTCCCATAGGTCTGTCGGCAATACCTTGACAAGATTGACCAACCCATCGTTCGGAAAGAACCATAGGCCATCCAAGGCGGGCTCGTGGAACGCGCGGCATGTGAGCGCCAGCGCGCGTAACGCATGTTTGCCGTCAACTTCGCCGGCGATCAGGCAGACGAGCTCCTGGATGGTCAGAGCTCGGTGCATCGTCAGGCCTTCAGGTGCCATTCCGCACATCGAGTCGCCGGCCGCTGTCATGGGTAACGCACGAGTGCAACTACGCGTTCAGCTCTGTATCTATCTCCGACCTAAGGTGGTGATACTGACCTAATGTGGTTCAGTTGACAGCACAACAAGCTCCGCACTATTCTTGTTTTCTCGTGGTACCGGGACGAAGGTTGGACGAAGGTCAATGCGAGTGAGGGCAGCTGAAGGGCGGATGGTGCCGACACTCGGGCGATGGTCGTCGTGCGGTTACAACTTCAAGCGCCTGCGGCCCAACACTTTCGCCTGCCATTGACCTCCACCAACTCGCCTGAAGCCACTGCTCTGAGTCTAGAGTCTGTGCGTATGTACCTCACATCCATAGGCATTGCGGAATGGTACTCTCGAACGAAGAAGCGGCAGGCGCGTGTACTGTACACATAAACTTGGGGACTTAAGTTACTAAGTTGGAGTCGACTGCCTCGGATCCAGATTCCAGTCGAGCAGACAGGCACCAGCCCTCCGCGTTGCTCTCTCTCTTCCACTCTCCAGGTGTGCCATTCCAGTCACAAGTTATTGTGATCTCGAGTTAACCCGACTTATTATCCTTCCGTCGCCAGCGTATTCAAGTACTCGCCTGACGTGAGCGAGCTCCGACGCCCCAGAACAAGCCACCTGAGTCCACTTCGAGGTGTTCGCGTTGCATCAATCCTGAGGTAGGTATCATGCCGCCAGCTTATTCATTGAAGAGCGCTGACTCTGCGTACTACTACCTAGCCGCTCGGAGCCAAGTCGCGTTTACTATCTCCTCCCGCTACCCGTGCATGAGCCACATCTCACGATGCATCGTGCTCTGAACATCCCGGATATCGTCCAATTGATAGTCAATGAAATGGACTATAGCGGGCCATCGCCCGACGCGCCGACACTTGCCGCATTGGTGCTCACATGCCGCGCGTTTCACGAACCCGCCTTAGACGTGCTATGGTCTCGTCAGGTAGGCTTAGGCCATCTTGTCGAGTGCCTTCCAGAGGATTTGTGGGCTATGTTTCAAGACAACACTCTGATAGTCCTGGTGACTTCTAGTATGTACAAGGCCAATGCTATCGTTCAGAATCCTCCGGAAATCCTGGTGAGTATGTACAAGGCCATTGTTATTGCTCAGAAGCTGATTCCGTGTGCAGGTACTCAGCGAGCCTACGAGGCCAACGACGCCACAGGACTGGGAGCGTTTCGACTTCTACGCCAGCCGTATTCGAGAACTGCGTTGCGCCGGGCACAGCGACTCGAAGCAAGCTTCTCGCGCCCTCTCGGCGGACCTGTACCGGTGGCTTTTAGCGTCCAGGCCAACCCATCAACTACTTCCGAGGTTGTCCTCTCTCATCTGGAAGACGAGCATATTCGGAACCGGTCTCGACTGTACACCTTTCCTGTCCAGCCCACAGCTCTCTTCGGTGTCAATCGATATGTATGGTAATGGGATCCCTACTACTTCCCACGCCATTCTCCCGGCTTTGCTTCGTCTTTCACCAGACCTCCAAGAGCTAAGGCTCTGGATGCGCGAAGACTGGAGCACGCACCCTATTTCCCGCGCGTTCTTTGGGTCATTCAAGAAGCTAAGAATTATCGAAATGAAGTCTGCCATGTCCTCGATATTCGACCTCCTTACCGGATTATCGACTCTACCAGACCTCACGAAGATGAACATCTTGATATCCGACTACTATGTACCTGATCAAAGAGCGCAACAGCGCACTGCTCCACGGGTCGTGTTCCGCTCTCTGGAGGAGCTGAAACTACGCTCATCGTTCACGCCCGATACCCACGAGATCCTCCGCGCCTGCCACTTTCCTCAGCTTCAGTGCATCAATCTGATGTATACCACCCCCTGGGACGAGAGCCTGAGTGCCCTAGACGATTTTTTTTGTCTCATCTCACAGTGTTGCTCTCATTCTGTGCTGGAGATGATCGAGATAGTGGCCCGCGAAGATTGGGTTGACGAGGATGCTGAAGTGCAGTCGGTCACTGCAGGGGCGGTATTGAAGCCGCTCATCGGCTTCCATCGTCTGTGTAGCTTCCACCTCAGCGCAGACATGCGCATCGTCCTGGACGACGGCGCCGTGAGGGATATGGCCGTAGCCTGGCCCCGTCTCAAATGTCTGGCACTGGTGAACAATCACCTCTCCTCGGCCCCTCCGGCAGCGATGACACTAAAAGGGCTGGCGTACCTCGCTCGGTATTGCCCCTTGTTGGAAACACTCGCTATTAATGTGGATACCTCCAGTATCACTGCCCCACCTCCTAGTAACGGCCACTGCAACCGAGTCTTGCAGAGTATCAACGCTGTTCGATCCCCGGCGTCAGGTGACCCCGCGGCCATAGGAGCGTTCTTGCACGCGATTTTCCCCAATTTCAAGAGGATCAATGCCAGTGATGAGACGACGCCTGAAGACGAGCTGGTAGATGGTTCCTGGAGAGCGGTAGAGGCGGTGATTGAGGCCCTCAAGCTGCAGAGCGCTTCTCAGCAGGACGACTTCGTCCAGAAATCGTAGTATGGCTGCACTTTTAACATCGTTGATGACGATTACTGGCATTCATCATGATCACACAATAGATGTTGTTATCCATCGTGCTTTAGCAAGGGGGATAGCTCAGCAAGACACTGTATTTGAGGACGGCGCTGGAAATGATCCCCGTACAAAACGAAGTCACGTACATCTAACAGAAATTAACAGCGAGGCACAATACAAGGACACTACCCTACACATGCATAGCTTACAACAACGGAAATATCGTGGTACAATTCAGCAAATCGGCTGGTCGTGGTCGCCTACTTGAAGTCCTTGACCTTCCTTCGACTTCGAGGCCCAACGACTGCACGGCTTGGCGCCGCGGGCTTCAGCAGATGGCCAGAAGGCAAAGGACGACTACATGACCGGGTAGATCTCCTCGGAGGAGGGATTGGCGATGAGACTTTCTGGACATCGTCGTCATGGTGGTCCGTGCGTCTGGCAAGCCCAGACTCAGGGCTCACGGACTTCGTGATGAGCATGGACTCGATGCTTTGCTCCGCGATCATGTCCTCGTCTTCGCTTGCCTCCGGGATCGGTGAAAAGGTCGGACGCGTCACCCGTGCATCAACACCTGGTGCGTCCACGACGAGACCGAGGTCGGTGACAAGATCAGTCGGACCTCTGACCGGCGATCCAGCCTGACGGAGCATGGGATCCTGCAGCGCCGAGAGCCGTGCAAATACCTCCATACCCGCGCCTTCTGCGAGAGAGTCTGTATTGTCTTGTGGGAAGGGATCGGAGGGCGGCAGAGGTGACGACGCGGTAGGGACCTCGAAGGGATGCTCAGGAGTCGAGTATTGGCCAGCACGCGACACAGGAGAGTTGGTGTTGTCACGCGCAGAAACCCGTTTGCTGGCGTTGAGATATTTTTGCGCCTCAGCAACGCTGTCCCGGTCGTAGGATCGGTCGGCATTGATGACACGAGCGGCAACTCCGGAGATGGGCTCGTCGTTACTTTCGTCCGTATCGTCGACCTGCATGGCATCATCGACCTGCACAGCGGCAGGGGCGGCAGGGGCGGCAGGGGCGGCGGGGGCGGCGGGGGCGGCGAGCCTGGAGTCGACGACGTCAAACGGAACTTTCGCCACAGGACCGGGGAAAGGGCCAATAGCTGGCGGGTTGTTCTCATGACCGCGGTATGACACCCAATTCACAATGTGTTCGTCACCTCGCAGCGCAGAGTATTGGCAGGGGTCGTCCGCCTTGAAGACGGCCCTCCGCCAGACCACGTCGAATGTTGGATTTTCGGAATACATGCTCAGACGTGCTCTGAGCATCGGCAACTCGTGTTGGTTATCGGCCTTCGCTTCGCCAAGTCCCGGTTGAAGGGGTATCTGGGTAGCTGGTGTCGGAGACGATGGGCCGCTACGAGCTGTGGCGAAATCAGAGAGCGCAGAGCGATTGCGAGCAGGTGTAGGCGATGGTGGGAGCCCGCCATGGCCGTCACCACTGGAATGAGAAGCGTCGGTACGACCTGGATTCGCGGGGGGCGCGCTACCATTGTTTGCCATCATCGGCTGACACGTTTGGCCGCTAGGAAGTGTGTGCTTAGCAATGAGCTGCAGGAGGCCAGCTTCGTGTGCCAGATAGACTTGCCACCACTTCAACCCAGGATACTCCGTGGCCATGAAGCCACACAGATGCCTAAGATACCGTGCTTGGAATGGGTTGCACGGGATCAAGAATTGTTTTGTTATGCAAGTGTCCGAGTTCCGCAGCGCGGGGTGGTCCGTATTGGCAAAGTCGCCGTACCTAGGACTCGCGATATTGCTAGATGCATCGAACCCGACGGGGAAAGCTTGGACGGACGTGGTGGTAGGAGGGAACTGGCCAAAGTTGGGTGAAATTACGGGCACCCTCGAGTCCGCAGTCCACAACGGGTAGAATGGAATGACACGACCATCTGGGAGCAAGTATCCGATTGCCCAAGTAGAGATAGGCTCGTCCCCCTTGTAATCCTCGTTGAAGGGCAGGTACGCGAGTGGGAGGTCACACCGCGTCAAGCGCGACCCGTTGGTATGGTTTAATTCTTTCAGCAATTCCATCCCGCTCTGCCCAGAGAAGGGCCCTACATCCACGCCTGTCTTGTCGAAAAAGAAATGTGGGCATGGTTTTGTCGGGTCGTTGTCCGCTTCCGTCTGACAATCTTGCGTGTTTGTATCATCATCGCTGGTGGCCGTAGTGTCGCCCATGCCCACAGCACGCTCGACGGCCTTTCCTTTTCCTCTATTCGCGGCGCTAGCTTCGTTCGCCACCTTCTTGTCCTTGTTGCTCGCCGGCTTAGTCGCCCTTTGTTCGTCGGGACCTTTTATCCTCCTTCGCTTCCGCGGCTGCCCGCAGTACGGGGCATTTGGGTCCTCAGGGCGTCGCCACAACCACCTGTTCATGTAGTCGGGGTCCCAATCTTCGCGCAGCTGTTCGAAGATCTCGCCCCTCCGCTTGTCGGTCACTAAGGCATTCAGTTTCTCGCGTCGTTCCCTCCTGATGGTCGCTGCGTCCCGTCTGTAGGGTGTCCACACGTAGATCAGCAGAAAATACTCATGGCAGATGTATCCAATACGTACACATGTATCCTCCGAGTAGGAACATCGGTACTACCGTGGCAAGGAGCATCAGTACGGGAATGACTGCACAACAGAAGAGTCGCTTACGCCTTTCGCTTGGGAACACGGATAGGCAGTGTACCGGTCTCCCCATTCTCCTCGCGCATGCCGTCCTCCTGGTATCGGAACGTCACCGCCATGGGATCCTCGCCCCAGACCTCCTTCAAAGGCCACTTCCGGGCCACCGGGTGGTAGTACGAGAAGTAGTTCAGGTATCGCTCGGTGCCCGCACGGCTGATCATGGCCGTCTGTGTAAGCTTGCGCGCCGAGTCGATGATCCCCTTTGCCTTCTGCTGCATCGTCTCGAGGGCGTCCCACTCGTGCTCGATATTGCCGTGCGTCTTGCGCATCAGCCGAACCGCGTAGATCACGTCGTGTTCCTCTAGAAACCCTTCCGGGCTGGGACGGCGAGAGGTGTGTCCCAACTTGTACGCCTCGCGGCGCTGGAGCCGCGCCGCAGCTCTCTTCGCCTCTTCTTCCATCCCGTCCCTCTGCTGCTCTAGAGCCGACCGTCGACGGCGATATTCTTCTGCCTTCTGGACCCGGCCTACTCGAAGTTATCAATCGCCGCGCATGAAACGACGTCGCTGCGTTACATACCTTGGCTTTGTCTAGCAGCAAGGCCACCGATTCCCACATTCGCAGGTGCGGTGGTATTCACTGACTGGTCCTTGGGAGCCAAGGGTCCGCTACTCGGGTTGGGTCTTTGTTGGGACTTGGGGCTGCTGACTTGCGCAGCCGCAGACGGGTTCGACGGATGGGCATCGGCTTCGTCGTCTCGGCGGGCCTCTGGTTCGTCTTGCCGAAGTGGCGTTCGCAAGTCGCCACCGCCAGAGTGCGACGCCGGCTGCGCGGGAGCTGCGGACGTCAACGACCGGGGCCGGCGCGGGGTCAGGTCGGTCGGCACGCCGTCTTTGGTGGTAGGTTCGCGTGTCTCAGTGTTCTGTGCATCCGCCGGTGGCGTGGGTGCGTTGTTGCTTTGTTCCCTGGATGGAGGTCACAATCAGCGTCTGACGGTTCATTACACCGCTGCGACACTTACGCTACACCATCCGCGAAACGTTTGAGTAGTAACTGGATGATTGATTCGTTCTTCAAGTTTGCCTTGATCCCGTGCGTCTACAAGGGTACTACCGGTCAGCAGCGTACGAAGATGAGCGGTCTGCTCGACTTACCCTGGCCAACTGCTGCAGTTGGGCGCGATTGAGAGCTCGGAGGGCGATAGTGTTCATGATGATGGTGGTTCGAAGGTGAGTTGGTATGTGGGTATGTGTGGCGTTGATGGTCGGTCCGTAAAATAGGCAAAGCCACAACGAGGCTGCTTTGGCCAAATTGGAGAACAAAGGAAACAAAAGCACCTGAAAAAGCACAAGGACCCACGTCACGGACAAATCAAATAAGCGCATACGCGTGATTCCACAGGTCGTCACGGCGATGCGGTCCTTTGGACTGGCGTGATCGATGGTACACGAGCGGTACTTAATGGTAAGTCCTCTGGTCAACTGCCAGTGCTCGTCGACTTGGGCTGTGGCCACTGGCCAAGCTGTGGCACGAGCGCTGATTAAGCGCTGAGTCCACATGGGCCATCGATAATGTGGCTATGTAATCCAACAGAACAAACCAGACCGGCTACTACCTGAAGCAGGGGCCGACTGGAAGCGCGAGTCGGCCTCATCAGCAGAGTCGTACTTGAGTGTGCGGCTGTCCGTGGAGAGGTCGATGGACGTGGTTGCCGTGGTCCGTACACACCTTGAGCTCATCGAGAAGGCGCTTTCTGCGCTTCGCGAAGACCTCGCGCACAGGCGAGCGACCTCGTCGGTGGGGTAGCGCGAGCCCCACGCGTCACTCATGGCGATGAAGGTACGTTCGATGTCTGCGGCGTTCAATCGAGCGGGGCGAGCGAGGCGCTGAGGCGCCGGGAGGACTCGCTCGGTGGGGACGTGCGCGGGGGAATCCGGACTTCGCTGGGCGGCGACGGAGGCTCTGGGTCGAGCGCGACTATGTAGGCCATGTAAGCAGGGAGGAGGCCTGCGCGAACGCTGGCTGGTTGGGTGGCGTGTCACGGTCGAGGGCGAAGAGCGAGAGTGAAAACTCAGGTGCAGTCTTGGGAAAGGCAGCGGCAAGCTCATGCATGGATGTACTGCGGAGCGCGGGCGTGTTCCCAGACGTAGCACTCACCGCCTCCCAGTAACAGTCCTCGTCATCCCGGAAGTCATCGTCATCGTCCTCAGGTACGTCCCGCTGACCGCGCGGTAACTACTCGATCTCGCGTCTCTGCTCCGGCGACAGATCCTTGCCCTCCGGAGACGCGCCTTCCGGCTGAGCGAGCGTGCGGCGCACAGCCTCTGAGAACTGGGCATGCGAATGGGAGTGAACGGCGCGCCGCCGCTGCGCGCGCTCTTCGCGCGACGCGTCGGCTTGCGGAGACGGTGCCAACGCCAGCTTCTCCACGTCGACGAGTCCCGAGTCCAGTAGGTACGCTGGGGCGCGCTCTGTGGGTGATTCCGGCGCTCCGACTCGCGGGCGGGTGAACCGATGGGACTTGCGCCTGATGAGGGGGGAAGTTGACGAAGAGATGGTGCGCACTGCGCGAGCGGAGTGGTGTGGATACGCACCTAGGCTAGGGCGAACCTTGAAGTATGAGCAAACCATACCAAGCCGGCGACCAGAGAAGGCGTACCTCGCTTGTGATACCCTCTTGCAGTGAGCTCCTTCTCGATCTGGTCCCCTCGCGTACAGAAGAGCGATCTCGCCGGCGGGATAGCGCGAGCCGGAAAGGAGAGGTCGTCTGTCCCGGCGGAGCCCAGGCTCAACGGCAGCGAGGGCCCATTGCTGCGTGCAATCCGCACAGCAGGTGCGTCTATGCCCCGCCCACGGACGGCCCTGGGAGGAGGCGGGGCTGTCGGGTATCCTGATTCGGACGTCGTGGGCTTGCGAATGGCAGGGTCGCGTTGTGCGAGTGGAGGCAGAGCTTGGACTCCTTCCGGGCACGGCAGTGGCCACGAAAGACCCGCGAGAGTGCTGGTCGGCTAGGCCAAGCGAGCATCCTCAGCAACGGTCTGCTTCGTGGCACACATTGGAGGTCTGGGAGGCGATGGTGGTGAATTATTATCATATCTGAATACGAGCGTCCTCCTCCCCTTCAAAAGGGTCGTATTTGCGGTCTGCCTACGGGAGACTAGTGGTGTCGGTGAGAGAAGCTGGCTGCGCGCGCTCGGCCAATGAGCCCTTCATTCGGAAAACAACGATGACTCACAAGGAGCAAAACAATGACAAGAACGGGATTCGAACCCGTGCCTGAATACTCAGATGAGAAGACCCGCTTAGCAGGCAAGCTTTCGCTTGAGTCACACGCCTTGGACCGCTCGGCCATCTTGCCATAATCCTAGTACCAGCTATGATTGCCTCGATTGATTTGCAGCTCACATCAATTGTCACTACATTCCTTTGTACTCTTGTCCGAAGAATTGAGACTTTGAGGAGCAAAGCACACTAAGGACTAAGGAGGATGCACAGGACGTTATCTGGCTCAGCGCGGCTCTTATCGCTCGGCTAATGGGTCGACCTGGGCACGAGATCAATACCTTGTATTTGCTTGCCTCATTGGTCGCAACATCGCTTGGACCCTCCGGATGCCACTCCGGAGTCCGAGGTCCAGGCCGGCAACGCCGTGGTCCAGGAGGCTTCGCCTGCTGTGGGCTTCTTTAGCCCTTCGGTCATTGTTCTCGAGACATACAAAGCGCACGCCACATCTTCGACTACTCCCTCTCTTACCACTACCATCCATCTCTCGTGTGCACTTTGCTCCTCCCTCCCCTGTAACCTATCCGGTCTCCATTCCCTGTAGAGTTGAGCCCTAGCACGCTTCATATCACACATCAACACAATGAGCATCACCCTCAACGAGAATGACCTTCGTGCGCTCAAGCGCGCCGACCTCCAGAAGCTTGCCAAGGTACGCATCTTGTCTCGCGTTCCGACGCGTCTTTGCTTCTTCACTGACAACTGTGATGTCCAGCGCGAGCGCATTCGCGGGAACAGCAAGAGCGACGCCATCATTGCCGAGTTGGTGGCGAAGTATCCTGGTGGTGTTCACCCGTGAGTTGTCCTTCTCTTTGTCCAACACTATGACTGATGCCGTTGCAGGCTGGAGAAAGAACAAGGCCCCGCTCGACGGCCGAAGCGCGTCGACTCGACTCGACCGAAGCAAGAGCAGGAGAAAGAGGAGATCGGGGTTGAACCTCCTCTTCATGCCGAGAGTATCGCGGAGCGTAAGTCATCACCCTTGTATAGTAGGTTTCGGACTTCCACTCACGTTTCTGTAGATGTCCCGCCGAGGCTGGAAAAGCCGATGAGAGCCGCCGTAGATGCTGGCAATGTGGAGGAGGTACCTCAGCGGCAGCGTGTACCGTCACCACCATCGAATCCGCCGCCGCCATCACAGCGCCGCGAGCAGGACTTATCCGCCTCGCGCCCGATCATGTCGGTCCCATCCCAAGCGGAGGCTAGCTCGAGTGGTATGCTCGCCTATTCATGTCTATGATGTGCCATTCAACATCGACGCCACAGGCATGCGCGTCCCGCGCAATCCTCCGGCAGCCCACCCCCAGCAAATGCCTGCGTTCGTCCAAGGGTCCTCTGGACTCGTGGACAACCAGGTATCCGCGCGGCAACGCGAGCAGGAGCGTCTAACGACAGGTGCTCCTGTTAGCGCGGCAGCGCGAACACATAGTTATCCAACAGTGCGAGAGGGCGCCTCGTCCAGTACCCAAAAATTCCCGGAGTGTCCCAATGAGCGTACCATTGATCTCTCGTCACCGATGGAAGCAGCAGGTGTTAGAGTGTCCACTGCCCCAATCGCTCCTCGCTCCCGCCGCATCGCCGTGTCTCCCTCTCTCCCCCCATCCATCGTCCACCTACTCCCTCCCACCGCCGACCCGCAGTCCCGCCCTGCCGACGCGCGTCCGGCTCCCCGCCTCTCTGCTTACCCTCCCCGGCCGCCCGTCTTCACGAAGCCGCCTCCCCAACCCGAGCAGCCTGAGGCCGGGCCGTCGAGGTTGCCTGCGCAAGCCAGCCCCTCGCGGGACTCCCCGCGGTCTACCGAACAGCCCGAGGCAGGCCCCTCGAGCTTCGTCTTCCCCCGCCCATCGCCACCGCAAAGGCCCAGAGCCCCGGCTCCCCGCGAGGATGAGGAAGTCCACTTCCCCACGGGCTTGCCGCCGACGCTCAGGCAAAACTCACAGCGGCCCGCTGCACCCTTCTCCATCGGCTTCCAGCCACAGCCGCAGCCCGAGGCTGGTCCCTCGCGGCTGCGCACCGACCCGACCGACCTGCGCTTCAAGGTGCCCGGAACTCCTGCGAAGGTGCGCCAGGCTCGTCGTGAACGTAAGTAAATTGTCGCCTCAGACAAGCCTGTGATACTCACCTGTCTATCCGATGTAGCCTTCACGCCGCTCAGCGCGAAAAAGGCCGCAGAACGTCAGCCCCCCACATCCAGGTTCGGGGAAAGCTGGGCCCTTCCTGTACCCGGGCCATCTTCCGACGGCGCCGAGGCGATGCTATCGAACCTTGCCGAAGGGGGCCCCTTCGACGCCGAGAACCAGACGACGTTCGAGCCCGTGCAGGACGACGACAACGAGGACACCAAGGACGACGACGATCACGACGACGAGCTTCACCACACCTTCGACTTCCCGCTGAGCGAGTCCGAGTCCGGGACTGGGGTAGAGGGGAGACAGGGATTCCGTGCCATGTTCGAGGCGTTCCTTAACGCAGAGACTTCTGACCCCGACACGGAGGGCGAGACCGAGGATGAGGTAGACCGCGAGATGGCGGAGATGCAAGCGGAAGCGAAGGCGAGGGTCAATCCTCCGGAGGGTGACCCACCTCCAAAGCGCACCAGGGGCTGCACGTCAAAGCAGGGCCGGGAAATCATAATAACAACTCACGAGCTGGTTGGAGAATTCACGGAGGTGACGGCACGGAGGAAGGATATGGCTCGCCGTCTCCACCACTTCGAGAGACTGTCGGGGAACGTCGCGAAATGGAGCCTCGAGCTGCAAGTGAAGCGGCTCATCTTCGAGAATTTGATTGTCAAAAGGCTCAAAGATGGCAACGTTGGTTGGCTGTCTGGCGATTGGCCGACCGAAGAGGAAGTGCAGCAACTCATGGACCATTCGAAGCAGGCGAAGGTGAACCAGCCGCAAGGCGATGCGGACGACGACGAGGAGGCACGCGCGGAGCAGACGGAGCTGGGGAGCAGCTACTTCTCCAACAGCTCGGACTTCGGGCCTTCGATAGATCTGATGCACCCGCCTTTGCCGGAACCTGCGGTTGAGTACCGGCCACCGAAACCGAACGCTAGTCGCGGATTGAACTCGTCGCCCCTGCCCCCCTCATCGCCGCGCTCCTATGTATCCGTACGGAGCCCCCAGCCGGACCCAGTGACGCCACCCAGGCGCACTCAGAAAACTGCGCCGATGGCGAAGCAGACAGAGTTGGACAACTTCGACGAGCCATCACCCGAGTCACCCGGCGCAGAAAGGCATCTGAAGGCGTTTCACCCGTCGACTGTCGTCGACGGTGCTGAGCAGCAGGCGCAAGCAGGCGCAGGGCCGTCCCAGCAAGCCACCAAAAATCAGGCTGGACCAGCTAGCGCGCTCCCGCCTGACCACGTGCACTGGTCGCCCCGGAGGAACCCCCGGGTTGAAGAGATAGGCGAGTCGATCTCGCAGATCAGGCATAAGAACTTGAAGCGACGACGAGACGAGGTTGAGGAGGTTGACGAAGCAGGCGCAGGCGGCGTCGAGGAATACAAATCTGACAGCCATGCAAGGAAGTGAGTACTGACCACGTCTGTTGTTCGACGGAGTCCACTCACCTCGCTTTGTAGCAGCGCATTGCAGCCGACGGCGGGTCCTAGTCAAGGACTAGGGTACGTCCCCAAGCCTGTCCCGAGCTATAACGGCCACGAAACTAGCCACGAGCCCTACTATTCATGGGCAGGATCCTATACCCAACCGGACGACTGGCGACCTTCCCGCGGTGACAACCTCAAAGAAGTTTTGCCCTCTCCGAAGCGCGCTCGCCGCGACTAAATATAACATTATCTTGCGCTTGTCTCGTATGTAGCTGTAGTTGCTCGTTTGTATCGCGTATCATAGAATCTGTCGTGTAGTTTGTTCCTTTACTTTCGACCTGTTGTTCTAGGAATTGTATCAACATCGGGTTTCTCTTGGGGTCAGAATGATCAGAACTTACCTCGCACTCAGCTGCAGAGGAATAAAGAGAATGCGTTGGTTGTGTGATCGCAAAGTAGATGTGACGACTTCGAGCGACTTTCCGGAGGTCACGGATGCCATGCAATAGAGTGAACCCTGAAACGGCGAGCGCACGCCATAGGGCGCGTAGCGCGCGCTGTCGCGGGCGCCGCCATAGATATGTACACCGAGCTACGGCCAATAGGACAGAGAACGAGCCGAAGACCAGCTAGTGCCTGCATACGCGGATATACACCCTTCGGACCAATAGGTCTCGAACACACAGCTGCTGCATGGAGCATAGGTCAGATGCTGGTGAGTGCCTGAATGATGGCGAGCGGGAAATGTCTCACCATGTTGAGACGTTGCGCAATAAGGGATGGTGGCGCAAACGCGTAGTCTCTGGGAGATATCGGTACGAGGGCCAGTGGCGAGCGCGGGCGTGAAAGACGTGGCCACCATCAGTGAGTAGACGCACGAATATGTGATAGCAAAGGAGGTACTCACGCGGACGAGAACCCCAGCGTCATAGCATTGCTAGACGTGTTTGCTGCAGAATGGAGTGTGACAGTCATCGTAAGAGAGCCACTCAAAACAAAAGACGACGTCTGAGAGGATATGGAAATAGAATGAGCGAGAGATCCCAGCTTATATGCGACCCAGGCCCCTTCCTCGTGGCTACTCTCCGCGTTCTGGTGCTCCTGAGAGGTACAACAATGACCAGAGACACAAGGAAACGATCCAAAGATGTTAGCGCTTACACGTTGTGCCAAGGGGCCCCGCGGCGGAAATCTTCTCAGGGTTCGCGGGTTCCAAACGAACTTGGATCGATCTGGTGTGTACCGATACGGTGCCCTTTGTCCGGGGGCGACCTGAACCAATGAAAATCAAGGACTGTCAAATCTACAAGGACGGACAGCTCAGCTCGCCCCAGCGGTAACACGCGTACTAGTACCTGGAATGTTACCACATAGGCAGGCAGGCGGAGCGGAACTAGGAAGGCAGCTCGTCGCGGTTAGACTTCAGGCAGTTCAACGCGCCTGGCGAGCCTCACAGAGCATGCGCCGCACGTGTTGCGCGGTGACGGAAAATGGTCTGTGCAGAATGAATGTCGCCCCACGCACGACGGAGGTCTAGGTTCATCCCTCATTTGCTGGACGCACAACAGTGGGGCAGGCACGACGCACGACGCGCAAGCGTGTGTTGTTTCGGGCGTCCCGCTTCGTGAGAGCGACATGGCGGAGCAACCTGGAACATTTCATCAGTTTCGCGCACAATGACTGGAAGATGCTACGTACGAGATCGAGACCACAGCTCAGTCTGTTTCAAGTGGCGTATCCTTTGTGCTGCGGACGATCCTTCTCGATCAGTTTTACGCAGTGCTTGGCTCGTCATACTCGTTCAAGGTGCCACTCACACTTTTCATAGTACGCACTCTCGCGCGCTGCATATTCGGATGTCTGTCGGATGCAGAAAGCATGAGTACCAAGACAGAGCGCAAATGCCCTCGTTCCAGCAATCAACCTACTGCCCAGATTGGGGCGGGCTTGTGGCGGGTCCATCAAGTAACGGGAATTGATGCGTCCGACGTCCGAAGCATCCAGACAACGACTCAGGCCTGACATCGACCATCGATATATGTCTGCCAAGCCACCTCTGTGTGGCCGCTTCAATCCTGAGGCCTCGAGGCAAGATGGGCATCACAGCATCACATTCCATGTTAGTAGAACAATGGATCATATACAAGGTCTCCCGCTCGCCACAGGCATATTAGCCTTCCCAATGAGGTCTAGATCTTGTTCGCCCAAGTCGTGGCTGGCGGCTGAGGGTCGCTTGATGCTCCGCGCCCTCGGTATATAAGAGACTTCCACTCGCCTTCAGTTATCACCACCCCGGGCAACCGAAGCGTCATCCGCTTGCGTAGACGTCCGAATCGAGTGAGTTTCTCGATCGACGCATCTACAGGACGACTACTCGCTCACCTCTGTCTATGCAGGTTTGCGAGTCATGCCGAGCAAGGGTAAGGGCAAGGAAAAAGCGGCCAAACACCGTGTCCTCGACCCCTACGAGAAGCCCATCAGAGACCTCACCATGGAGGAGCTCAACGAGGCGTTGAAGGAGAACCCTAAGCACAAGAGCCTCCAGTGGGAGCACCACAAACGCATCCTCGCAAGCTGCGACAAGGCCCTGAACGACTTGCAGGTCGTGCGCGAGCGGAGAAAGATGATGCAACTGCACCTCAAGTTTCTGCAGGAGGAGTTGAAGGCCAACAAGAAGGCCGCGGACAGAGCTCTCAAGACGCAGAAGAAGCTCCAGCGGTCGATATACTGGGAGCACAGCCCGAAGGCGAGGTTCCTCATGATGGACGTGAAGTACGCGATTGCGGAGCCCTACAGGGCGAACAGGGATCCCGCTCTCTCCGAGGGCGAGCAGCGCGACAAGGAGCTCCTCCAGCTCTGGGCGGATGCAAGCGACACTGAGACTTTTTGGGAGCACATGAAGGATATCCTACCTCCCGATTTCGAAGAAAATCTGCCCGAGAACAAGAGAAGGCGGAGGAAGGAAGAGGCAGAACGCAGATGGAATGAAGAGGTACGTGCCTGGTTCGACACAAGACGTCTTCCCATAATCCCATTGACATGGTGATAATCAGTGGCAGCGGCCAAGTATTCGCAGCTGGCGCGCCGAGGCAGATCGGCGAAGGATAGAGCATAACTTCATCAACATGCCTGACTTCTAGGTGCCTCGGATTGTCCAGCAAGAGTCGGCTTTAGTCGCTCCCCCGAATATGCCCTCGGGTTCTTATTACCTATATGTCATCAGCCTATGCGACCACAAGTATGACTCCTGTACATTACCATCGAATGTATCCTTCACCAGTAACCATAATGTGCACAAGTTTTCCAGGACGTCCATGAGCCGTTTCAGAGCTTGCTCCCAATCCGGATGGCTCTTGGCCCATATGTTGCTCGGTTCTCTGTTGTCCAAGGATATGTATGAACTTGCGAGTAGTCAATCCGCTGGCCTACAAGCCTGTAGTCCGAGTCCGCCATATTATAACGGCTGCCGCAGTGGTGGCGAGGCTCGTTAGTCTCCCGTAGGCAGCCCACTAGGACGACCTTTATGAGGGAGGAGGGCGGAGGCTCGTAGCGGCGTAGCTGCCTGACAGTGGCCTGACACGTGGACGTTTGCAGTCGGACCGACTTCACCAGGAGGCGTTTCTGCGCGTCGCACAGAATGGCATCCTCTACTTACTTGTCCTTACATACACAGCAATGCACAACGGATACCAACAGCCCTCTTTCTGCTGATCTTTCTGCTATCAAGCAGAAGTATCCACTGCGTATTCGTCAGAGCCTCGTAAAGGAATGAGCGTTCAAGCTCGGCGATTCAGGCCGTTCGAGTTTGCCTGCTTCGTCGACGTCCAGAGCCATACCTGCATTTCAGGGAAGAAGGATGTTTTCGCGGCATGTATCACAGGGCACAGGCCCATAACGGATCATATAGTCACCAAATGGGTCTGGAACGCTGCTGGCGAGAACTTCTCTCGCGGCTATCGCAATCCAGATGAGGTACGTCTATCTATTACTCAGACAGTTACGCTCAGAGATGACTCGATGTCCCAGATGGAGCTGAGGATATCTTACCTTTACATACTACTAGCATCATTGCATTCCACGGTGACATGGCTACCGGCGAGCACGAAAGCGACGTCGTGATCGTAGGCGCAGGCTGTTTTGGTCTATCAACAGCTTACCACCTCCTGAAGAGAGGATATACCAAAGTGACTGTTCTTGATCGCTCTCCAGTACTTCCCGCGCCCGAAGCCGCGAGCACAGACATCAACAAAAGTGCGTACCCTGTTTCGGCTAGCCACCGTCTCCCCGACTCATCGACACAACACCCTCACCAGTCGTGCGCAGTTCCTACGCCGACATATTCTATTCCAAGTTCACCCGCGAGGCTCTCGTAGAATGGAAGAACACCAGCGAATGGGAGCACTGTTACCACGAGTCCGGCGTCCTCGTTCTCCTGACCGGCGAGGGATCGTACGGGGACCTCGCCTTCGAAAATGATCGCGCCCTCGGTGTACGCACCGCGCACCTCCCTGCAGGCTCCACCACTCTCGTCCCATCAGATCCGTCCTCACCTCGATTGTCATCTGTCGTGCAGAATCTGCTCAAAGACAAGTCAGGCTACATCAACCAGGACGCCGGATGGGTGCATTCCTCACGCGCAGTGGAGCTACTCTTGGACAAGGTCAAGAAGCTGGGCGGGACTATCGTTCCGGGAAAGACAGTAGCACGACTTTCCAAAGATTCAAGCGGGAAGACTGCGGGTGTCAAATGCGCAGACGGGAGCGAGTACATAGCAGAATGCGTCGTACTAGCAGCAGGCGCGTGGACTGCTTCAGCTTTCCCTGAGTTGAAATTAGAGGAAAGTTGTGTTGCTACTGCGTATGCGAAACATTGTCTTTTCACGAACGTGCGCTGACGATTCCGCAGGCAGGTAGTGGGAAAGATCCAGCTTACACCCGAAGAGGGCGAAGCCTACCGCTCTAATCCGGTCTACCTCGACCTGGACAGCGGATTCTACATGTTCCCAGTGAGCCCTCAAAACTCTCAGGGCTGCCTCCCTCGCTGATGACTCTCACAGCCGAACGACGAGAATATCGTGAAATGCGCCATCCATGCAGCCGGCTTCACCCACCGACCCGACCCCACGTCCGCCTCCACGCCCGTGTTCCCTATTTCATCTTCGCACTCAGACGACAAAGATACCAGCAAAGGGCACTTCGAGACCGCCGTCCCGAAGGCGGCGCTGGAGGAGCTCAGGACAGGTCTGACCAGCACGTTCCCGGCGCTCGCGAACAAGCCATGGGCGGGGACGCGGATGTGCTGGTACACAGACTCAGCGGATGAGGACTGGGTCATTGGCTTCCATCCCCGAGATGCGGGGGTCGTGTTGGCGACTGCTGGCAGCGGGCATGCACTCAAGGTCTGTACCTCCATCGTCACCGAAATTCACAGATCTCTCAATGTTATGTTATGCGAACCAGTTCCTTCCTATCATCGGACGCTTGATGGCGGATGCTATCGAGGGTAAGATGCCAGAAGAGCTGGTGAAAAGGTTCGCCTTCGACCGGGCCCAGAACGACGTCCCAGTGAGCAGACCAGGCAAGCAACAACGCAAGCTGAACCTCGACGATCTCGTCACCACCGACTGAGTCTCGCACGCAAGGAACTATAGCAGAGGAATGTAAATTGCAGCGTGTACAGTACAAAGCAGGGGATGATTAGGAATACAGCTCTACCAGTTGGTACTTTTCGGTACTACGTAGATGGTCTATGGTGCTTTTGATGTTTCAAGAAACCGTCTATGGTGGATGATTATCAATGTTCGTGAGATCATGCGCGCTTCCCGACGAACTCGCGCCAGCTCCGGACCTCGGACGGTATCCGCCCTTCGGTGTATTTCTTCAGACCACCCTGGGGGATCTTCTTTTCGAGCGCCTCGACGAACAGTTGCGCGCACCGCGCGTTGTTGAGCAGTGGCAGGCCGAAGTCGACAGCATTCCTGAATCAAACATATCAGTACTTGTAAATCACCGGTCGCAAGTCGTCCTCACCGCCTAGCGACGTAATCCTCATCCGTTGCATCCGTTGCTCGGGACTTCGCGAGGTTGATGACACACTCGATGTCGTACTCGTCAAACACCTCCCGAAGCTTCCGCTTATCCTTCGTCGGGAAGAATATCCGCTGTGCCTTCACGTACGGAAGCGAGTTGAGGAACTCCTCGACGACCGGGGACGAGCAGTAGAGCTTGAAGCCAAGGTTGACGAGAGTCTTTGCAATGGTAGCCATCTCGGGTGTCTTGATGTCACCGCCGATGAGCACACCCGTGCTCGGGCGCGGGACCTTGAAGCCAGTCGTGCTGAGGAGCGAGGCCCAGTATGCTTCTTGGATGTCCTTGCCGAAGGCAGCAACCTCACCGGTACTGGCCATCTCTGGAGTAAAACGTGAGAAATGTTCCAGTACAATAAAACCTGTCATCACTGACCAACTCCGAGGAAGGGATCTGCACCGGCCAACCGAGTCCACGAGAACAGAGAGACCTTCACAGCAGTATAGTCACGCTTCTCCGCCATCGCATCAACGGGCTCGGGCACGTCCTGGCCAACGATAGCCGCGGTCGCGAAGTCGATGAAGTTGTGACCAAGCACCTTCGACACGAAGGGGAACGACCGGGAAGCACGAAGATTGCACTCAATGACCTTCAGCTGGGGCTCCTCGCCAGGTGCGTCTGTGGGCTTGCGAATAACTTGCATGTTGAACGGGCCACTGATCTCGAATGCGGCTGCGACCTTCTCGGCGATCTGCTTCAGGCGGGCCATGTCCAGCTCGGTGAGGGAGAAGGGCGGGAGGACGAGGGTGGCGTCGCCAGAGTGAACACCAGCGTTCTCGACGTGCTCGGAGATGGCGTGCAGGAGAAGCTTGCCCTTGTGGGCGACCGCGTCAACGTCAATTTCCTGCGCATTGTCGATGAACTTGGAGATGACGACGGGGTGAAGGGGTGAGACGGAAGCAGCAGCTGAGAGGTTGTACTCCAGAGTGGACTCCTCGTAGACCACGTTCATCGCAGCACCGGACAAGACGTACGAAGGCCGGATGAGAACAGGGTAGCTATCAAACCCATGGTGAGTGATACAGACAACGACTTGTTTGCTAATCAAACACTTACCCAACCTTCTGCGCAAACGCCTTAGCAGCGTCGACAGAGGAGACCTCGATCCATTCTGGCTGATCAACGCCAATGCTGTCAAGGATCGACGAGAACTTGTGACGATCCTCCGCACTGTCGATCTTCTCAGGGTCGGTACCGAGCACATTCACCTGATTCTGCTTGAGGCGAAGAGCGATGTTCTGAGGAAGCTGGCCTGCAATACAGAGTCAGTTACTGTCGTGCGCAACGCCATGAGCGACTCACCTCCGACGCTGACGATCACACCATGAGCCTGCTCCAACTCGTAGATATCCATCACCCGCTCGTAGCCGAGCTCTTCGAAGTAGAGACGGTCGGCTTCGTCGAAATCGGTGGACACGGTCTCCGGGTTGTAGTTGACCATGATCGTCCTGTTGCCCATCTCGCGGAGCTTGCGGGCGCAGGTCACCGCACACCAGTCGAACTCGACACTGCTGCCAATACGGTACACACCCGAGCCGAGAACCATGGTGCCGTGTTCGTTGAATTCGACGTCGTGTTCAGACGCGTTGTACGTGGTGTAGAGGTAGTTAGTGTGTGCGGGGTACTCGGCGGCCAAGGTGTCGATGCGCTTCACGAAGGGCGTGATGCCGAAGGACTTGCGCTGAGTACGGACAGAGTCTTCCTTGGACGAGACGAGGTCGGCGATGTGCGCGTCGGAAAAGCCCTGGCGCTTGGCGCGCTGCATGAGCTCTGTATCAACGTTCTCGAGCGAACCGGCTTCCTTGAGCGCGTAGACTGTCTGCACAATGTTGTCGATCTTGTACAGGAACCACTACAATACGCAAGCGATGAGCATCTCGTGATTGACCTTCTGCATACAGTACTCGCCTTGTCAATCTTCGTCAGCTCATGGATCTTGTCGACGTCGTAGTGCTTGTTGAACATCGCGTACGCAATGGCGAACAGACGCATGTCCGTCGGCTTCGACAGTGCACGGTCCAGATCCTCCGGTTCAATGTACGCCTCGAAGCCCTTCCAGCGGGGGTCCACCTGCCGAATGGCCTTCTGCAGACTCTCCTCGAACGTGCGCCCGATTGCCATAACCTCACCGACGGACTTCATCGCCGAACCCACCTCGCGGTTGACCTGCGACGAGAACTTCGCCAAGTCCCATTTCGGGATCTTCGTGACGATGTAATCCAGCGAGGGTTCGAAACATGCCGTGGTGGTTTTCGTGACTGCGTTGGGGAGTTCGGGGAGGGTATGTCCGAGTGCAATCTTGGCAGCCGTATATGCGAGCGGGTAGCCAGTTGCCTTCGACGCGAGGGCACTAGACCGACTCAACCGTGCGTTGACCTCGATGACGCAGTACTCCCTCGAAGTCGGGTTGAGCGCATACTGGATGTTACACTCGCCGATGACACCGAGATGCCGAATAACCTTGAGCGCAGCTGTCCGCAGCATGTGGTACTCATCGTCTGGAAGCGTCTGCGAGGGTGCGACAACAATCGAGTCTCCCGTGTGCGTGCCGAGCGGATCGAAGTTCTCCATGTTGCAGCAGATGATGGTGTTCTGGGAGCTATATGAGCGATGGACATAAGCTGCTAACAGTCTAAAACTTACATCCGCGGCGTCACGAACGACCTCGTACTCGAGTTCCTTCCAACCCTTCATGCTCCGTTCAATGAGCACTTGGGGACTCAAACTGAGACTCTTCGCCGAGAGATCGCGTAGCTCGTCCCTGTTGTTCGCGAAACCTGAACCAAGCCCACCGAGCGTGAATGCGGACCGCAGGATGACCGGGTAACCAATCTTGTCGGCGGCAGCGAGCGCATCGTTCACCGAAGAGACAGCAGTAGACTGTGCAGCCGGGATGTCAATTTCTGTGAGCCAAAGTGTCAATATGACCGTCTACTGCACTTGATATAGGCTATTTGTATTTCACGGTGCGCGCGAGGCTGCGGTGACCGCATACGAGGATGTCTCGATCACGTGATTGAGCAAAAAGCGAATAACTTCATCCCATTCTTCCTCTTGAAACGCGGGCAGCCCAAATACGAAGAGCGAAGCTAGAAAGGTATATCACGCACCCTTAAGAGCCTGGACGAATAGATCACGATCCTCCGAGACTTCCAATGTCCGGATGGGAGTACCAAGTACTTGCACACCGAGCCGTTCGAGTACACCCATCCGGTCGAGCTCAATACCAACGTTGAGAGCACTCTGACCACCGAAGGTCAGGAGTATACCGTCCGGGCGCTCCTTCTCCAAAACGTATGCCACATAGTCCGGGGTGATAGGCAAGAAGTAGACCTCCGACGCGAGCTGGTGAGACGTTTGCCATGTAGCGATGTTTGGGTTGATGAGCACGGCTTCGACACCCTCCTCGCGAAGGGCCTTCAGCGCCTGACTACCGGAGTAGTCGAACTCGCCGGCCTGGCCAATGCTAAGACCTCCACTGCCGACGATGAGGACCTTGCGCACGTCCGGGCGCGGTATTTTAGGGAGAACCTTCGCCGAAATTTTGCGGGCCAACTCGGAAGGAGAGTTCAAGACATGCTCGCCGTCTTGCTGGCTGTATGAACCGACAGCAGCACTCGCGACGGCGTGAACTGGCTTCGTTGGGACTGGGGCATAGCGCGGTCGCGAGACATGGTATTGACGGATTACCCGTGCGCCCCGCGCGTCCTGTATAAGCCGCTTGAGGGCTGGTTGGAGTCGTAGGAGCCCCATCCTACGAAGTAGGACTTCCCCGACGCGAAAGAGCGCAAGATGGAGGAGGAGGAAGGTGTTAAGCTGGGTCAGACTGACTCCGCCGTCTGAAGGTCTAAATGAATTTGATTCGCGGGATGCGGTTTTTGTTAATTACGTAAACTCTACAAATTAAATGTAAGTCCAGATACGGACAGATAACCTCAGGTCCAACATCACGGCCGCGTCCCACTCCTTCTCTACCCTGCCGTCCACCCTACCCACCCTCGCTGCACTCTCTGCCGACCATCCGTTGAGGAACAGAGCTCGTATCTCATCCCCGAAGCCCTCAATCTCTTATTTGAACGTTTCATACCGGAAAATCGACCATGGCGTTTGGGTTGACTATCGGAACGGAGCGGGCGACGACTTTGCAGGTTCGCCTGTACGACTTCTCATACTTCGCATCTAGTCGCTCACCTATCTTTCCAGACTTCGATACAAGATGAACTTACGAGAAGGGGCTACAGCACGGAGGCCGGTATGTAGACCCTGGGCTCACAGGCATCCGGATACTAACGATAGTTGCAGACCCAGTCATGGCCGAGTACATCACTATAATGATTATCAACAACAAAACTAAAGGTCAGTTCGGTTACGATAGTCATGCACACGACACTGACGCGATGCATGGGGCTATAGAGCAAATATCTTCTGAGTTGGAAGATCGTGAGTATTCTGATGTCGTCCTCCGTATCGGTGCAATACTGACGAGCCTCACAAGTGATTGGGACTGAATTTGGTCAGTGATCACGGAGCATTTCTGAGTTTTCCTCGCTCACCAGCTGTGCAGATCCGAGTTTCGTTGACTGGCTTTTCGAAGAAGCCGCCAAAGGCGCGCCCGACGCAGCACCCCCCGTTCCCGAAGCTTCGACATCCACTCAGCGCCGTGAATCGCCCCCACACCTAGTAGAAACCACACGAAAACCACCAAGTGGCCCTCGCGCCGGTGCACCGCTCTATCAGCAAGCCATCTCCCAAGCTATCCCTTCCACATCCCCCACCGCACAGAAGCGCACAGCGTCTGCTCGTTCACCGTCACCCACGGGCCATGCCAACAAATCCCGACGTATGGACGGGCCACCAACGGGTCCGCGGGCGATGCAGCACGGAGGCGGTGGCCAGCGGAGTCTGCTCGAGCGTATGGGCCCATCACGTAACGGCCACCCGCCATTCCCGCAGGACGACATCCAGGCGCGGATAGACAACATCACCAATGGCTCGCCCGACGCGAACATGATGATGATGGGTGGCTTCCCGATGGGTGGCATGGGTGGCATGGATATGGCGATGACGAACCCGATGCTGCTCCAGGAGATGATGATGAACCAGATGGCGCTCATGACCCAGATGGCAGGGGCTATGGGCGTCATGAATGGCGGGTTCCCGATGCAACCAGGCATGGGTGGGGATATGGGAATGTTTAACGGAGGCGTCAACGGGATGCAGGGGCAGATGGGCGGGATGGATAACGGCAGGGGGAGAGGGCGGGGTAGGGGTGGCTCTCGCGGCGTCGGTCGCGGTAGAGGAGGCCCGCCTGGTCAGAACGTCGCGCCGCACAACCCGGACGGGGCGCCAAACGGACCTCAGCACACACAGCCGACACATGCTCCCGCACCTTCAATTGCGGCACCGACACCTGTCCAGGCCCCCGCGGTTACACCTGCTCCGGCAATCAGGTTCTCGACAAGCGGGTCAGCCCAAGGTCGCCCGAATTTCGTTCCCCCTGAGCGGCCACAATCACCCACGCTTTGCAAGTTCGGCCTGAAATGCACGAACGCACTTTGCCGATACTCTCATCCGTCTCCTGTGGCTACGCCAGAGAGTGGTGTGGTGCTGAGCAACGAGGCCTGCGAGAACGGCAAGAACTGCAAGGACAAGGACTGTATCAAGGCGCACGTCAGCCCTGCTGTGCTGAACCCTCATGGTGAACAGTCCTCAACTTGTCTATTTCAGAATCATCCGGCTAACAGGGTTGCATCTACAGCAGAACAACTCAAACCCATCACGTATTCGTCACCCGCACCTCCGACGACCCACTCGCACCCACAATCCCAGACGCCCTGTCGATTTGGCGCCGCATGCACGCGTCCCAACTGTTCATTCGCCCATCCTTCTCGTGCACCGAGTAACGCCTCTGCCATATCATGCAAGTTCGGCACGGCATGCACGCGTGCGAACTGCTCGTTCCAGCACCCTGAGGGTCGCGTGCTGCCGTCGACCTTCCACCGTGGTCTGTCCACGACCGGCGCGGTAGAGAGCGTTCCTACGCCTCAGGCGGGCACCATGGGTGCGCCCAGCCACCACAAGAGCATGACATTCAACAAGTCCCAGAGCGCGGCGGAGCTAAGCAAGAAGGTTAAGGAGATGGAGGAGAAGAAAAATGAGGCGGCGAAGGCGGTCGCGCAGGCTGAGGCTGCTGCCGGCAAGAAGGATACGTCGACGGGCGTGGTGATCAGCGCATAGGTGCCCGTAACGGCAGTGACCTGCGAATCGCAGCTCTTTTGACACGATGCAGCCGAAACGGTTGTTCGGACGAACAGTAGATATCTGTATAATATGTGTCGCTAACTGCTTTGTGAATGTGGTGAAATGTTTCGTCTACTTAGCTACAACTTCAGTTGGGTGGAATACAGTCCTGGTGGTCATCCAAACCGCCAATCCCACCCTCTCCTGTATGTGTGATTCTCGTCGGTTATGTGGGCAGAGATATCAACCTGGAGTTCAACACTGTAACTACGAAGGATGCTTGAGATGTGTTGAAGAGTGAAAGTTGTGCCAAGCGCGAAGGGCAGCACACAGATGTCTCTTGAGGGCGTCTTGTCTTAATCTTCATTGAAGGGATCTCGGTGCGCTCCAGCCTGCGCCAGGAAGGCCCGGGAATGCATCAGCAGGAGGTGGTACACGCGAAGACGCAGATAGGAATGGTACGAGCGTCGGTATTGGCAACGCCATCCGCTGGTCAACGATGCAGTAAGTATTCCGCGGATCACGCTCTTCGTTGCAAATGGGCCGATGTCGCGAAGCTGCTGCGTCCAACGATCAAGGTCTGGTATCGATCGACGAAAAATCCTCAATAAATACAACGGTCAGTATGTGTTACCGACAATGACGGACTGATACTGTAATCATGAACCCATACTTGCGGCCACTGGCACAACACATAGCGTGACGATCAGTAGGATCATGAAGACTCCATGGTTCTAGGAGTGCAATGATTAGCACAGCTGTACCGGTCGCCGCTCAACTTGCAGATATACTCACACAGGGGAGGGACAGGTTGTTTATTGGCCTGGGGCTTCGGGCCATCTGACTGGCTTCTCTATGCCCAGGAGCCCTGGTAGCTCAGCCCAGAGGTGCCTCTGCGGCTGTACCTCAGCCTCATCCTTGCAGAGAGCATCTCTGCAGTTTCCACACAGCCGATTTCCGCGGATCAAAGCTGTGCGGGTGAGGAAGGCCGTTGAGAGCAGACCCCCTGCTGTGTGCATTTCCAAGAAAATTGCGCGCAATCGCTCGATGCAGTCCCGACAACGGTCTTGCGTTTCACATTCTTCTGGGTGTGGGATGCCAGGGGTGAGTAGGAATTCCATGGACGCTTTGATAGCATGGTAAAGGATCTCTTGACGAGCGTTGATGCAGCTCGCGATGTCTTGTTTGCTGAGCCGTTCGAGGTTATCGTCGAGGCGACGGCTGCCATTGAGGAGTTCGTTCGCATCAAGATGGCAGCAAACGAGCAGAGCACTGGGCAGTATCGAAACAGTATCGGTGAGTCGCGCAATATTGACTGCCTGGATAGCGTCCGTGTTCACGTATGCCATCGAGGAGCTGCCGTATTTGATGTAGGCTTCGTTCCATTGGTCAGCATCAGTGCAGAAGCAAGACTTCATCCTCGAAAGGTAGTCCTCGTGCACATATTGGATTTGGTATTTGTGGGAAAGTCGAATGAGGGCGGCAACAACGCTGAAGTCGAGTCGTACGTGGTGAGGATAATATCTGTTCGATTATAAAATCAGTCAACACTTTGATCAAACGAGGCACCACGTACTTCTTCCCGTCGAAGATGACTCGTAGGAGATGACGCAGTTCCTCTGGATGGTCGGTGAGGTGGACCATAGGACACCCGTCGAACGTCTCCGCAGATGGTGGTTGAGGAACGGTGAACAAGTCACGAAATACCTCGGAGTTGTAGCCGAGCAGCCCCTGATATACCCTGAAGGCATGGCCCTGCGCTTCGAGCACTACATTGCCATCGGGGAACCATAGCTCCTCGTCGGGTACCAGCGCGGCGGTCTGTACATTCAGTTCTCCGGGAGCTTGCGCGTCGTCCATGATCACAGATAACCGTCCTCCTTATGCCGTAGCGGAATCTTTATTGTCCATGCCAGAAGTATTTCGAGGATTACCTACAATCATAAGGCCCGGTGTATGCAACAATCGTCTGGACGGGGGACCACCGACTAGGTATGTAAGAGTGACAATGGCATTTCCAGGTCGCGACCGCCGACGGCTCACTGGCACGGCTCAGACTCTGAGGCGCCCGACGCCCGTGCGCGACGCAACGCGATCCCGTGATCATTATCAGTGACGCGAGCCACGCGACGACAGACGCACTGGGCTCGGTGGTCTGCAACTTCAAGTTTCAAGGGAGACCGTTACGCGACTTGAGGAGAACTGGCGGCTATGGGGCTGGATTTTTTGAATCTCTACGCTCAAGCATGCAGCTCACGTTGAGCGAACACATCAGTGAAGGTGGTATACGGCAAAAGCTCCCTCTTAGGCTGCGTCAATACTGGGTAAGGGCCCGGACCTTGTATGGGCCTCACCGCGTTCAAGTTGGACTCACAGTTGGCACAGCATCGTTACGGCCTTAGATACACAGTCGTGCTCCCGAGGTGTGTCACAGGCAGTGAATCAAAGCAAGAGCACCTTCAATATGTCAATATGAGGGTATACATCTCTGATATCGTCATGAGGTCCTGACGCGGCAGTACTATCTGCATGATCTATTACACATGTCATTGAGCTTCCATGGCAGCGCCGGGCGAGAAGACAACCGTTGTGAGCCTGTTCGAACTCGTTCGAATCCCTGCGCTTTCCATAGCAAAGCCGATATCATTCTGGTATTGTCTAACGATACATCCACAGATACTCTACAAACACTGATAATATCTGCAATAAATAGACGAACCCTCGACGCAGATCTAAAAACGACCGGTACCGTCCCTCCCCTATTGGAACAGCCCAACAACAACGCCCTGCATCTTGCCATCCCGGATAGACTCGTAGATCAGAGAGACATTCTGGCCCAGGGTCGCGTCCGTGACGCCAGGGCCGTCCGCGAACCCATCCAAGTTCTCCTTACCGTGCATGCGCACGCCGAGCGTCACACGGATGAACTCGTACACCCCACGCGTCCTGCCCAAGTACTGAGCAGCAGGTGCCGCACCGCGCTCGCCGGTGAGGTACGCCTTGCGGAGGTCGGCGAGCAAGGCTGCGCTGTGTTCTGCTACGGCGTCGCGGAACGAAGTCAATATAGTCAGCGCTGATGCAGCACCGTTCGCGAGGCAGAAGTCGACGATGGGCGTGGTGCTCGCCGCCGCAACCTTCTGCATACGCGGGACAGCGTCCATCGTGCTGGTTGCGTCAAGAGCATGGCGGAGCGCGGGCCAGGTGATATTGAAGACCGTCTCGAGGTGCGCCGGGGAGAGCGAGCTGCCGAAGAAGGCGGGGAGCTGTTCCTCAACGATCTTCTTCATGCCCTGTTCGAACTCGTGCTGCAGCGCACGGAGGTCAAGTGCCTGGCAGAGGGCGTAGAGGTAGCTGGCGGTGAGCAGCGACAGCACCTCGAGCGAGTTGATGGTCGCACGACCACTGATCAAAGCCAAGGAGCTACGAACACAGCGTCAGTCATTTTCATTGCGAAGAAGTCGATGAAAACCTACTTCACAGCCTGGTTGTGCATCTCCGCTGACTGAATGTGCGTTGAGACAGGGTTCGCGAGGTAGCCCAGCTCGCCTGTGTACGCCGCAATGTGGATGTCGACTCCCTTGGCATGATAGTTGAGCGAAGGGTCGGTCGCAGCGACGCTAGGTGGCAGACCGCGGTTCATGGCGGGGTTGAGGATCTCGGTGCACTGCGAGAACAGCAGCTTCCCAATGTGGTGGAGGGCGAGGCGCGTCTTCTCCATGGCGTTCGTGACGGCCATAGCCTGGAAGTTACCGCCATGATGCACGGTGTCCGTCTCAGCCTCAATGAGCGGGTTGTCCGTCGCTGGCGATCCGGTCAGAATCATTCTGATTACACCGCCGCAAATCACTCACTGGTGTTGCACTCAAGCTGGATTTGGGCGAGCGCGTGGAGGATATCCTCAATCTGAGGGCCGAGGAACTGTGCCGCCGTTCGCAGAGGGTAGCGGTCCTGGCGCAACTCGCCAGCATCATCCTTGATACTGCGCTCCTCTTCCTTCGTCACGGCAAACTGCGTGCCCTCGAGCAGGTGCCGGATGTGTGCGGCCGACTCCACCTGACCCGGGTGCGGGCGAGCAACGTCGTGGATGAACGGCTCGAAGGAACCTTGCGCTCCGAGCAGAGCTTCGACACCCATAGCTGTGCATACGTGGGCGAGCATCGTGAGATGGATGGCGTCATCCAGCGCGAGCGCCGCGACGGACGCTGAGAATGCGGTGCCGTTTAGGATACCGAGATGTTCCTTGGACGCGAGGGGGATTGGCTCGATGCCGTGGGCAGCGAGAGCCTCAGTGGACGGCACAACCTGGCGGTGGCCGAACTTGGCCGGACCATCGAAGACACGGATGGAGGGGTTGCCAATCAAGGTGCCGGCAATGTAGGACAGAGGTGACAGATCTAGATGGGGACAGTGTCAGTACATCGTGGCACGATCTCGCAGATTCGCATCTGGGCTACTCAATGATCACTGGTTGCGCCTCGAAGAAAAGGAGGCGCCAGAAATGGTGATTGAGCGGCTGCAGATCATGACTTACCTCCTGACGCAGAGATGCTACCACGCATGGGAACCAAGGGCGTCACGTTCTCCTTCAATAGAGAACCCATCTTCTCGATGAGCTCCCATCGTACACCCGAATGGCCGCGAATAAGGGAGTTCATGCGGATGAGAATGGCGCCCCGGACCCACGCCTCAGGCATGCTCGTTGACGCGAGGGGGTCCAACAGCGGTAGAGCTGCTGTGGGGCTATCCATTTGCGACGGCAGCACACCGGCGTGCTGATGCTGAAGCAAGGCATGGCCGAGCATGATCGGGTCATTTGTACGTGTATCGGCTGTCGTTCACAACTTGAGGTTAGACGTCAAGATGTTCGATGAACGAGCGTAATGACGCACCGCTTCCGCCGAAGCCCGTGCTTACTCCGTAAACACTGGTTTCAGCGTTCACCTTGCCTACAATGACGGCACGGCTATTCGCCACTTGCTCCTTCAGCTCATCCTTCTCGTCGAGCGCCACGGCAGCGCCATAACGCGCCGCGGCTGTGACAGCAGGGATGGATAGCGTCTTGCCATCCACAACGACGGGCTTCCCGCCCCTATACGAACAAGGCGTCAGTGATACGGCCAACGATGTAATTATGGCGTTGCGTACTTGTACGCTTGCAACTCAGTATAAGAGTCAATGAACCGGTTCAGAAGGCTGGAGCTAGACGCCTGGTGGGCATGCTCGACATGACCATTCTTCACCCCGTTGCCGTTGCTGGAGGGCTTCACGCTGGCCTTCATGCTAGTGGCGTAACCGTTACCCGCGGAGGTGGAGAGGGTAATAGGCATGGTTAACAATATAGGGGTCGGGAGAAAGTGGTTGCAATTGGAGGGGATGAGGGGCGGGACTGTTGGCTGACATCGCAACCTAGAGGCTGGTTTTATACAGGAGCCTGACAATGGGACGATGCGTTCACTGACCGTCAAGGTTGGTCACAGACCGAATTGGAACTGCGATAGCCGCTGGGTTGTGCATTACCATACTGTCGCTCCGTGTTAGATCCGGCCGATGGGCCAACCAGAAAACGTCTTCGCCTGTCCTGCGAGGATGATGATGCACCGAGGCGCGGGAAGACCTTCTCGCTCTGGCCCACTGGTGCGGTCAGAAGAAGGGCACGACATTCCGAAGCGGTTACATGAGAAGCCGTAATTGAGTTCGCCGTGCCATCCGTTTTCTCGCTATCTCAGATTACCTACCACCACGGGCCTGGGAAATGGAATGATCAGGAGTGCGATAATCCCTGCGTTCCCTGCCATTGGCAAGCGGTGCGCCCACTCTGTGCAGACTCTGCGACAGCACCTCGACGTATGAGAGATTGTGATAGAGCAGCCACAACGGCAGCTGCGCATGATTGCTCCGTGATGTACCGAAGGCATAGCCAAACGTGGACATCTGTCAAGCTGCTCAACGAACGGGAAATGTCTCGGAGTGAGTTCACGCGCCGCTTGATTGATGTTCGAGTACTCTTGACCATTGCTGAGAGTACTGAGGGGCTCCATCGGATAGGACGGTTCGTCCCCTCCAGACACTTGGGGATGTTCTCGCATCCGTGTGGCCTGCTCAATCGCCAATCACACAGATTAGTGTCCGTGCGATCTAGGCAGGTACCAGAGAAAGATGTTGCAAGCGATGCGACGTATTCGCCTCGATAGAAGTCCGCATTTACGAGAGACAGGTGGTAGCCAAAGACCTAACATGGACGCACATTGGCTGCAAGTTGATCGCGGATGGATAACCCGTCCTGGATTTGAGTAGATGAATCCCACGAAGAGTATCACAGCTGCCGAGGCGTGCGCATGACGAAAAGTGCATGCGTATCAGTATGTACTGGTGACAAATGTAGAACTAATCAGTATGTGCTCACTTCTGATGGTTCTTGCTTTCAAGTTTCAAGGGCCTGGCCGTTGTAACTTCGCCTCACCAGCGTACATAGGTTCGAGCTAGCATTCTTGACTTGTTGGGCTATGCACTCCATGTTACACAGCCTGTTCTGTGTTCGACGTCGACGTAGGAGACACATGCGATTCCGCTCGTTCCGGCAGCTACTCCGACCGTGAGGGCTTCTCAGTTCCGAGATGCGAATCTTTCCGGATTACGTCAACCAATCATGGCCGCTACCAGTCTGATGGTAAGGTCCGTAAGGAGGAACCAGGGGCCATCGGCACAGACCATGTCAATTCGAAGGCATTCTATCTCGTGGGTCGGTAACATGTCTTAGATCCGGCCGGTGCCTTCTTAATGCCTGCACGGAAAGACAAAGATCAGCGGCTGAGACCACACAACATGAACCTGAATGGAGGGTAAATGAGGAACGGCCAGGGCATGACAGCAATTTGTCGAAATTTAACCAGGGAGCGCCGAAACGGCTAGCTTTTGACCGCCTAAGCCTATCTCTTTCTGAGAAAACGATGCGACTGGTATCTTACCGGGATTCTGATGCGCCTGTGCAACCGACACAACTCAGACGTCCTGCCGGTCCCCGGAGAGCTAGGCGTATACAGGCAACACCTGGCCAGCTTCCTGAAGCGCAACCCGGCAGTCGGACGATCGAACTGCCAGGTGAGGACCCGAGTTATCAACGCGCCGCATCCCCACAACTCCAGAGAAGGACAGGTCGCTCCAGCCATCGCCCAGATCGCATGACGGAAAGACTCCAAGCGCAAGCCTGTATATGACGATACGAGGGAGGGTACCTATGACCGACGGCGCGCGCAAGGCCTGTCCATCTGGTTAGCGTCCATACGGTCCTGCGCAGAGGGTACAACAACACCCACCAGCTGGGGCCTGGCTGGGGCAAGCATCACGGCGAGCCAAGGTCCGCATAGAGGTCACGGGTGGGTGACGTATATAGAGCCCACATGGCCCTTCCGCGAGACACCTGGATGCATGCGGATCGCCCGTTCCATTGAGGTGAGAAGCCACCTTTAGATCGTTCCGCGCAACGTGCGATAGCTTACCGACGGGATCGGAGACAGGGAAGACATGCGCCTTGAAGTTGCATACATAGTTCAGGGTAATTTGAGAGTAATGACGTCCATCCAATTCGTCCTAGTAAGACCGTCTGTATCAGCACTTCGGCACACAGAAACATCCTGTCTGCAATAGTCAAGTACAGCTGAGGGCACTCACTGATGTTATCTGCGCTCGGATCGCCGGCGAGAGAGAGGGCGGATAGAAGCTGTCTACAACGCTAGTAAATAGCGTCCTAGGCGGGAACTCTTTATCAGCACTTCGGCGCACAGCAACATCCTATGTGCAATGGTAAAACACAGCGCTAGCTGGGGCACTCACTGATGTTATCTGCGCTCGAATCGCCAGGGAAAGAGGGCGGATAGAAGTTGTCAACAACGCTAGTAAACAGCAAAGCAAGGACGGTTAGACCCGGAGCCAACGATTATGCAATTCAAGTCGGCAGTTAATACAACGCCAGTATCCGACTGATCATCGGTGTGTTGACGCCTTCTCGCGGTTGCAGGTCGTTGGACTATGTAAATTACGGATTTATGACGGAAAGAGCAACTTCTAGGCGATCGAAGCCACTGACAGTCTCAAGACGGCTTTCGGGTACCAGCGCATGGTAAGAGAAGTCCAGGAGAGCAGGAGCAAGAGTACTGATAATCTTAGAGAAAATAGACCGGAGAAAGGTGACACAAAGGAGGTATGCAGACGAGTATAGGGTGCTATTGCCAGCGTGTCAGACTGAGGTCGACGGACGGGAGAGTCAGACGCCGACGGTTTGGACGAGCGTTGAATCCCCTGATCAGGATATGTTCCCACGCCAATTATTTGAAGCAGGCTCAGCCACCGCCGCTTCGCCTTGAGCCTTCATTTCTTCATCTCTCTCTCATACACTATGGTATGTAATCCACAACTGCGTTTCTAGGCACCTATTGACTGAAATACTGTTCCTATTTGAAGGGCAAGGCCAAGAAGACAAGAAAGTTTGCGGCGGTAAAGCGGTTGCTGAACCCGAACGATATCAGGCTGTCGGTCTCCTGTACTAGGTCCCTTTGGTATGCGCTGACACGAGGCCATGTAGGAAAGAGAACCAGCTGAAGCAAAAGAAGAAGGAGGAAGTGGAGAAAGAGAAGGCTGTCAGGCGGATGTAAGTGCAAAGTGCCGCTTTGCCCCTCGCACTCACGAACGTCTCACAGACCCCAGGTCGCTTCCTCGCTTTTCTTGCAACACAATGACGCCCTTGTCCCTCCATACCGTGTTCTCATCGACACGAACTTTATTAATTTCAGCCTGCAAAACAAGCTGGAGTTGATTAGTGGGATGATGGACTGCCTCTACGCTAAATGTGAGTGTCTGTGCGCATGTACGAACCCAGCCCCGTTCACACCATATCTCTCGTACAGGCATACCTTGCGTCACGGATTGCGTGATGGCCGAGCTGGAAAAGCTGGGACACAGATATCGAGTCGCTTTACGGTGCGTACAGGCTTCCTCGATCAACCGCCCGTACTGACAGGTGGTTTCAAAATTGCAGAGTCGCTCGAGACCCGCGCTTCGAACGTCTGACATGTTCGCATTCTGGCACGTATGCCGACGACTGCCTCGTACAGCGAGTGACATCGCACCGGTGCTACATTGTCGCAACGTGTGATCGGGAACTGCGTCGGCGGATACGACAGATCCCTGGTGTACCGCTCATGTATATCGTGCGGAGGCGATACGCGATTGAGCGACTGCCTGATCAGGGCGCGCCAGCATGAGGTCTTCGGACAGCTATCGGGTGGGCAAGTGGCTGTACCCGCTGCGGAACTGGTTTGGTGGTTTGGTTGTAGCCATATTTTGTACGTCCCTGTCTCGGAGTTCAGTCATTGCTTTGACATATTGCATTGCATTACATTCTTTGCGCGTGCATGTGTTCTCTAGAACTTCTTCGATCCCTTCAAATTGTTGCTCGGGTCCTAGGCCATCGACTTCTCCGCAACCACTCGGCCATCTTCGCCCATGTGAGATTCATGCATTGTCAACAAGGCGCCAGTAGGGATCGCCCGTGGAGTCTCCTCGGCGCAAGAACAGGCAGGTATGTACTCGAATACTCGACGGAAGCACCGAGGCTCTGTCTGGGGATCCTGCCTACCATTGACGACGCGTTCGGGCACCAGTCCTTACCCCGGTCTAAGCGGTCTTCTAACCATTTGGCTATGAGCAATACCTTTGCCCCAGTAAGCGGAGCTGGAACATGAAGACCGAGACTGCTTCCACGTCGCGAGGTTCAGCGTTAGACCGCCGCAATGGGCTTTCACACCTTCGTGAGATGCACGGGCGCAGAGCGAACAGTTAGTGCTTCTTCTTCCTCTTCCTCTTCCTCTTCTCCGACGACATCTTATCTGACTGAAAGTGAAATGAGAATCTATGTTTGCGTCTGACCTTGGCCTGTCGAAATGGAATGAATTAGTATGACAGGAAGGCCTCGCCCACGCCATGGTACTTACTGCTTGCGCGTGGTACAGGTATGGCATCACTATACCTGCCGCACTTTCTCTATACCAGAATCCAGAAATAATCTGTATTCAACACAACACTATTCTTCAGTTTATCACTTTTGTTCTATAGTTCGTCGGTTCATTAACTTTAAGTAGGCGCTTAAGTTGCCCTATGGCCAAGTGTGCCACATGTTGCAAACAGAAGTCAACAACGCGCCCGCGACGCCCTTGTGGCTGAGCTCAGCTTCAACGCCTGAGTCGATAGTCCAATCGTCCCTCACAAGATCATTTAACAAGCCAGACTATTCAAAGTTGTTGTTTTCAACAATGAGCAGCGACGACAACATTCCGTCCGAGTACCCATATGCCTGGTCTTCGAGCTCCCAGCTATCGCCGGAGGAGTTTCTCACCAAGGCGCGTGCATCCCTCCAGCAGTTCCCACTTGCACTGACGCGTTCTCTCACTCCAGTACAAGCCGTCGATGATCCAGGATGACGGGACGAAACCTGTGAGAGAGGTTGTTGCGTCTCGTGCATTGGAGCTGACCTTCCCGCGACTATCAGTGGTTGTGGATACGGAAATCCACAACAGACCCGGAAGATACCGACATGGTCGCCGCAGTAGAGGAGGCGACTGAGATCTGTGAGCAGTGAAATGATGTTTTGAAAGACGCTGAGAGGTAACTTATTCTGAGGCAGTGGAGGACGTCACGACGAGGGTCGAAGAGATAAAGGTAACTCAAAATCGACAGCAACTTCCTGTACTGACTCGTGCATGTGCAAAGAACGACGATTCGATACCTGTTCGAGCCAATAAGAAGAAGGGAACAAAGAGCAAGAAGGAAGTGCGCGAAACGGTGCGTATTAGCTGCGCATCGGCTCACACTGTACCCCATTCTCACTAGTGACAGGTCCAAAGCGAGGCCACTGAAAAGCTGAAGGATATCTCCATCCGACATGGCTTCGTCTCGGGAAAATGGCATGCCCTTCTTACGATGATTTCACCTTTACTCACGACTCTCCTATAGGCTCATTTTCGCGCCTACCGATAAGGTTGACCTTGTGTGGTCGACAATCGCTAGTAAGCGGTTTCGCAAGTGGCATGGATATATTCCCACTGACCTGCATTGCTCCGCCAGACTCCCTCATATCGGGCCCGCTTGCTTCCACGAGTGCCCATTGTGCAAAAGTTGCGACATGCCCCAAGCACGAAGTCCCGAACTACTCGCACGTTCTTTGCCTCTACGTTCCCAACGTTTATGACAAGGAAGACGTCACAGAGGTTCGCCGCTACCTTGTTCCTCCGGAACATTCTGACGACGCTCTCTTAGATCATGAAGATACTACTTCGGAAGCATGGAATGAATCTAATGGGCGTCAAATCAAACCTCTACACTGCGATAGGTAGGGAACGTCCACTGCCTCGCACGCGTCTTGATGTGTGCTGAGCGAATTCAAGGGCTTGATAGCAAGCATCCCAGCGGCATTCCATCGACTGTGAGTTGCCTTCCCATGCATAGTCACCGATCCAATCAATGTGGGACCCTTCACTAGGTATGGAAAAACTCAGCACTCATGCCAGAAACGGATATCAAGGTCAGTCCATGGAGCGGAAATATGCCATTTGATCCGCCGGGACTCATCTTGTGCTCCAGAAACTGAAAGAGGAGTACTTCGCAGAGCTCGCTGCGGCCAAGAACAACGATACCGAGAAAACAGCCGCTCGAAAGGCCGCGGCTGGGACCGTGGCCAAGTCAAAGCCCAAATTGAAGCGAAAGGCTGAAAATGACGACCCGTTCGCCTCCGAAGACGACGAACCCAAGGACACAAAGTCAGAGGCCAAGAGCAAGAGCCAAGCGGGCGGCGCTTCCACTTCGCAGAAAACAGCGAAAGCAGCACCTAAGACGAAAAAGAGCTCAGCGAAGGACGAGTTCGGCTCAGATGACGAAGTCGCGGAGGACAGCGATGCAGAGGCCCGGAAAGCAGAGGTCGCAGCGAAGAAAGCCACCTCCAGGCGCAAGGGTGCAAAGCGGCCCAAGGAAGATGACGACAATGACAACGAAACCGAAGACATCGAGGAACGGCCGAGGCAGAAGGTTCGGAGATGAGGGTCGGTACATAGAGTCACCCTCATCTCCACTTTGTCTTGCTTATCCCTGTTTGCATGTTCTGCACTGGCGATCGCTCTTCTGTATAGTATTGACCACTGTGATTCTGATCTTCACGGTATCAAATCTATACCTTGTTTGCCGGCTGCTCAAGCACCTCCGCGCATGAATTTTGAATCTTGTCCTGTAATCCGCATGAAAGTTGGTGAGGCCGCCGGTTGTAACTTGTATCAACTGCGTCGCAAATTATCTTGTTGTATACGTACCAAGTCCTGTGGCTGTCCTAACTCATGTAGACCACGCATGATATATCAACTTAGCTTCTGACTGGCGACAAAGCCGGGAGCATACTGAGAACCTCTGCGGGCACCTTTCAGTATTCTAGATCCAGAAAGCCCTCAGTTTGTATTCTTTGCTACGAACTCCACAACCTCGATATGCAAAAGGGAAAGGTTACAATACACAGATGTCCCAGATATCTCGTAGAGTACAGGTATCGCTAGTGTAGCACGTATCGGCCAGTCCTTCCAGGATTAAGATAGTCTTTTGCGACGAGGGCATTACTTGTCTTCACCGTTGGTCTCTTGTGCAGGTTTCTTCCGCGTCCTACGCCTCTTCGGCGGAGCAGTCTCTGCGACGGCCTCCTCGGTAGGCTCCTCAGGCCGAGGGCGCTTGGTGCCTCTCGGTTTGCCCTTTCTCTTGCGCTTGGTGCTGGGGCCTGGTTCGTCGTCTGAGGATCCTTGAGCATCCTCAGGGCCTGGCTTGTAGGCGGAAGCATCCTTCCCGAGCGGCTTTGTACGTCTCGAGGGGCCGGCCTTCCGACGTGCCACCGCTGAGGCCTTGGACGTTGATGCGTCTTTGTCCGCCTCAATAGGCGACGAGACAGAGTCTGTCTTTCGCCGCTTGTTAGACCGCTCGTCGTCGTCGCTGGCATAACTGCCAGCAACAGAAGCACTATCGACGACACTGCTTCTGCCAGAAGCACGTCCTTTCCGACTTTGCCGACTTGAGACGGTAGAGACAGACCCTGCACGCGAAAACGCCCCAGCTGCAGAGATACTTTCAGCATGCCCGTTGTATTCCGGCGCAGACTGAATGGGAGCTCCGATAGACTTCCGTCCACGAGCAGACAACTTCGCCTTGGACACGGAGTGCTTGTGCTGATGGCGTTTCGGTTTCCACGCGTACTCCTCCCCTTCCTGCGGCAAGTAGAATACCTCTTGTTCCCGTAGGAGGTCGACGCCGACGAGCTGACGAAGAACCCCCAACACGTATGGGTTCAATTTCAAGTGCTCGAGGTCCGCTACCAGTTTAGTGCCTTGTGGGAAGCTCGGGACACCGTGATCGACTATCTCCTCCTCCTCCATCAATTCCTTGTCGTTCAAGGCGCAACCAGGAACAACGAAGTAGATACGGGGTCCATCTTCTTCGCGGGGCAAGCTTATTTTGTGGAAGCGGCAGCGTGACCTGGTGACAGGAGAGTTTCCGGGCTTGAGTCTGCCGGATATCGCAGGCCGAGGCGGAGGGGTCGTCGAGACGGGCTCGTGCACTACAGGCACAGGTGGAGGAGTGGGAGGCTTAGCGTCAGTCGCCGATGGAGGGACTGATGACGGTCCAGCGTCCGATGCTGAGGTTGGTGTAGGTGTTGGTGTCGGAGTCAGAGAAGTCGGACGAGTCGGAGGCAGAGCAGGCGATGGGGACAAGGGGCGAGATTCAGGGCGCATCGGAGATGGAGACGGAGGGCGAGACTCAGACTGTGATAGTGACGGCGCTGTGGATTTTGGCTTAGGCTCCAGCAATTGTGAGGTGGAGCGGCTACCAAGAGTCAACATTCGCGCAGCAGCTTGGAGTACACGACGGCCATGGTGATGATGCATGACCTCCTGCGCATCGATGAGGCGAGGCAAATCGGCGGTCTGAGGATACGTCTGGGTACGGTTGATTGTCGGAGACGCTGCCGACGACGTCTCAAAAGTGAGCGCAGTAGACACAACCGAGGAAGAGCGGGATGTCGGTCGGCTCGCCGCGGTAGAGAGCGAAGGAATCAGAGAATCGCTCCCTTCAGCTTGCTCGTTGGTGGGTGACTCGGTATCGTCACGGTCTCCGGCGGCCTCATCAGTTGCAAGTCTGCCCTTGCCCTTGAGTGCGCGCTGTGCTGTGGGTTTGGGAGGGGCTCCTACGCTGACTGTGGCAGGGTTCTTCAGCGACATCGCGCGAGTCACTCGTGGAGGAAGCCTTGACGCCTCGCGCTTGCGTTTAAGAGGACGAGCATCGGATGATTCTGCCGACTGGGAGTCATCTTGGACTGGACTCTCATCTTTGGGCTCCCTTGCGGAACCGGCGACTACGAAAGGATCGTCGGCATCCGCTGGAACCTCCTGAGTAGCAACGAGAGTCTTTGCTGTCTCCTGAGAACCCTCGGGGCTGCTGCCTCTTGGTCAACGATGGGCGACAAGCAGAAGATAGGAGAAGCAACACGTACAGAGTCTCGCCGTTGTCCTTTGCTTCGACACTGGAATCCGTAGCCACAGCCGTCTCGTCCTTCCTCGCGTTATCCGTTGAGGTGACAGCCGTAGGCTGATCAACTGCCTCAACATGAGCATCGTTGGAGTCGACCGTAGAAGCATACTGCTCGGGTACATAGTCAGGATCAACGTCGCCTTCGGCGTCAGCATCGAGGCTCGTATCGAGGTTGACATGCACGTCGTCATCCTGCTTTTCTTCTGCAGAGGCAGAGATCGCTGACTGCTCCTCGGTATCTGAGGGGTATTCGAGGTTGAGTTCGTCCAGTTCGGCGGTTGGGGCAGTTCCCCTGGGTTCCTGTGGATCTATCCATTCTGGTGACGGCCCCTGTAGATCTACCCATCCTGGTGACACATCTCGACTCCTCTCCGCTGTGACAGCAGACAGCTCTGGCGGTTGTGAGTCGGCAGCAGCCTTCGGAGATTCCGGAATTTCGTCGCTAATAGCGGCAGACACGGTGGCTACCTTGTCGGCGGCGGCTAGTTCGTCTGCAGTTACGACATTCTTCAACGGGGACTCGAGGTGCCCGTCCCCAAGATCACTCGTACGCAACTTCGGAGTGGCCGATCGCGAATTTTCCGCCGTCAGGGGCGTGAAGAGCCCGCTCGGGCTGCGACCCCTTGACGACGTCTCGCCACTGATAGAGGAGTCCCGACTGGTCGAGACGTCCATCTGAGGCGCCTCTATCTCGGCGGGGGTAGCGACTGATGTCTCACCAGGGCTAGGTGCAACACTGGTGGGATCGGGGACCGTCGGATCCGCGGCTACTGGCATGGGAACACCAGACTCCAGCATACGATCGTGCAGGTCAGAGATGGCGAGGTTCACCGGTGCAGGTAAGACACCAGTCTGGTCAAGCGTCTCGTCTTCAACGGTATCCGTTGTCTGTGAATACGTATATCAGACGTTCGTATCAGCTCTGTCCGTTCACAAGCTATACTGACCTCAATAATGCCACTCGGTTCACCGCTGTTTTGAGCCTCGACCGATGAGATATCGTAATCCTCCAACTCCAACGTTGCGTCTGCAGTCTCGACATGGCTATCAGGTTCGCTGACAGTGTACTCCCGGATAGGCGCCTCGAGGGTAGCACCTTCCTCTTCATCGGGTAGCTCTTCAGCGACGATGCTAGGGGCTCGCAGATTGATATCAGGCTCCTGCAGTAAGGTCGACGTCAGTATGACATTGACCACTATGACGCACGAAGTTGTACCTCAGTTCGCCTGCCCTCAGTCACAGGTTCCTCGACCTCGTACTCCACTGTCACGGCAGTGGATTCCTGACGCATGTCACTCGAGGTGTCCTCCACTACCAGCTCCTCCCCAAGAGTGGGTTTCACTGATTCGGCAACAGCGTCTGCAGGTTCCTCAGGCACAACAAAACTCTCGGGCTGTAGCTCATCATCCGCCGTAGTTTCAGTCACATCTTGTTCACCAAGATCCACTGAAGGACTCGCGAGGAAGTCTCGAATCAGCGCATCGTCGGACTCCTGCAGGCGTGAGGATTGGTCTTGCGCGAGCCTCTGCTCTTCCGAGGCAATGTACGCATCGATATCGGCATATAAGTCGTCGACTGAGGCTTGATCGGGATAATCCGACGTCGCTGGACAAAACAGTCAGTCTAAGCAGAGAACGTCAGCCATCGGGAGCTTACCACCGGATGTCTCGAGGGTAATTGAGTCTTCAGGTACAAAGTCTACCAGTTGGATGTCGGCAGACTCCTCGGGCCTCTCCTCTGATGCTGCTCGGCTCTCCTCACCAGCATCGGCATCCGGACTAGCTGGTACGTCGGGACGCTCTTCAGTAAGCTCAGCGTGAACTGCGGCAGGTGTTGCATGCGATTCTGCTTCATCGTCGCTGATTTCGACGATCTCCGCGGAGTCATCCTGAAGCTCTGGGCTTTGCAGGTGCCCCGGCCTTGTTGCCATTCTACCGTCGGGGAACGCAGGTGGCCAGTTCCAATCCACGTGAGACATGAACTTGGGAGGTGAAGGCGAGTCCGTGGAGCCCAGCTCAGGCGAGTCCGGTCTGTCGCCAGCCTCCCCTTCTGCTGAAGGACCAACTTCGGCGCCGTGCGCCATGTGCTCCAAGTCTTCGTCGACAAGATCAGCGTACAGCTCGTCCATGAATGCTTTGCTATGTTCAGCTTCGCGATCGCCATCGGGTTCAACGGCCTGAAGGGCAGGGGTCTCCGGAGTGCCTACATCGGGTGTGAGGAACTCTGCGAGTTCGTTCTCCGTTGGCATAAGATGGGATGGTGATGGCAGGCGCGTGCGCAGGTCGCTTTCACGGATGTCGCCTCCCGAGTAATAGTCTTCCGCATATAAGCGGGGTCCGCTCCAGGGGTCGGGTAGCTGAACTTCGTGCGCATCTTCAGCCGCGATCGACACGCCTGAATGAACGTTAGCAATGAGCCACTGTACGACATCCATCACGTACCTCTTGAGTCCACCCCCTGGTCTTCACCCGTAGGACCAGAGACCTCCACGATATCGTCTTCGTCTTCGGCAGGTAGTACATGCGGGTTGGCGGCGTCGCCACGCTCGAGGGGGAAGTCGCCACCAGAGTAGAAGTCCTCTGCATAGATACTCGGGCCTGCCCATGGGTCTGGGAGGTCCACCCGGTGCTCAAACTCTTTCTCGCCCTCGTCTTCAGTGGCCTCGGGCTCGATGTCATTCTCTTCGACAAAGCCCGCGTATGGAACCTCCGGCCTCACAGCAACCACAGAACTAGGCTGTTCGACCACCGCGTCGCATTTCTCGTCTTTGTCTTCCTCTTCCTCGCCCTCGTCGATCTCGTCCTCTCCAGCCTCGCGGAGGGCCTGCAGTTGCCGCTCGAGTTTGGCCAGAGTGGTCGCCTGCTCCTCGTCGGAGCCTTCAGCATCCTCTTCCCATTCTTCCTCTTCTTCGTACCGGACATGCTGTGGCGAGTCCTCCTCCTCCTCCTCGTCTGATAGTAATTCAATGACCTCCGCTGCAGGAGCCTTAGGTTGAGGCTCCTCCTCCTCTTCCTCTGATGACTCGTCATCGAGCTCCTCTTCCGCTTCTTCGGGAGCATTGACAACTGGACGCGAATCTTCTTCTCCTTCCTCGTCCTCCGGTGACTCTTCTTCCTCCGGTTGCTCTTCATCCTCCTGCTCGAACTCCTCCCCTTCATCGTAAAGAAGGGCCCGCGCAGCCTCCTCAGCCTCCTTCTCCTCGTCGTCCTCCTCATCGGATTCGATGACAATCGGCTGCTCTACGTCTCCGGCTTGGACTTCGCGCTCCTTGCCCTTGGCCGCACGCCGTGCCTTGACGGCTGCGAAAGAGTCTTCCGGGGTCTCCTCGTCGCGCTCAACGCGCTCCGGGGCCCTCGCTGTTCGTTCTCGGGGATCTTCCCTACCAAGCGCCGCCCTAATTGCGCTGGTCATGTCGCCGATCCATGACTGGAACTCGGGCTCGGGGAACTGGTCGTATGGATTGAGTATCGGTGCACGGGGCACCTTCCGCGACGCGCTTCGTGACGTCGGCGTCGAGTAGGGCACCCTTGGGTACCTCGGTGTCGCGTAGGGCGTCGTCATCGCCGACAATGGTCGGGACGGTCGCGGGGGATGTAGTGAGTTTGAAGGAAAGAACAAGGCCGCCACAGTGACGCGCCTATACAAGCAGCCACAGGCCACAGCGGAGTTTCCACGGATTACGTAAGGGAAGAACGCTGGTGTCACGCATTCCTTTCGTGACAGGTCGCGTCTTTTGTCACACAGGAACCAAACAGGAACCGCTTCTTGTCCACTTCAAACGACGAGCTCTTCTATCCGTCGATGTTCAGGTCTCTGCGGGCGGCGCGCAGGCCCTTTGCTCAACCCTCTAGGTCTATCGCGTATAAAACTAGAATCTCGCTGGACCGCATAATGTCAGACGACCTACAACCGCTGACCTTCGCCTCGGGACCGTTGGTCTGGATTGACTGCGAAATGACCGGATTAAATCCTCAGAAGCATAAGATCCTTGAGATAGCTGTAGGTGCGGAAAAATTGAGGACACCTTACTCGCTGAATTGACCGTATGTCTAGGTCCTTATCACAAACGGAAACCTGGACCTTGTGGATCAGGGCATTGAGTTTGTGGTACACACTGAAAAGGCTGTCCTGGATGGGTGAGCTACATCTGACGGCACGTCGAGCTTTTGTGTGTTCATAATGCTGACGGGGATGTAGAATGGATGAATGGTGTACAAAGCAACATGGAATGGTACGTTCGTTTTTGCTTCGTACATCCGTCAGCCTCTTATGCCCACCCACAGTCTGGCTTGACACGGGCGTGCCTTGAGTCACCACATACAACAGAAGAGGTCGAGCAGAAGGTGCTCGCATACATCAAGAAATGGATTCCCCAGACTCGGACGGGCATCCTCGCTGGGAATTCTGTGCATGCCGACAGGTCCTTCCTCGTCCAGGAAATGCCACAAATCACCAATCATTTGCATTATCGGTCTATATTTTCTACGTCATAATGTGATTCACTCAATGCTAACCTACAACTTACCAGTATTGTCGGTGAGTAACACCATTTGCGCTTGTCGTGCCCACTTATGCGTTCTGGCCTTCGCTAGATGTATCTTCCATTAAGGTGTGTCCGTATGCCTGTGAGGGACACTCTAACGAGGCTGATATTCATTTTTCAGGAACTATGTCGAAGATGGTACCCGACACTACAGGTGCCAAAAGACCTGTATGAGAGCGAAAATAGCGCGCACCGGTACGCAGAGTCGTGTCAGCACGGACGACATTCTCACAAAACCCGTAGCGCTTTGAGTGATATCCGCGGTTCGATCCGAGGTCAGTGTAATTCTGTCAAAGGCTGAACGATTCTGACTATTTCGCTGCAGAACTCAAGTGGTATCGAGACAATATTTTCCGTACGCCCGCGGAGCTGGGCAACCATCTCGGTTCCGCAACGGTGTCCCCGAGCCATAGTTGACCCAAGCGATTCGCGGACAGCTTCTCTCTTTCGCTAGGCTAGCACTATGGTACCGAACACCAACCGAACACGACTCGTTTCTTTTGGGTGATGCTGAGTACGCTAAACTGTACTTCGCCCCCTCGCGTAGTTGCATAACGCACGGTTACGGTCGATAGCCCAGCCTGTTGAATGCATGCATGCATATTGAACCCGATGGGTGTTTGACCTCCCCAGACATCAATCATACTAGTATACCAGGTACTACATACCTCACGCCACCTCGCTGGCAAATTGAGTGACTGCGCACAGAGGTCGTCTGACATGACTGAGACCCATTCTGTATCCTTTCTACCTCTCCTGGTTTGACTGGTCAGACAGTCTGAGACGTCTGCGTTTCAACAAGGTGTCGGAAATGTGATGGAATGCGAGACGCGTTCGCCTGCCAGACCGTCAGTGCGTGACCGAAACAGGTCACAGACGCGTCAGTCACGTGCTCCAGCCCCCCTGTTTTCCAGCCAATCCACCGGCGCCGAGCGCAAGCCACTTTCGCGCCAGCCCTCACAGTCATCGCACCCGTCTTCGGCGTGTCTCGCACTCACCACCCACAGCACCCACCACCCACCATGAGCGCCGACATCCAGCGGTACGAGCCGCACATCCGGCACATCCTCAACGCGCCTGGCGTGGACCTCACCACAATCAGCGCCAAACGCGTCCGCAAGCAGCTCGTCGAGATGGACGACTCGCTCACCGCGGAGTTCGTGCGCGAGCACAAGGATGGGTTCGACAGCATCATTGCGAGCGTGTACGAGGAGGTTAGCGCCGCGCAGGCGAATGACAGCAAGGGCAAGCGAAGGAGCCGCGACGACGAGGAAGAGGAGGGTTACGCGAACGGGGACGGCGACGGAGGAGACGAGGGAGATGAAGGCGACGAGGGCGAAGAGGAGGTCGAGGTGAAGCCTAAGAAGGCGAAGAGAGCGAAGAAGGGCAGCCTCACGGACGAGGAGATGGCACGGCAGCTCGACAGTGAGATTAACGGCCGCCAACGCAGTTCGCGGGCTTCGTCAACGTCGACGCGGGGTCGGGGTCGGGGCGGCAAGAGGGGTGGTAAGAGGGGCGCGAAGAGTTCGGCCACTGTCAACTCTGACGGCGAGACCGTGGACGATGCCGGCGAGGTTGTGAAGAAGAAACGTGGAGGGGGCGGGTTCAAGAAAGAATACGTACTGAGGTACGTGCAATCCCCCGTCCTCTACAAAGGCGAAACTGACTAGGATGCCCCCAGCGAGCCTTTGGTTGCTGTCGCTGAGGTGGACAAGCTTTCGCGGCCACAAACCGTCAAGAAGCTGTGGGAATACATCCGGCGCAATAATTTGCAGAACCCAGAAAACAAAAGGGAGATCATCTGCGACGACAAGTTCAGGGCGCTCTTCAACGTGGAGAAGATTGACATGTTTACCATGAACAAACAGCTCGGTCGGTGAGTAGCGCCTCCCCTCAGTCCGCCACGTCTTCTCATCTTTTCATGCCAGTCACTTACGGGAGCCCGACGTCGACCCGGAGGCATAGTCCCTATGTATTCATATCCCTAGCTCCCTTTCGACGGATGGGCCCTTAAGCTAAGCGATACTTGCTAGCATCTCATCAGCGCCGCCTTTTGTTGTGGCCTATTCGTTTCCGCAACTCGCGGACCTTCGACTGTGTTATGAAAGTATTTATACATAGGTACACTGCTCCTGTGCATGTGCGTAATTTGCTACTTGTACCCTACTTACTCTGGCTGGCTAGCGCGTTGTTGGTGAGATCATGTTATTGGCAATGCGCGGACGGATCCAATAAACGATTGACAGGTGATTTGCAACGACTCTACGCCGCTGAAGGAGTGCTGAGTAAAAGAGAGTTGGCTACGTACAGCTCTACGACTACTCACCTAACTGTCGAAGCACCTACGTTGAGGCACGACGGAGCCACGCGCGATGTCGCTCCGCGTGCGTCAGAACCAAAAGCTTCGAGGGCGCAGGGGCTCCGAGGCCGTGGTCATGAGCACCGTACGGGTCTGCTGCATAGACGTCCGGCGTGCCGCAGATGTATATCGCAGCTCGCAAGTAAAGCCACATCGTCTCGTGCTCCGGGTACGAGGCAAGCAACGATTTGGCATGCGCATACAACGCGGTGCGGAGCGTCAGGTTGTCTATGTGGTCCAAGTCGAGGGTTCTCGCCGCGTCGATTGGAAGGGGGATGTCTTCCTGCCGGAGCAAGAGGAGGTGCATGTTGCAGAAATAATGCACGGCGGTGTAGTCCGAGATGTGTCGCTCGATCCATGTGCGGGCGAATAGCACTTCTTCTAGAAGGAGAGAGCGGTAGGCTTGTTGAAACGGTGTCGGTGAACGTGCGAGCATGACGAGCGCTTCGAGACAGAGGTAGCGGTGGATCCAGGCAAAATAATTTCGGGGATACGTCTCGCAAGCTTGGGCGACGATGGCAAACTCAGAACGCAGTGTCTCCGTAGAGAGCACGGTGTCGCGGAGCGTGTCCTCCTGTCGGATGCATCTAGCATTCGCTACGACATCTGTCGTGACGATACGACGCAGTAGCCATCGACGGTGGTGCCATAGAAGACTCTCCTTCGAGCACTCCCGAACAACGAGTAGCGCCGAGAGAAATTGCAACTCCTTGCTAGTGTCCAATAGACCAGAAGAGAATAGTTGTTTTCGCGTGTTCAATGCAGTCTGGTGAGCCGGGTTTGCGAGTAGGATGACAGCCGACAAGTGTGCAAGCCGCTCTGCGTCGATCGGGCTTGAAGCACTTCGGGGGCTCGGCCTGAGTTTCGCGTATTCGCGGACGGCAACAGCATAAGCCTTGTATAGCACCTTTCGAGGCACGCCTAGATGTCCCTCGACGTAAAGGAAAGGCCGATATGCCTGCTGGTCTGCATCGCTCAGCCAATCGGGTGGCCCGTCCGAGCCGTCACCTGGAATGACCTCGATGGAGAGCCTGTGAAACCTCTTATCAATGGCAGACTCTGCGCACTGGCAGTAGATGCTCACGGTGGAATTATCAGCAGTTTTCCAAGCCGTTCCAGCGGTGTGGTCGCGCTCTGACTCTCGTCCATCTCAGGCGGATGAAGGAACTGAACTACGTGCCACACAGTCCCGAAATGGCAACTCCGGGATGATCTCTGACCCCGTTCTCGATGACTACAAGGCTGCCCCTACCTATGGCCGGGGGTGTCTTCTACATTCATCACGCCCGCGTACCGCCCGTGGATGGCTCCAAAGTGTTCAAATTCATTCAAATCCATGACATAACGCAGTGAGCCGAAAAACAGTAGTTGCCTAATCGGACGATGGCATTCTGAAAAAGGAAATCATGCTCCTCTGCGGTAGAAGATGGGTTAAGCGCCCATGATGCTGGACGCTCTCCACCTGCCTCGACCGCACCTTGTCTTTTCCCCTCATCTCCCCTCCTACCTTTGCCCACCATCTGCCGGACTACCTTCCATGACGGTTCGCAAGTCCTCTGTCCTATTCATCGTTGCTGCTGATGAGATAACAGAGTTATGACCACTGCATAGACGAAGTCTACGAGGCCTACCGCCGCCTCACCCATGATCAACTCGTCCTCTTCCTCAAAATTCGGAGCCTTCCGCAGAAGGGTACGGACGACGAGCTCGCCGTCAGACTCGCGCAAAATGACATACACACATATCGTGTCTATCCAACCACAAATGGGGCGGCTACGAACGGGGTAGCAAGCCCAATATGCTCGCCATCGCCTCTGGAAGCCCCGAAACCGCGTCCGAAGCAAGGCAAAGCCCCGGACCTGCCCGTGGAGATTCTAGCAGAGATCATGGACAAAGTGGGAGACTGGGAACTGGCGAAGGCGGTGGGTGTACCAACATCGCTCCCCGAACCTCAGGAGTGGCATCGCGCCAGTCCGTCCGACCACGCTATTCTGACCGGGTACCTCCCCGTCGTACGCTCTGTCAACCCTGCGGCCCAGTCCCCGACGAAACTGGGGGCTAGTCTTGCCGTGCGGTTTTCGTACGTACATGTCCTCGAGTACTTTTTCACGCAACACCGCTCGATCTTCTTGCACGTGTACAAGAACGATCTGCTGCCGATTAAGGCCTCGCTACACGGCCGCGTTGCGGTCCTTTCGTGGTGGAAGCGTGCACACGAGCAGTACCCCGACGTAATACCACTCCCCTCGCCGACTCACGTCGCGGAAGCCATCGACGCCGCGTCGCGCAACGGGCAGGTTGCCTCTCTCGACTGGTGGCTGCACTCGGGCATCCCGCTCGAGTACACCGAAGCCGCGCTAGAGTACGCGAGCGCGAAAAACCAGCTCGCCGTGCTCGCCTGGTGGAAGCAGCAGGCGACGTCACCCGAGCACCGACTGCCACTGAAGATCGGGCGCGTCATGGACCTGGCGAGCACGGCGGGTCACGTCGATGTGCTAGAGTGGTGGGCGCGCTCGCAGCTCGACTTCAAGTACGACAAGCAGGCGCTGTACCACGCGGGCTGTCACGGCAAGGTCGAGGTTCTCCAGTGGTGGCTCGGGAGCGGGCTCCAGCTCATCTTCGACTCGGACGCGCTCACGGGCGCGACGCGGCACAACCGCCCGGACGTGCTCGAATGGTGGGACCAGAGCGGGTTGCCGATACAGTACCGGATGTGCGACATCGAGGAGGCGCTCGAGGACGCGATTGGTGGGGGTGAGGCGGCGCGGATGTGGTGGCGCCAAAAAGGCATCGACTTTAACGCGAACGACACGGAATGGATGAAGCTGCAGAACCTCAATTAGCAGGGAGGGACGTGTGGGCCGGCTGCGAACGCTTTTTGTATGGTATTGCTAATCACGCTGACAATGCGTCTTGTTTTGCCTGCCTTAACTGTATTGCATACACGTAGAGTTGCTTCTGCTACGTTTGTCGTATCTTCATCCGCACATCATGTATTACCAGCCATTCCCGCATATTTTCATATCGTATTTTCTCGCGCATTTGGTGACATCTTGGCGTTGATTGACGAGCAGAAGCTGAGGACGCCTTGGTCATTCGTCGGGTGAGTCTCATTCGTCTCACGAATGAAGTGGTACTAAATCAGTTCATTTCGCAGTTCATTTCGCAGTAAACTCGCGGATACACACACTCGTACATACAACAGGGCAGCTATGAATACATCGTTTCGTCCGACACGGTCACGCATGGTCGCAGTTGTAGACATTCACGTACGACCATTCACCACCGGGCTAGTCGCCGCGCTGCCGCTCCCGACGCCCGGCACCGACACCCAGAGAAGCGGGAACGAGACGCCTGTACGCATTGACTCCTTCGTCAGTGCGTGCGCACAATGTTCGGAGCACGACTCACCGATATGCGCCATGAACTTGTTGATGTTGCGTTCGCGGTCACCGTTTCCGCCCAGGCCGTACTCCGCCATGAGGTCTCGTACCTGCTCGGCTACACCGAATACAGTGCATCGTCAGTCTCGGTTGATACGAGATGTAGGATGTGCTAACGTGTGTACGCAAACAGGGAGCGCAGGTTCTCTGGCCACAAAGCGGATCTGGTGCCGTCGCGCTTCAAGACTATTGCGAGTGTCTCGTCGAGGTGGTTCGTCTTCAACCCCGAGTTCATACGCCTCGCCTCGCTGGGGATATAGTTGACGAAATGTTCAGTGTTCGATGTCGCGCAACTGTGCTTACGAGTTTTGGAAGGCCTGCTTGACCTCTTCGATTTGTCTTCGACTCTCCTCCACCTGGTCCTTCAGCGGGACAGGCAGATGTCGGCGTATGTGCACTGCCAGCCGCGCATTGACTTGCTCGGCAACCTGTTTCCGTATCTGCGCCTCGATGTCGTTCCTACAACAACGGGTCAGTCTTACTTGCTGCTGGGTGCGCGCAGGCGACGGGCCTCAGATACATACTTCATTTGTCTGGCAATAGTCTCTTTCATCTTGTCCTTGACAGTGCTTCTGAAGTGCTCAATGCCCTTGTCATGTTTGTCGCGCGTTGATCTGATCTCTCGCTCCAGCTCTTCTACCTGATGCTTGAGACTCTCCTAGTGTTGGTGTTAAATACCGTGACAGCTTATAGGCACTCGACTGATACAGTCATGATTCACCTTGCTCGGCCCCAACATCGTCACCCTGGCGGACTGTTCGTCAATGGTCTTCGATTGTTGCCCGCTGTTCAGATTTGCCAATCAGTTCCTCTTTGGTATACATGACGCCCTCTCCGTCTTCCTCAGCTCCCGCCATGGAGGGTTGAGGAAGTCGGAGGACTACGTACATGGTGGCACAACTACCCTTCATAAGACCCAGCATTTGATGAATGACCCCGAAATCAAGAGACGAGATGGTGTCTATTGGGCCACCGTTACTGGGGCTGGATACGGCTCCGCCGTTTGCGTGTAACGTCGCCATTGTTGAAAGTCCAGAATACAATGATTGTGATGAGGACGAGAGGCAGGATGTATGCAATATGCACGAATATGATACAGAGAAGCAGCAAGACGATGCCGATGACGAGCTGGTCCTGCCCGTTCATCCTCACTTCTTATATCGCCCAAGACGCCGTAACAGTGTGAGGAAGCGGTTTAGGTTTGGGAATCGGCGGAAGGACAAGGACAAGCCATGGGAAGGCGTCCGACTCTTCTCCGCCTCACTTTAACCTCGTTGCAGGGCGCATGGCGCCGCGAGCCAACGAGATGCAAGCCTGAGTGGATATAGCAGTCAGGGCATTGCCATCACCTCGATGAACTCTATCCTGGCTATCTCATGACCACATCAGCACCACCTGAGATAAGCGTCCTCCATTCCGGTATCGATACAGACAACGACGTGTTTTAGCGACCAAATGTCCACGGAAACCATCCGACCCGCACGCATCACTATAGTAGTGGTGCTTGCCAATCCACCGGAGGTGCCTGGCCACCATTTCCCTGTTGTTCTTGTTGTTGGGCATCTCTCCGAATGCGGTCCATCCAGCGCCCACGAACGTAAATTAGCACAGATACCATGATGCAGACGACCACAAGGAGCATGGTCTCTGTGAAGTCGTCTTCATCGTCATCTCTGCCACGGCGCGTAGCGGCGTCGAAGTAGTCTTCAGGGCCGAAGTCGCCTTCGCGATCGGCCTCGGCTTGCTTGCGTTGCCTCGCCCACTGGCGCGAACATTATGTATTAGCAAGGCAATCGCGAAAGAGTGCTGGGAAGACGCACCTGTACCGGATCGTCGTCGTCGTGGCGTGCACGGTCGACGTTCTGGCCGGTCTTCTTCCGCTTGTTGAACTCTTCGCGGGCCTTCCCAAAGTACCAAGCTCCGTCCTCGTACTCATCGATCTCGGCTGCGGGCTCTCCGGCTGCAGCCTGCGTGTCGTCTGCCTCTTCGCCGCCTTCGATCGTGCGTCCGTGTGGGGGTTGACGAGACCCACCTGATATTATTAGCATAACCTTATGTAGATGGACATGTGTACTTACTGTTCTCATCATCGTCGTCGCCCCATATACTCAGTCCGCCGGAGCGCCCGGTAAGAGTTCGCCACAAACTCCGAGCGTGCAACTTCAACAGCGAGATCGAGACAGGCATCGACGCCTCACTGTTGGTTTCTAGAGCCAGATCGTAATGGCGCTTCGCTAAGTGGAAGTCCTTTAGAACACGTCGTGAGTTGCCAATAGCCACAATATTCTTCAAATTTCACATACTTGAGGAACGCCAATGCCGTTCTCATACATCCACCCAAGATTCCACATCGCCAGCGCGCTCATCTGGGTGTCGGCCGCAGACTGGTAGTAGCCCGCCGCCTTCTCCCAACGCACGTTCTCAGGCTCGTCAGGGACACCCAACCCATGGTAGTAGTAGTCGCCCACTTTGACGAGGGAGTCGACGTTGCGCTGGGCTGCTGATCGGATCCATTGGGTGAGAGCGACTCGGGCTGTGTCATTTGAGGGTGAGGTGGGCGCGAATCTCGTGAAGCGCAAGATGCTTTTGTCTGCACGCGGTCAGTCAAGCAATCTGAACAAGCTAGACTTACGCATACCTTGGTCAAGAACGAATGCAAGGTTGTTCTGAGCGACCTCGTTGCCCCGCTCAGCAGCGATCCACCACCTCAACATCGCCATCTCATGGTCCCTCTCCATGCCGAACTCCCAAAGCTCCGCCGCGTCGCCCAGGAGGTCCTCGTCCCACACGCCGCGCTCCGTGACGACCTTGAAGAACGACACCGCTACAGAGCACGAGCTCCCTGCGATATGCGGGTTGGCTATGTTGCTCCGTGCCTGAGCGGCCTGAATTTCCGCGAGGTAGTAGTACGCCTCGAACGGCGAGCCATGGCGCATCGCCGTCTCGAAGTAGGACGCAGCCACCTTCACGTCGCCCCGCTCTGCGAACGGTCAGCACTCCGCTGCTCGCCGCCGCACCTAACGCTCTCACCATAGTGCATCTTCCCCAGGTTGACTGCGGCCTCCGCCAACTCCTGCCCCGCCGCGACCGTGAAATGATGCATCGCCTTCTTCGCGTCCTTGCGCCCTTCGACCAGCCCGTCCCTCCATATGATGCCCAGCCCGTTGTGGCTCTCCTTCTCGTTGAACCCCGCTCCGCGGTCAAGCCACATCTTCGCCGTCGCTGCGTCCGCCTTGACGCCCTCCCCGCGGAGGTACATCCGCCCGAGGTAGCCCGCAGCGAGCGCCGCGTACGCGGCGAGCGTCGGGTTCTCTTCACGGAGGGCTTGCGTGGAGGTGTCGCGCACGTCGCCGTGGTCCCGCGGCCAGACTTGCCGTGCGATCCGCAGGAAGTAGTAGCGGGCGCGCGCGAAGTCCCGTGGGATGGCACTCGCGCCTTCGCCGCCCGAGGAGGTACCGCCAGGCAGCCCATATATACTGCCCTGATAAAATATTTTGCCCAGACGGAAGGCGAAGTCGGTCTCGCCGCGGTCCGCGTTGAACTGGGCGGTCGTATTCAGTGTTGACGCAAGCGGGGCACGCGGCTGGTATGCTCACCAAGTAGTATTCAAGGAGATCTTCCCATGTCTCTCCCGCTGCCCGAGCACGAGCAGTCTTGATGACTGGTCTGCCCGCCTGGAGTCCCGTGGACGCCACGCTCGCGCCGGGACCGAAGACACCACCGACAAGGTCAGACAACTTCGGCGCAGCGAGAGGAAGCGTGCGGCCACCCGGAGGGCCGGACAGGAACTTCGCCATCGCTATCGCCATGTCAGCCTATGCATCTCAAAACGGGTGACACGCGACTTACTTTGTTCCGCTGCATCTTCGTACCAGGCGAGTGAGTCCATACAGTTCTCGGCAACACCGATGCCCGCCCAATATCTGTAGCCGAGTGCCATCTGCGCGCCTTTGTGTCCGCCATGTGCGGCGAAGGTGAGGTACAATTGTGCCTTTGCTTGGTCTATAGGAACGACGCCGTGGTAACCAGTCGAATGGAAGAAACCTAGCATAGTTTGAGAGGACGCATTCCCCGTCAGCTGTGCATGAGTAGAGTAGGAATCATGTCCAAGCTGGGGGTCCGACGGGAAGTAGCTATTAGGCGGCAGCTACGATGTCCTGTGAGCTACAAGCAGTTGGTCTATGACATGCACTCACCAAAGAAATCTGTGCCAACGTGTACAAAGCATCCGTATGCCCGAGATCCGCTGCATGTTGCAAAAGGTCAATGACCTTGACTGCCTTGCCATGTAGTTCCGTATCCTTCTGCCTCCCTCCGCTTAGTTCATCTTTCACGTAGCCCGTCAAGGACGCGGGCAGCCATGACTGGTGGAGGAGCTTCACCGCTATTCGCATCGCGCTCGAGATTGGTCCATGGCCCTGGATGCTGGGAAATAGTGACGAGAACTGGAATCCATTGTTGCCGTACGAAAGGTAGAGGCTCGGATCCTCTGTCTGGGATGGCGGTAGAGCGGTCAGCGTGGAGAGCGTGGAGATGGCTTGCTTGTATGCCCTAGAGGCTGCATGTCGTATGTCAGAACTAAGCACCTGAGAGTTTGCTGCCCATTCATACCTTCCGCAGCCTGGTCAACAACTTGAACATCCTCCCCAACCTTGCCCGTAGCGTCTACCGCACAGGCGAAGGCGGCAAGAGCGATGACTCCAAAGGCAATCAGGCTAGCTTTGCGTGCACTACGTGAGCCTGCCTTCCCCATCGTCAAGAAGCACAAGAGCGTGCGCGTCGCTGTCCAAAAGCCGAGAACGAGGACGAGGACGAGGAGGTGAACCAGAGATGCTGATGAACGAGGAGGCGTGTACGTTGACTCTGAGCGCGGTACACGTACGCGACGTCATCTTATCGGATAACCTCGTTATGGTGGGAGCGCGATCAGCCGTTCCACAAATGGAAAGAAGAGGAAATTGTCGACGAAATACGACGCCGACTCACGTCCTCTGCAGCGACCGTCTGAATCTTAGACCCTGTGCCTCACTTCATAGCCCGGATATCCAGTATTTGGACGGCGCGACCTCAGTCACTTCCGCATTCGCGAGCTATGGCACCTACACGTACAAAAGGAGCAGGGCCATCGACTTCAAGGGATGGCCAAGCAGGGAGCAAGCAGAAAGGCAGCGGGAAGCATCAACACCACCGAAAACAACAAGGATCAGAAGGCGAACTTGCTGGGCTTCCGGGCGTGCAGAAGATCAAAGCAGCCTTGCGCCAGACGAGGAGACTTCTTGCTAAGGTTGATTCAACTGTCATTCGCGTGTGGTAGACGCAGTACTCAATAGATATCTGTGTAGGATAAGTTGGCAGCGGATGTACGAACAAAAACGGAAAGGAGGCTCAAGGCTCTGGAGGCGGACCTCGCACAGGCCGAGCGTACGAGAAAGGAGCGGGCGTTGTCCCAGAGGTATCATGCCGTCAAGTTCTTCGGTGAGCACGCATGGGATCCGAGCACGAAGCTAAACCCCGTCGTTCATACTGAGAACTGCTGTTTGCTAGAACGACGGAAAGTTACACGAAGGATACAGCAAGTCAAACGGCAACTTGCCGAAGACAAAAATGCAGAGGGAGAACAGCTAGGCAAGAAGGAACGGAAACGATTAGAGAAGAAGTTGGAGGAGCTGCGTGTAGACCTCAATTACATCATTGTGAGTCCCTCTCTATCCTACCTACCCTCCCTTAAACACTCATCCGTATCCACCAGCACTACCCGAAACTCAACAAATACATCGCCCTCTTCCCGCCTGAGCTCCGCGGCGAGCCTCAGGCGCATCCCGACCCTTACCCCCACACGCACTCCCGCTCGAAGGACTCGGAGAGCGAACAAAATCCGGAGAATGAGACTGACGCACAACGCGAGGAGGTCCGGACGTGGGTGCGCGAGCAGATGGCCGCCGGCGAGATGAGCGCGGAGCCTGAGGTAGAGCTGCACAAGAAAGACCGACCTACGACGTCGCATGACCGACCCCTCGGTGCTAAGGGAAATGCGCGGTTGGAGGAAGAGGAGAAGCGGAAGGCGACGGATACGAAGTCGGCTGCGTTGGAGGGAGATGCGTTCTTCGGGGAAGATGCTGGCAGTGAGGAGAGCGGTGATGGTGGTGAAGACGAGGACGAAGATGACGACGAGGACATGGATAGTGACTGATGGCATTCGTTCCTGAGATCGTCGGTGTGCCCTTCCTTTCGCTTGTTCATGTATGGGTTTTCCGAAGTCTTCCATGTTTGCCTACACCAGGGTACGTTGCTAAGCTCAGCGCATGCGTCATTCTGGGGCCTCGACCATGGCTGGCATTGTACGTCCCTTGCATCACATTCGTATCGGCTCTCATGATGACCCCCTTGTTCTCATAGTGTCGCCGTGTCCCATGCCGGTCTGTGGGAGCTAATCAGTGCATCGACACAGCCCCTGTGGGCAGGGAGAACACATCCCTTACTGAGCACAACGATGCATACACAGGAATTGCTCTAGCCTATGGCAGTGAACGAGTTTGCTCACGGGGCTATGACAACGGCTATGTTGTGGGTGCCTTCGCAAACCTTAACGTTCGCGCGCGCGAAGGATAAGAACCAGCTCCGAGCAAGGCGTTACGCAGGTCCGTGTACCAACCAAGCCCACCGCCGCCCTTTCTGCCTACAGACATTTTCCCATCGAATCCCCGACACCCGTTCATCATGATTGATCCATCGACGACTCGATCGGAGCCATCGTCTGCCGGCATGGACAAACAATGTCAGACGCAGGATGCCTCTTCCTTCGTACGCGATGAGGAAATTTGGTTCCTAGACGGGAACGTGGTGCTTGAAGCACGAGGGCGCGCCTTCAGGGTATACCGCGGGTTGCTCGCCCGCGACTCAGAGATCTTCGCCGACCTGTTCACTGTCCCCAACCGCCGTGTGAGGAGACATTCGATGGGTGCCCGGTTGTCCACCTCCAGGACCATCCCGAGGAACTCCGCCACCTCCTGCGAGTCATTTTTGATGGCAGAAGGTAGGCGTCATCTCGTGCGATACCGTGTGTTGACTGATACCACATCGGTAGATACTATCAACCTGACGATCAACTCGACTTCATGGTCGTAGCTGCCCTCGTCTGCCTAGCGCACAAATATCAGGTCGATTACGTGCGCGACGCATATCTCTCGAGAATGAAGTCGTGCTTCTGTACCGACCTGAAGATGTGGAACGGGGTCCATGATGCGCATGGCAGCGCTGTCATGAGATACAGCAATGTCGACGCCATCACTGCCGTGAACATCGCGCGGCTCACCGGGACGAACTCCATGTTGCCCACCGCCCTGTATCTTTGCTGCCAGCTTGACGTGGAGTGCCTCCTCAATGGCTCGCCGAGGCTCGGTGGCACTCTCGAGTGCCTGAGCAGACAGGATTTCGTGCGATGCATGAACGCTCGTCAATCGCTTCTGACTTCGACGGTCCTGGAAGATCTCGATTTCTACATTCGATCGTTGCAACGTGGCCCGAAGCTCCATGAGCACTGTCAACACGAAATCGATGTCATACGCCGCGAACATCTGGTTGGTTCACTGGGACTCCCACCCTCGGAGGATGCTCTAGCATCTGAGGTGCCCTCTTATCGCGCCTCTCAGAAAAAGCTTTGGTGGGGGATGTGTGCCGAATGCGCCGAAGCAATGGGTCTTGATGACCAATTGAGACGCACGATCCTTTGGTGCAAACTTCCGGAACTCCTGGCTCTGGAGGCACCGGCGGAGTGGCCTGAGCCACCTGCGGAGAATTTCCGATCAACGCGTATTGTGCCATGGGGGATGGAATGGTAGTTATAAGATCCTAGATCGTCTACTGGCATTGTCAATTGAATACTGTAGTATCTGCTGATCGTAGCAGGAAGTATGCACAATGTTCAAGGCTTTCTGGTACGTCATTGTCAGGGTCGTACCGCTTGTAAGTACTCAAGTAATGACACAGAATCCGGCGTGAGGGCTAATATTGCCCTGTACGAAGTCAGCAATGCGAAGACCGCATATATACATACACCGTCACTGTGGGATGGCCAACTTTAAAATTCGAGGAGCAACACTGTCTTAACTCAAGTTCGTCGCGTCGCAAGTTGTCGCAAAATCAAGCTAAGCACATAAGTTCAAGTACTAATATTAATAACCCAGAGGACCGAGGTACGCGTGTCACGAGGGCGTGGTAAATCCCGCCCCGCTCGAACTTTATGTAACGAGAATCAACACGCGCGTCAGCAAGCAGCTCTCAAGTAGCAAGGACGGTTTGGATCGCAAGACCGAAAGCAACTTAGCAAGACTCAAGGTGAGAGCCTCGCATAGCTGTCAATTAGCACAGTTGTGATCCCAAGCCACCTATCAGTTTGATACGCAAGCACCCGGCCGCAACGGCTTGAACGCAAGATACAGCGACCGCTTCTGGATCACGAAAGCGCATGTGCACGGACATGGAGGGTGTCCAAAGCATCGTCAAGCGAGACGAAGCCGTTTGGTTTGAAGATGGAAACGTCGTACTGCAAGCTGGTGAAATAGCCTTTCGCGTCTACCAGGGACTCCTCGCAATGAACTCCGAGGTCTTCGCTGGCATGTTCTCCGTCCCGCAGCCGGATTCGGTGGAACGTCTTGATGGCTGTCCCGTTATACATCTGTCGGACCATCCGGATGACCTGCGGCACCTCTTGCGTGTCTTGTTCATCGACAAGAGGTATGGCGCACTTGTTGCGAATTTTCACTTAGACAACTGTACGTAATGGGCGATATCTCTAACATACTTGGTAGATTCCATCGACGCGACGAGCAGTTCTCCTTCGCGATTATTGCAGCACTCGCTCGCCTCGCTCACAAGTATGACATCAAAGACCTTCTGGACGACGCCCTGCACCGCATGAAGTCCTGTTTCAGTAACGCATTCCATGACTGGGCACCGACACGAGACAACGAGTGTGTGGGCAGTCCTCTCATGGCTTACGTGGAGACGGATGCGATCGCTGCGGTCAACATCGCTCGTCTTACGGACACACCAAGCATGCTCCCCACTGCACTATACGTGTGCTGCCAGCTAGACACTGATAACATCCTGAACGGGGTTCCGCGAGGGCATGATGCAGTTGAACGACTCTCATCGGAGGACATTACGAGGTGCCTCGACGCGCGGCTGAAACTCGTCCATGACAACGTCGTCTCTGCCTTCAGCATCTTCACCATTGCCACCTCTGATGGATGTACGAGTCAAAAGAATTGCCTTTTGCTTCTGGAGGAGCTCCTCGAAATCGAGGCTGAAGGCAGAGGCTTGCCACTGGACAACTGCTCGTGCCTCGAGGACTGGATACCCCCCCTTCGGGAAGATGCAGAGACTGGACCTATCCTTGAGGATCTGTGTGCTAGCTGCCAAGCAATGGTACAGGAGAGGGCAGCCGATGAGCGCAAAGAAATATGGGAACGATTACCGGCGATCATGGGTGTCGAGGTCGACCCATGGATCACTTGCAAGCGAGGTTACGCACGGAGAAGTGAGTATTTCCTAATCCACCCACTCCATACTCATCTGGGTGCGCATTGATGACCCCGGCTACCAAGTTTCATTCAGGACACTGACTTAGTGCTCCATCAGCAAACCCACCGAAGTGCTCGGCGCAAACCGTTGGCTCCGCATCCGAGGGTACATGACCACTGGGCTAGCCTTCGGCCCTTGCACCGCCTAACCTTGATCCAACTTCATGCGTACGTGCGTCAGAGAATTAGGCACTGTCGTGTTGCATTTGGCACGGTCTCCCCGACGCTGGACATATCGGGTTCTCCGCCTTAGATCTGTATCACGTTCCTTGTCCGTCCTTAGGGTCTGAGATGTGGTGTTCTGGACACCAGTCGATGTAATGCTAGACCACGGTACCGTATAGCTATATAGCAAGCGGCACCGGCATAATTGACCAGGTCGGGACTAAGGATGCGACACAGAGCATCGCGCGCATTGCACCGTTACCAATTTGAACCGACATTTGAATCTATTACGACGCAGAAGTACGCACATACATAACGGTACGGTCCACTCCAAGTTCCTGTCAAGCGCAGGTTGAGCGCAGGCACTCGGAGCTCGACGAGTCGGACGACTGGTCGGCTCCCTTGATCAATATTCAAATAATAATATTTTTGATGATTGACTGCCTCCTCTCACCACGATCCCAGCTCCTCGTCTAGATCTGTTCAAATCCACCTGTCGACCCCCGCCAACGTCGTGCCTTGTTGACTAGGACGAAACAACCCTGTAGAGCGATGACATGCAATGTCACGATATAGCACAGCCAGCAGCTAACATGAGTGGACCGCGCGGTGACTACGCTCTGGTATGTGAATATGTCCACTGCAGTCCTCGATAGCACGGCTCACCGTGCTCATAAGTAGTCCTGTGGGATTCCACCGGTCAGCGACGCGATCGTAGCCTCGGCATTGAAGCAATGAGCGTCGGACTCGACGGATGTGACTCCCACACAGCCTAAACCTACGCCGGTGCCGCGTCTAACTGCCATAATTCCTGATCGCAGCTCCCGTGTCCTTGTGTTGCGCAGCGTGTACAGGTCTGTTAACTTGACCGCCACGTTCTCCTTTCCTTGGGTGCTACCCACCTCTCCGTGCTGAACACAACGGCCCAAGACTACCATGATTCTCCCTAGTACCCCTTCTCTCATCGACGACGACCTACCGCCCGATGCTCCTCCGGCATACGACGATCTGCCAGACGCCCCAGTCGTGAGGAACGAGAAGGTTGAGTCAGCTCCCAATCCGGCCACGCCGTCCTCATCCACAGTTGTCGCGACCTCCCCCATCTCCGCAGTTTCCGCGAAGTCGCCGACATCGCCCGGCAAGAGCGCGACAGGCATCTGGTCGTGGATCCCTTCCCCTTCGCGCACGCGCGCAGCAGCGGAGGTCAAAACGACGGTGCTGGGGCTTTTGAAGGAACTCATCAAGCGAGGGGATGCGGAGCCTTCAGCGCGATCCATCCTCGAAAGTTGTGAAGATGTCTGCCGCGCCTACCGTCTCTCGCTCTCGTCTATGCTCCAAGATCGCTGCATCGAAGGACACTCAGCCCTGTATTGGGCGGTCATCAAGCGTTCGAGGGGCCTCGAGCTACGCACGAACTCGCAGACAGACGTCCTTGGGGCCTTCCTGACATTTGGCGCGCCAATTTCTCCCCCTACCCTCTCAGAGATCCGTCTCGCTTGCCTGCAGAAGGCCGACCAGACACTCTTCCAGCAATTGAGGCACTCATCGTCGTTCGCTCCGCTAAGCGGGAAGGACGACATGCTGCTCAGCTCGTCGTCCGCGCGCGACGAGGTTTACGTGGAGGACATCGCGTCCGAAGACGCGTTCGCCGTGCGGTTCCGCATACCGATGTTCCAGCAGCGCCTCCGCGTCTCGAAGTGCATCAACCTGGAGTTCATTGCGCGAGGTGAGTAGACCCGTGCCACGCCCCTCTCCAGCGACACTCACAACCCGCACAGGCAGGCTATGGGCCTTCAACTTCCTCATCGCCTCCGCGGACAACTACAAGCTCCGCCCCATCGCAGAGCCCGGCACGTGGGTTGTCACACTCTCGCTGCTCGAGCACAGCGCGCCCACCCCAGTCGACTCGCGCCTCGTCATCCAGGACGTGTCTGCACACCCCTCCTCCGAGACGCCCTCCTCGAGCCAGCCGGGACAGTCGCCTCTGCGCAGCGCGCGGCTTCCGGAGCGCAGGCCACCGATTGAGCTGCGGCTAAAGACGGGCTCAGAGGACCTGGCGCCCGACAGCTACGAGAACTTCGTGGCTGCGTCGTTCAAGAAGAACCCCCTCGCGGACCGCCTGCAATACGAGTGAGTATAGTAGGCCCTGACACTGTCTGATCGTGGCGTTGACGTGCATCACAGCGGGAGCCCATACGTCGCTAGCGACGGCTCGCTGGACGCCACGCTGGAAGCGCGACTAGGCAACAATCCGGATTCAGAGTGTGTCATCTGCTAGATACCCCTTCACTGTTCCCTTCGGTGTATCGAATCGAACCTGTTTGTCGCGCTATTGCCAAATTTGGTGAGACCTCCTTCTGCGGAGCTATTCGTCGTCTTCTGACATTCCCCTGCTCCCAGTTGTGTTCATATATGATGTGCTCTAGACATCTTCCTCTGGGACTTTTTAGTTTTCGCAAAGTATACGTGTATGACTAGGAAAGTGGAATTCGTGCTCAATGTGATCGGTCCAGTACACCTGCGCCCGCCAATAGGGAACAGACCAATGAGCAAGTTGGCTGCGCAGTGGGTCTGTCCGTGTCCATCGGTGCGTGTGCTGCCCATCGTGTTCATCACTGCTTGCGTTGATTGTTTACAGGTCGTTTAATTAGTACAGTTAGTTGACGTCCCGATACGACAGCTGACTGCGTATGTATTATGCGTGATGAATGACATCAAGTGGACGGGTCTCAGCGAGGCTCATTGTCAATGCGCAGCACCAACGCAGCACTGTCCTAGGCTGACACACTGTCCAGACACTGTCGCTCTGATAAGGCCATTTAGCATGCCGCGACTCGAGTCTTGTTCTCTTGTCGACTTGTCGACCTCGCGAAGGCGCAGCAAGGGCAAGCGGGGGTCTCGGAAGCTCTCTCAGGTACGCTGTGCATACACCCGGGTAATGCTTGCCGCCTGATCCTCTCATAAGTATTCAACTTCAGGCCTCGCGCCCCTGAGCACTGGCGCACGCGGGCCGAAATGGATATTGAACTGGCATTGGACCGGGCCTTCTCCAGTCTCACAAAGCTTCGTGGTATCAAACTATCATGCAATGCGTCCATCCTACGGCGTCGCTGCCCCGTATTCTGCCCATATCATCCTTGTGATCATATCGCGCCATAAACAGCCACTGATGCGCATACTGCGATCGAGCTGCGATCTAATACACCGCCTCGACGGACATGCACATGTACCAGAACTTTATGCGTCCCCGCATTCCAGTGCACGGTGCGTCCCTTCGAGTCGACTGCTGACAGAACGTCTTCGAGAGGCTGTGTACATTTATGACGGCACCCGGCACGTACGTTATATGTATTGAGCAGGCTCGGGCAGCGCTGACCTGTTATCCGTCGCCCGCAGTCCAGGAGCCCCGCACGCAGCAGTAGTAATGGTCCTGATCAACGTCAAGCACCTGAGCAAGGACCTGCCTATGATCCCTGGCAGGCCTCACGAGCTCGAAGACTCCCCTCCAGCTTATGAGCCGGTTGCATCTACGACTTACGACCCGTACATCCAGCACGTCGCCTCAGAGCCTACACAGCTCGTCCAGAAGCCAGATACGCATTTCTCCGCCGAACCCGCCCCCGCTGATGTCGACCGCAAACCTGAAGATACGGCTCCTCCCTCTACCCAATCTCTTCAAGTGCCAGGGCCTTCGCGAGGGCAACACTCCTCCGAAAGCGATGTATCCGTGCCGTTGCCCCAGCCGCCGCCCATACGGCCAGCACGCAGCGAACTTTCCCTCTCATATCCCTCGTCCACCAAGCGCCGACCTCATGCCCGCCGTCGAGCCTCTGGGAGCGACTACCGGAGCTCCCGGCCTCACAGCATGCTGCGTCTCTCATCCGCGCTGTCTGACAAGAGCAAGGAGCGCACCGCATCCAAATCGCCCAGCGGTACCGTCACACCGCTGGATGCCTCGGAAATCATGTCGGGCTTCCTCCGCGACCTCCTGACGAGACAGTTGGTAGTGGAGCAGTCCGCGGAGGTCGTCCTCAAGGGGTGCACCGACGCGTGTCGGGAATATGGCTTATCGCTGGCAGCCTTGCTGCAGGAGCCCATCGTTGAGAGCCACACCCCGATCTACTGGGCAGTGGTCAAGTGCGGTCCTGGCCCGCAAACTAGCTTTATCCACGAGTTGCTCAGCGCATTCCTCACATGCGCCGCTCCGCTAACGGAGGCGACGCTCTCCGACATACGACATGCGTGTCTCGAGAACCCCATCCAGGAGCTATTCCAATGGATCCGCCGCTTGCCTGCTATCACGCCCCTCATCGGTGCTGCCGAGGTGCTTTTCAGCGGCGAAGTGCCCGAAGACGATGTCGTCGTGGAGGAGCTCTCAGGAGACAAGGACATGTTCGTCGGTCATTTCCGCATCCTCATGTTCCAGAAGCGCATGCGCGTGCTCAAGCACGTTGATATCGAGTTCATCGCTCGAGGTAGGCTCGTGTATCCGTTCATGGCGCGTGCTGCGCTGAGCAAGGTTATTTGCAGGCAGACTTTGGTGCTTGAAGGTGTATGTCGCGACTGCGGAGGATGCCCGTAAAATGCGTCATGGTATCAGGCCAGGAGCATGGGTCGTTACGCTCTCGCTGCTAGAAGGCAGTCAACCTACATGGGTCGACTCTGGTTTCATAGTCTGCAACAATGACGGCACGGCAACGCAGATAGAAGGCAACCACGCCAACTGGCTACGTCTGAAGCACAACCACCAACTGACGGCCCCTCCTCACTCCGTCTCAGCCAGTTCATTCTTCAAAGACGCATTTGCCGTTGACTGTCTCTCGTCGTACGTCCGCTGCTCTGAACTAGTCAGAAAACCATATGGCTGAACACGTTCCTTGTACACAGAGGTAGCCCTTACGTCCAATCGGACGGCTCTCTGAGCATCAGGCTGGAGGCCAGTCTCAGGAAGGAAGACACAGGTTGTATCATCTGCTAGGTGCGCCGACGGATCTATTACGCCGACATCCCTGCCGTTAGGGTGTACGTTGTCGACAGCGCATCGAGCGTCCGTTCACCCACCGGCTTCACGCGAATACCCGCCTCAAGCCCAGGCTCGAAGAGGCCTCGCGAGTCCTGGGTTGCTAGCGACGTCCAGCTGAAATGCAATGGGTTCTCAGTCACCACATACACTGCTCACCCTCCTTGTGTGTGCAATGACCGGACCTCTTAATGGGTTACCTCACTCGTTGTCACGGAGGACACTGAAGAATGCCTAGTAGATGGTCGTGACCCACCACGGACTAGTGCTTGAGGGTGGGCGAAACGACCGGTCTCTATGACTTATGTCGCAGCTTGTTCTACTGTTCCATTGTGACTGGGACAATAGTCCTTGTAAAGTAGCGTTGACATGTCTTGTACACTAGCGACGCGGACATGACTCGGATACCGGTGGACTTCGTACCCTAGCAATCCGATTTATCCAGCCCCGGTAATGCAGGAGCGTTCTTTCCTAGGGTAAGCATCTGTATACGATTGTCATGTTATGTCTTGTGAACGCGACGCCCACTGAACACCGCTCAAGCTTTCGCAAGTCTGCACTTCGATCACTGTTATGTCGAGGCACAAATCGGCTGACTTCAACCTGCGCGCAGGAGACTACGTCTGTCCGTTGTATGTAGAATAAGACAACGGGCAATGATACATTTCGAGCCGGTGCATATGGACAAAGCAGCGGATGTGTACATGTGTGACAAAACCTAGAGAGAAGACGGGCATGCAGGGATGACAGTACGTAGCTCTTACACAGGGGAGCGATATCTAGCTATAGGATGGAACAACACCAACATGAAACGTAAAGGGAAAACGCAGACCAGTACGCGCGCATAGGAGATGGAAGGGATAGGACGACGGACAATCCCCAAGACATGGCAAAGCAAGGAAACGTAACGTATGTTTTCGAGAGTATGCTCTGGTATGGAGAGTGTACGACGTGCGGCAGTGGTGGTGCAGACGATGCAGGACGATGTGGGGTAGTGAGATGTGGGGAGCCGAACACGGTCCGAAGTCGGTGAGTAGATGGAGCGTAGGATATTGGGACTCGTGGACACTCGTATCGTATGAGGAACGACTAATGTGTACGATGTCGAGTCCGGGGAAGGAGCAGTGGCGACGGGGGCGCAGCCGGACGGGGAAGTGGGGGCAAATAACGATAGACGTTCGACATTCACCGGATGAGTCGACCATAGTCGAGCCGGCTTTCGCGCTTCGTCTCGTGGTTGTCGCGCTTGGGGAACGCGTTCCAGAATCGGAGTGTCTCGTCGCCCGCGCCAGTGACAATGGTCTCGCCGTCGGGACTCATCGCGAGGTAAAGCACACGATACGTGTGCCCCGTAAGCGACGCGACCATGTCGAGCGAAGGGTACTTCCAGACGCAGATCTGGTGCTGAGCGGTTGTCGAGGAGAAGCCGTGCGTCGACACAAGCTCGTGGTAGTTCAGCGACCAGGTGAGATTGCAGACCTTCGTCGAAGTCAGCATCAGCAATAACCGCTTTAAACCTCGGATACTCACCTGACTACCAGTGTCCAGTTCATTCAGTTTGACCCCGGTGGCCACATTCCAGAACCTGATATGTTTGTCCGCTGTGCCTCCTCCCGTCGCCAGCACCCCGCTTACGTGAGGATCCCAGGCGAGGGCCTTCACAGCGGCCGTGTGGTCATGGAACTTCCATAGCGGAACCTCGCCCGCGTCCTCTCCAGCACTGCTAGCACCGCCAGCACTGCTCGCCCTCGGCGGCACTCCTGGTTGTGGCCGCTTGCTCCCGCGGAGATCCCAGATGCACACCTTGTTGTCATTTCCGCCACTCGCGAGCAGCGCATCCTGGACCCCGCCGTCGCCGTTCCACCGCAGGCCACACACTTCCTGGCGGTGGCCCTGCGAGCGCTTAAAGGGCTTGACGGACGAGTCCCGCACGTCTCGATGGTGTATCATCCTGTCACGGGAACCCGAGCTGAGAGTGTGTTGATTCCAAGAGAGTGCGCCGATTCGTTGGGTGTGTGCTTGTTGGTACGTTCGCGTAAGTTGTAGCGTGCTTGCGTCGTAGATTCGGAGCCGACCAGACAGTGTGCCGACAGCGAGCGTCGAGCCCTGCATTGGTGTCAGAAACGCATGCACAGATTGCGAATCGCGACGAGCGCACCTTCTGTACCCATGATACCGAACTAATAGTGTCGTTCGAGTCCGAGAGGTCGCAGAGCTTGGACACCTGCGCCGTGTGTGCCGTCCAGAGATATACGCACGAACCTAGCCCCACGCCCAGCACGTTCGTACTGGACCAATCCACAAGGTTGAGGTAGAAGTCGTCGGCGAGGTCGGGCGCGTCGAGGACGCGGTACGGCGTCTTGCACACGCTACGCAGCTGCCGCCGCGGACTCTCCAGGATATGTCGGCTCTCCGCACGCACAGGACTGATCGAGTAGGCTTCGTCAACGGGTGTATCGAGACGTCGCGTCGGTGTGGCCGGGTTGGATCGGGAAGGTGAGTTGTAGTTGAACAGTCGTCGACGATTCGGGGTTGACGGCAGTGGTGCATTGGCGGGCGGACGTGTGGGTGACGATGAACGTACTGGTGAGGAGGGTGTGACCTCTGTGTGGAGAATGGACGTAAAGATCGCATTCGCCTGTTCCTTAAGCGCGTCCGACTCGGTTGGAATGATGCGGTTCTTCGATGGCGTCGCAGTGGGCGACTCGTCCATGAGGTGATAGGTAGTTCGAATGTCTCCTGCGTCGCGCGATGGTACGAACCGGTCGCCATAATCGTGTCCGCGCGATGGTCCTGGCGCGTCCACGGGGGAGTCGAACACGCCACTCTCGCTCGTAGTCGGACGCGAGTCGAGTGAGGGCGTCGATCCTGGTATGGCAGCAACAGGTCCGAAGATTTGATTAACGCGAGGACGATTTCGTCGGTGGCCGTCCTCGTCTGTCTGCGCGGCGCGTAGACGTTTACCAAACGGGGAGTTCTGCATGATTGTTGCGCGTGTCGTGTATGAGGACTGTCAGAGTAGTAATGAAGTGAGACAAGGTTGATAAAGAAGCACAGATGGGTTAGAAATCAGTCGAGACCTAGCATTTGAGTGTCGCTGAGCGGCGAGCAGATGGTGGTAGCGGACTAAGCTGGAACGCGTCCGGTCGCGTTCGAACCCACCGCGTATACTCTCGGGGTCCCGCCCATTCGGGTCTCAACCATTGTCCGCTTGAAAGTGAATAACCCGAGGCTGTCGTAGTGACTTTGCAGCTGCCGCAAAAATCTCAAAAACTTGCCTGAACATTGCTAATCTTCAGAGCGACTAAAGACTGAGCATGTACGTATCCTGTGCTGTATGAACTTGAGATACTGGTACAGGCAACTGGCGTTGAGGCCTGTGGCCCAGTAGAGGACCCCGTGCACCGTGCTGTGGCCACAATAGAACCCGTGGTCAAAATCAAATGCAACTCAATCGAGCTTCAAAGTACTCACTTTTCCCTACCTTCATCCATGACATCTGAAGGGAGACCGTGGTTCATAGAGATCAGTGGTCTGCCTCGAAATTTCGCATAGATATACGCATGCGGACGACGAACTTGAATGGGAGCACGTGATTACAATGTAGCGAAGTCACTGTCTGCGAAGACGCGACGCGGCTCGCGACTGGCCAGGCTGCTCACATCTAAGTATGAGCATTTGGTGGCTACGAAGATACTGTCAGTAAGTGCATGTGCATGTTATTAGAGTACTCACAATGTTGACTCAAATGTTTTGGAAAATGTGAGTTGCTGAACAAGGAGGGGCCACAGTTGGCTTTCCATATCAACGCGACAATGTTCGGCAGTTTGCGATAAGTGCGGGCGGAGTTTGAAGTGCCACCTTGTTCTGCGACCGTCACCGTGCGCGCGGCCCATGGACCGAGGATGAACGTAAGTACACCGTGTTCTATTTGCCATCCATCCAATGTCTTTGCGTCTGACGGTTCAACGCACCAGAACCTCCTCAGAACCCTGACAGAAAGCCAGGTCAAGACAGCGCAACAGCACACAGATCTCAAGTTACTGTTAAGCGCCGTTAAGGAGACACGCGTGAGTGTGCTTCCTGGTGGTGTGGCTGAAGTGTCTGACTTCGTTGCAGAGGCAGTCTCATGATGCCGCGAAACTCGCTGATGTTTTCTACGACTCTCTGGAGGGCCTCTTGATTGACCTGCGAATGGTAACGATGGTGAGTACGCGCAATGGTCGATAGCTCAATCTCGCCACGGGTGGCACTCACCGGCCCGGGCACCCTGGTGGAAGATCGCATCCAGGATATTTGACAACTGAGGACAATCCTCTCGTCGCCACTCGAATGCATTACGCTCGCTCCGTCAGATGTACGGCGAGGACACAAATGTTCTCAGCTCACGACCGTGGGTATTGACCACGTCGCATGCGGTCCATCTACCACTTCTGATGGTGCGGGGACATGGATGTCCTATGTCTATCATGCACGGTAGTAGTGGGACTTCGGGGATCATGAGCGACCCCGCACAAGCTTACAATCATAATCCCATGCTTGTTACTTCAATGGCAATGGCAATTGTCTTTGTGCGGCTGAAAGCCAACTTACTGACCATCTGCGCCCCAGGATAACAGGGATTCCGAAGCATTCCTGAAGCCGGTCTCCAAGTCCGACGTACCGGATTACTATGACGGTTCGTTCACCGGTTGAGTACATTGACTTAGTGCTGATGTGGACGTAGTCATCTCCAACCCCATGGACTTGCAGACCATGCTCAAGAAGGTGAAGCAGAAGCAGTACAAGTCCAAGCGAGAGTTCAAGGACGACCTTGATCTCATTTGGCACAACTGTTTTATGTACAATGCTCAGCCGGTCTGTGTCTCACTCACAATGTGATGAACCATCTGCTGACTACTTACAGGACCACCCCTTGCGGATGTGCGCCATGCGGCTGAAAGCCAAGGCCGAGAAGCTGCTCAAGAACATCACGGACTGGAAGGAGCGTGCCGACCCCGTCATCCCGCAGGATATCGCAGTCATCACTGTCGCGCCGCGGACTAACGGCGTTACCCTTAACGGCCACGCCCGCGTACAGTCCCCTGCTCTGGTGAAGTCACCCAGTCCGGGGAAGGCAGTAGCTACAGTGCAGCCAAGCAGCAAGAAGGCTCGCCATGATGGCTCCTTTGCTGAATCACCTGCAATCGTGCGGAGTGCGGACGGCATGGCGGCGTTTTCGCGCCTAGACCAGGAACTAGAGTGGTGGACGGATGCTTCGCATCCCGCCAATTCCAACGACGCACAGCATCTCGAACAGTGGCTGAGGAGGTATACACCTATGTCAGATGACGAGCAAGATGTCGGTAGCTCGTCCCTTCAAACCATAGATGGCGATATCGGAGAGAAGCGCAAGCTGTAAGTCTTTCATTACTCATGAAGATCAGCCGCCAACTGAGTATACAGGAACGGCTTCCTGGATGACCGGCCACGCAAACGCGTTCGCATGTACCCAACGGCAGACAAGGACCCAGTTGAGCTCTGGTGGGACGCAATGCAGTCGGAGGAGTTGCTCGCGAACGGCCTCCCAACCCTTCTGTACCGCTCCTCGGAGGACGTCTCTGACGCTGCACCGCTCAAGCAGATTACGGATCAACCGCGGCAAGGCACGCGCCGGGGCAAGAAGAAGAAATCCACGCCGCGCACGGATACGCTCCTCTACCACATGAATAACAACATACGTACGTTGCGCCGGGTGCGCACTACACACGCGAAGTTCGCCTCGCTCAGTCAGAACACGGAGGAGGGCGGCGGACCTGTGCCGCCGCCGGCCGAGCCAGTCCCTGAGGATGTGGAGGAAGTGTTGGACGAGCAACCGTGGAAGCCCGTTGGCTCGGGGATTGAGATCGGCGAGGAACATGCGAACGATTGTTTGCATTGGATGGGGGGCAAGGTCTTGGAACATGCTGGCTTCCAAGGTGGGTATATGCGGGTGGTAGGCGCGGAATTTTGTTAATGAAGTGGTCATAGGAACGTCCAAGGCTGCGCTTGATGTCCTCGCAGGTGTTGCTTCGGAGTACCTTCAAAATGTCGGGCGAACGATTCGTTTCCTCTGCGACAAGTACGCAAAGAAGATGACACCCGAGGTGGGTGCGCGCACGTATAGTCCACTACCAATCTAACTGCCCCTTTACAGGAAATCATCCTACATACCCTTTTCGAGAGCGGAACGACTCGTGTCTACGAGCTTGATCGCTATATCAAGGACGACGTCATCCGGTACGGCGGAAGGTTGGCTGAGCTTGAGAAGAAGCTGGCCAACACGTATCGAGAAGCGGTCAGTAACAAACCTGACCCTATAGCGTGCTGTGTATTAAATCTGCCTGTAGACCACTGAAGAAGCTTGGGACGACGACGCCCTATTCCAGAACGCCGATGGCGAGGAAGAGGATGGACAATTCGTCATGTACGTTTGCTATGTATCTGCGAGTAAGGGTCGGACCCTGACTTCAGTTGCAGGGGCAACTTCGCTGACTCCTTTGGCGAGGATTTCCTCGGTCTTCGGGAGCTGGGTATCGCTGCGGAGTTCGGTTTACAGAGCTTGACGATCCCCAAGAAGCTACTGAAGGGCAAGAAGCAGGGCCAGGCAGAAGGACCATCTGCGTATGATACCCTTTTGCTCGTTCGTAGGGTGGTGCTGATCCCGATCTCACAGTGCCAAACCGAAAGAACCTCCACCCCCGTTCCCGCCGCCGCCTCCGTTCGTTCCATTAGACTCGAGAACTGTCGAGAAGCAGATCGGTCTCCTCAAAACATTCTACCACGAGCGGATATCCACCGTATCCACTTCTGCGCAACCTCCTCCGCCTGGTGCGGTCCCCACGCCACCTCATCCCGCAGGTCTACCTCCACCTATGCCTCCCAGCTATCTTCAACCTATACCCGTACCCTCCGATACCGATACCCCAGCAACCATACTTCCTGACGACCCACCCAGTGTGTCACATACTAAGATTGGGCCGCTTGGCCAGGTCATCAAGACCTCGACGTCAGCAGCCGCATCCAAGAAGAAGAAAGCGAAACCACCTGCCGCTCCGATGGGCATGGCACCTGCGCCGTCCGAAGGAGACCTGCCGCAAGAGTTCGCGGCGTCCGGGTCCACTCCTGGTCTGGACTCGCCCAAGAAGGGGCAATCTTCTGGCGGTGCGGCTAAGAAGAAGCCGGGCAATGGTCCGAGTTCGTTGCCTTCAGTGATCATGGCGAACGCATGAGCAGCTTGGTCCTGGTGCTGTCTACGATGGGGTATATTTATTGACTTGTATTACTGTGGACATTTTTCTACTTATCAGGAAGTCATGTAACTTGTATCATCTAGCATATCAGACGCTTGCCGGTCTATCATGGTCTGCCACGGCAACGGCTATGCGCAATTTCGATTCCTCCCTTCAACTGTGTAAGCGCCCGCAAGACGCATCCATGGCGAGCGACCGCGACGCTTCCTACCACCCTCGTCCTTCCCAAGTCCTGCCATCCTGGGTGAGTGACTGGCGTAATACTCAGTTGAAAGGCTGACAGCGATACTGTCCCATGCATGCTTATTAGATTAGGCCCGCTCAGACTGAACGGGTAAGGGTACGGGTACGGGCAAGGGCAACGTCACGGGACGTACCCGGGCGGCTCAGCCATGGCTGCCACGCAGCCACCGCGCTAGGGTTAGCGGCGGGTGGCTGCTAACCCTAGCCTTTTTCTCGCGGGCTTCTAACCATGGCAATAATTGTGGTCTCGAGTCTCAGAATAATTTACTTACATCACGGCCTTTCGGTGGCACTAATACGAGTCCGGTCGCACATTTTTACATGATTTTGACTTCTGTCTTACTGTAGTGATTACCCTACAGACCAATGTCAGCCTGCCGAAACACTGCCAAAATAACACTTGCCTAAATCGGGTAAATGTAACCGTAAAAAGGAACCACTCCCCTCGCAGAGACTGAGATAATTACTGGGTATGTTATTGTGACTGCAGACGCTCTGACTCGCTATCCACACCGTCTGTATTCTCTGGTTTGTACGTATGCCTTAAATGAAAGGGATAACTGAGAGGTAGGTTACAGGCGCTGGAGAGAAAGGCTAGGGTTAGCAGCCACCCGCCGCTAACCCTAGCGCGGTGGCTGCGTGGCAGCCGTGGCTGAGCCGCCCGGGTACGTCCCGTGACGTTGCCCTTGCCCGTACCCGTACCCTTACCCGTTCAGTCTGAGCGGGCCTATTGTGTTGGGCCTCGGTAAACTCTGATTGCCAGTGACACTGACAGCCTGTTAAGAGCGCATGCAGCGCCGCGACGCGTCGATTGTCATCGCAGTCAAGCCATACATCACACCAGGGGGGGGGGCCCGGGATGTGCTGCGGCAAGGAAATGAGTTGAGGAGAAAGCATTCGGCTATGCAAGACTCACGGCAGAGCATTTGCGCAGGCGGCGGCAGCCAACGACGATGTGTGGACGGCTCGTCGGCACCAAAACGACGTGCAATACTTATCCTCGCAATCGCCTGCGAGCTGGGTCTGCAGTGTAGTGTATCAATTGAATGTCGCCAAGGTCAGCCCCGAGCTTGATGCCAGTCCTGTCTGCCTACACCGTGCCGTGTGTTCTGGGCGATCCGAGTCCTGGGCTACGAAGCCTCGGACTACTAGGCTCTACTTTCAGCAGTACGTACTGCGCTTAGCCACCACACCCCGTGCAAGTGTACATATTGCAGCGGGCCGACCTTGTGGCTGTGGTGCATGTGTCGCAGGCGGCAGATTGGCAGTAGTGTCCTCTGGTGTCTACCGTTACCCGCTAGTCCGTGGATAAAGGTCTCGCGCCACCTGCGCGCCACACGCCTCAGCCACCTCGCGTCTCGCGATGTCGCCTTCACACAACGCTCGATGCCTCGCTCAGTACTCGTTCTATGGCTGTGACGACCTCGTTTTCGGAATATACGCGTCAAAATCACCTCAGGGAAGGTCTCGGGAAGGCCATATCGACAGTGAGCACCTTGCAAGACCTCCACTGGCAGACGTGTCGGCGAACACCCGCAGACAGCAGGACTGGCGCACGGGTCTTATACATCGCGTGTTGGGACGCTAGGAGAGGGTGCTAAGGAATGGTTGAGCCGAGGATGACGTTTGCTGGGGTGGAAGGGCAGAAATTGTTCGATGTTAGTGAGTTGTCCTTCTGTCCTTCTGCACTTTTGTGGTGCCAAGCCCCGCTCAGTCCCGTCGGAGTCATAGCATACTTGTTCGCAATCTTGAATGTAGCAATACACCATGTTGAGACGTTCAAACCCAACCTTGATATGTGAAACACTAATGACACGACCTTGTGTCCAACGCCAGCGCCGGCAGGAGGTCCAGCTGCTAAGCCGATACAATCGTGTTCTTTCATGACTATCATACACAGTCCCATGTATGTGCTCATATTCCACGCTTATGTACTTACCAGTAAGGCTCCAACTATATAATATATATACACCCAAAACCCGTATATATATGGTATATGTATAATATATAGTATATATACAGTATATATATGGTATATATAGTATGCAGGAAGTATCAAGATCTCATATTATCAAACTTGAAAAGACCATCTTTGAGCCATTGCTTTGAGCACATGGCCTCACTAATTGTCTCTGCCTTCAGAGAGCTGCGTGTGTCAACGCAAAGGTGACGAGATGCGGAAAATAAACGCTCAACAGAAACAGAAGCTCCTGGGATGGCAAGGAAGTCCCTGGCCATGGAGGCAATGACTGGGAACTTGTGTGCATGCTCCTGAGGATAACATGTCAATTTTAGGCTCAGACAGCCACAGAACAACATACCTTCCACCATACAAGTGGGTCATATGGGTTGCCCTTTCCACCCTCGAAGCGAAGCCAGCGTTCAACCTCTGAGGTCTGAGCAGCTTCATCTTGAGCTTCAGGGTCTGGAACATCAGGAACAGAGGAGAGCATGTCAAGGAGAGCCCATTCAGCGGAATGGCCGATGCTGTTAGGGTAGCGGATGCGTGAAAAACCCCAATGTATTCGGCGAGCTGACGTCGGCCGAGCGGGGCGTTTTCATTAACGGGATGGGCGAATAGGCGCCTTGGGTTGGTGATGGGCGGATGACTGGGCGATAAACGGTAGCAGGGTGCCGTTTCTTTTTGCAGTGCATTGTTGGGATAGGCGGTCGGATGGTTGGCCTGACCAATGGCCATGTAGTCGGCCGAGCACGTAAGAGCGAGTGCATTTAAGAGCGAGTACCTTTAAGAGCGAGTGCCTTTTATTGTCGGGTGGCATTGGCCATGGGCCAGCGGACCGTCGGATGACATTGATAGTTGTGCGTTCCAGTATTGGATGGGCGGGCGGACTGTTGGCCCGCCCAATGACCATGGGCGAACCAACGTCGGCTGATATGGTATTGACGGTTGGGCTCAACGATGGGCGGGCGGACCTGTTGGCCCCCCCAATGACCATCGGCGAACCAACGTCCGCTGATATGGTATTGACGGTTGGGCTCAACGATGGGCGGCGGACTGTTGGCCCCCCAATGACCATGGGCGAACCAACGTCCGCTGATATGGTATTGACAGGTTGGGCTCAACGATGGGCCGGCGGACCGTTGGCCCGCCCAATGACCATGGGCGAACCAACGTCGGCTGATACGGTATGAACAGTTGGGCTCAAACGATGGGCGGGCCGACCGTTGGCCCGCCCAATGACCATTGGCCTGGCTCCTAGAAATGCAGTGGGGCGACCTAAGGGCGAGTGCATTTCGTGCAATGCCTGGGGTGCTTGGCCAATTGCATGCGACCCGCTTGTGAGCAACCATCCGCTTGTACGTGGTCTGCTTCTAGGCATCCGCTTATGCCTGGTCCGCTTATGCCTGGCCCGCTTATGCCTGGCCCGCTTATGCCTGGCCCGCTTATGCCTGGTCCGCTTATGCCTGGCCCGCTTATGCCTGGTCCGCTTATAGATGTCCGCTTGTAGGTGGCCCGCCCAGCATGCGCAGGGACAGGGGGAGAGGGAGGTACGGGACGGTCGAGCTCAGGATGTACCTAGGTCTACATAGGGCTCCGCCCTCAGTGACCCTAAAGGGACGAAACAAACAAACAAACAAGGTGGCCCACTTGTTGGGTGTCCCATGTCACCTGGAGACGTCAGAGCGGCGGAAAGACTGTTTGGCTCTCAATATGTTCCCCTTCATCGGCGTCGATTATGAAGACATGTGGGCAATTGACGCTGCTACAGCCCTGAAGAGGGCAACACATCGTTTCCAAATCTCACTGAACGGTGCATTACCCCTTCAACTGTCCAAGTGCCTGCATGTTCAATACCGAGGTAGGGAAAACATATCGGCTCTCGAGATGTTCCCCTTCCTCGGCATAGAATGTGAAGACGCATGGCCAGCTACAGTCCTGGAGAGGGCAACACGTCGTTCCAAATCTCCCTGAACGGTGCATTCCCCTTCAACTGTCCAAGTGCCTGCACGTTCTATACCGAGAAAGGGAAAATGTTCCCATTTCTCGGCATAGAATGTGAAGACGCATGGCCAGCTACAGCCCTGGAGAGGGCAACACGTCGTTCCAAATCTCCCTGAACGGTGCTTTCACCTTCAACTGTCCAAGTGCCTGCATGTTCAGTACCGAGATATGGAAACATATCGAGAGATCGACTCTCAATATGTTCCCATATCTCGGTATTGAATGTGAAGACGGATGGCCAGCTACAGCCCTGGAGAGGGAGCGGGGAAAGAGACGGCACACAAGGCATGTCGTTCGCAAATCTGTCGGCCCTTCTTATATACGCGAGACGATCCTCGCCTTTGTAAGCCTTTCTATATATACGCGAGGCGATCCTCGCCTTTGTAAGCCTTTCTATATATACGCGAGGCCAACCTCGCCTTTGTAAGCCTTTCTATATTTACCCGAGGCCAACCTCGCCTTTGTAAGCCTTTCTATATTTACCCGAGGCCAACCTCGCCTTTGTAAGCCATTCCATACATTGGACATTCTATAACCTTCGGCGACATAGGATGTAAATGAAGCTCTTGTTGGGTTCCGCTTGTAGGTGGCCCGCTCGTTGCTGGTCTCCCCGTTGCTGGCACGCTTGTTGCTGGCCCGCTTGTTGGCAGTCCGCGTGTTTCTGGTGCGCCGGTCCGCCATCTACATGGCGACTTGAAAGATCAAAGCAGCGTAAAGACCAGGCCACAGACTTTCGCTTCTTCACCTTTTGCTTCTTGACAGAATGCATCAGGCGGGTTGCTCGGGTTGCATCTCGATGCCGTCACTGACGTGCAGAGAAGCTGAGGCTATATGGTAATGGGTCTGCCATTGTACGGTCAAATTTATCTCAGTTTCAATTGCCTTGGGGTGGCACAAACCTTATGTACATGCATCTCAACAACGAACAACCAACCCACCATGTGCAACCGCGACTCCTATGTTTGGCACGACAACCTTTACGTGCTGTTCCAACTCCTCCAACTGTCAGTAGAAGCCATTCAGCCCTGGTTCAAGGGCTTTGACGAAGTGGAGGAAAATGATATGTAGGCGGTTCTATTGACTTGCATGCACAAACTGACATATCACTACAGCCTTGACCATAGGGTCATGCTCGTACATATGGTGGGCCAGCACGTGCTCCGAAAGGAAGTCATCACGAAGGACGGCAAGCGCCGCACGTGGACCCTCTACGCCCAGGCCTCTCCCGTCCAAGATGAATATGTCTTGCGTTGGCTTGTCGCCCTCGTGAACGACAATAAGTCTCAGCACGCCGATCCATCTGGAGACGAAAGGCTTGCCAGTGGCTCCATGCAGTGGCTTAGCGACCTCGTCAATGAAAATGACGATGAAGACGGTGCCAGCGGCAGTGAGGACGGTGAAGACAATGCCAGCGGTAGTGAGGGCTGCAGCTATGAAGCCTACGATGCTGGCAGCGGCTGGGATGCGGAGATGGAAGAGGCGGAGATGGAAGAGGCGGACATCGAAGAGGCGGACATCGAAGAGGCGGAGACATGATGAGCGGGTGGTCGGGAGCGCGGGTTCCGACATTGGCGACACCTAACAAGAGACAGATGACCGCTTATCGCATTGGATATTGTGCAGTACAGTTGGTTCAATGTGCCAGTAGACAGACGTCCTTCTGCCCCGCAACTGACTCTGATGACGTTGCTCGTATGAAATGGGGCGGTCTCTTAAAAATGCACAATATTTGTTGATAGACGGATCTCATGATCATAGGTCCGCTTGTTCTGTGAAAGACTAAGTCGCGCATCTGCCTCCTTCCCACGGCGACCACCTGGCCAGACAAGCAGTACACTTCGGCTGCTGGGTCCGGTCGGCAAGCACTGCAACGTGTATAAGCATGATGTAGAACCTTTGCCGACCATGCGGTAGTACATGTGGTCCCAGCATGTGTGTCTGGGCAATTTTCTCTTTGTCTCAACGACCATGTCGCGTCGCAAATGGCACGCAGTGGGCTCTTCCCAGGCGGTGACGGTAATGCGTACAGAAGTCAGAAAGACCAAGAAAGGAACGAGCCATAAGGCGATTCCAGTCCTCGATGTACCCAGCGAACCAGATATGCCTTCCGGTCCCTCAAGAGCAGCTGCAGCCGCAGTGGCAGAGACGCTGGAGGAGGCAGACCACGACATATGCATTCCAGACTTCATGGAGGATGTGGAGAACCCGCGGCCCGAGAAGCGCAGAAAGACAAAAGCATCTGGATCAGTAAGTAGCGGACATTGCTCAGACCTTTGCTGATGGCGGTGCAGACTCAGGCGGACTTCATACGACAATGGGTGCCAGTCCGAGACCAAATGCTTGGCTGCATACTCGAGCTAGAAGGTCCGCGAGATAGACGGCAATGTGCGATGTGCTACAAAGAGTGGAGCCCATGGAGATGCGTTGACTGTGTTGGCCGACCAAGCCTATGCACTGACTGCTGCATCAATCGGCACAGCATCGACTATCTTCACCACGTAGAGCGGTGGGTGCCCAAAGGAGTAAAGCAAGCGATCTCAATACAGTCGCCTGATGTGGACGCGGATGGCGAAGACGCGGATGGCCAAGAGGCGGATAAGGAAGAAGCGGATAAGGAAGAAGCGGAGGCCTGGGTGGATGAGCTGGAATACGGAGCAGAACTTGGAATGCATTCCTCCACAGAAGGTTCAATTCAGCCTAATTGTCTAGTGCGCACGCTCATATTCAAAACAGGATACTTCATCGCCAGCTCATTATATGCCGCTGGACTCCGCGTCAACTTTGGCCATGGAAACAGGCCGTGTGAAATTGAAGCCAATGCATCCGTTCGTAAGCTGACGGTTGTCGACATCACTGGCGTCCATTCGCTGCGCGCAAGCATCTGTGATTGCCCGGGGGCGGACAAGGACATATTTCAGCTGCTCACCATGGGTCTATATCCTGGATCCGTCTCTCGCCCTCGAACCTGCTTCACATTCCGTGTCCTGGACGATTTCTTACTCGCCAACAAGGTGTCTGGAATCGCTGCTCAGAGCTATTTTGAACGCCTCCGTCGTCTGTCCAATTCCGCCTTTCCACACAGAGTGCCAGTAAGTACAGTTCACCTCGGCAATGAAGCGGCCCTTTGATCCGCTTCTTAGAATCGCTACCGGGAACTCTTGCGCACCAGCCGACAATGGCGCAATCTCAAATACCGCAAATGGAAGGGGTATGGCCATGGTTGTGGAGATCTCGGACCCGGAAAGCTCACATTGAGCTGTGTCGCTTGTCCCCGCCCCGGTATCAACCTAGCAGCAGGCTGGGAAAATGAGAACGAGTCGTGAGTCCAGTGCAAAAGAAGCGAACAAGCGGTTGATGCTAGTATTTAGCTGGAAACATGCGGTGTCCTTCGTCATGGACGGTAATTTCAGTGCGGAGCATTTGAAGATGCGCCGACCGGGCGATGATATCCCGCTCGCCGATGGGCACGGGTTCATGGTCACCAATTTGCCCTACAAGGAACATTTGAAAGCGGCGGTGGACGTACGGGAGGTAAGCCGCCTTTGGGTCATCATAAGCGTGCGCGGGCCCTGAGGAATAATAGAAATCGAATTGCCATGCACACCGAGCCGTCAATCAGGCAAATGCGGATCGACATGACATGGAAGCGACGGGTATTGGAGCGGTTGCCTGTGGACGACACGGGTGCTTTGTGCCTCACTCTGTAGTCGATTTTCAGAAAGGCGAACGGTATGGACCCGTCCATTTCTCAGGTGTCGCACGTTTATTCCTGGGGCAGACAAATGAATATGGATTACGCCCTTTCCCAGGCATTGAAACATCATGAGGGAATCAAGCACTTCCTGATCATGTACGACGTCTCATGTCAATACAGCAAGAAAGCAAAGGCCCGGTTTGAAAGCAGCCCGCAATTCCTGAAATGGCCATCTGCCATGATCGACTGGGGAATTGGCAAGTTCCACGTCCATGGGCATCAACGAGATTGCCTGGTAAAGTATTCACCAAGCTTCATTCCAGGAGCGGGCCTAGTAGATGGCGAGGTCATAGAGACGTTGTGGGCTCCGCTCAACAGGATCTCAGGCAGCACCCGGGCCATGTCGACGTCGCATCGGAAAGAAGTGATAGACGACCATATGAACGATTCGAACTGGCGGAAGACAACTGGCATGGGTAAGTCGCTTTGGTTCAAAGCGTTGAAGCAACACTTGAACACCATTTACAGTGAAGATGCTCTCGAAGCGATTCCTACAGGCGGTAAAGGAGTTGGCACTCAGCAAGGAGACACTCAGGAATATGGAGTCGTCGAGCAATGTCGAGCACTTGGCAGAATGGAAGCGCATCGAGGCACAAGCGCGGGCGAAGAGGCGAGACGACTTGAGCGTCATGGAGCCGTATGAGGTGATGCAGACAAAAGGTGTGGCCCGCTTCTCCCTCAATGTGTCCGCTTATTGATCGCCAGTCCAGCACCTGGCAAGCGAGACATCCAGCTTCTGTTGGAACAGGAAGAAGGAAGGACAAAGGCTAATCCCGGCCTTGCATCATGGCTAGCAGAGGGCTTGGCGCTTCAGGAGCAGCAGTACGTTGCCTCTTCAACGGCGTCATTATATGCTCAATGCCTGTCAGACTGACTGTCGCCGCATTGGCGAGGCGCGTCAAAAGCGACTCGCTTCTTACCGAGCAGCTACAATTGGTGAATAGGCGGAACAGGCTGCAGCGTGGCATCGACAGCTTTACCAAACAGGCGGCCACATTCTGGAAAGACGGTGCCGACTCGGATGACGACGGGGAAGAGACGGACGACGAGCCAGAGGCGGCCTACACCGGCGAGGACTGGGCAGACGTGGCAGAGGACCCGGATGTGACGGATGACATGGTCGTTATTGAGGATCCAGATGACGAGACACAGCCAGAGAGTGTTCCGCTGCGGCTGCCCTCCACCATTGGCCGCGAGAAATTGGCGAATATGAACAAGCGGGCACTCGGGGAGCAGGAGCTCCGCCTGCGTGAAGGGCAAGCGAACGACGCTCTGCACAGGCTTCGCATGGCCATTGGTCTGAAATCGATGGTCTATGTGACCCAAGTCCGGCCGGCCAACAGCCAGCGGATGCAGACGCGTGCATTCAAGGAAGCCCAGAATGTGGAGAAAGTGATCACCGAGTGGTCTCGGGTATTCACACTGGCCCGCAGGAATATGATACCGCTTGTAATGACGGTAGGGGAGGGCGAGGCAATGGAGAAGCGGTTCAACGAATTCTACACATCCAAGAAAGAGGCGGCGGCGATTGCAAAGCAGACAGCCGGGGCTGCAGCAAAAGGCAAGCAGATAACTCAGGTGAGGGAAACTAGTGGACGACCATGATGACGCTTATTCGTTATCTGCAGCCCACAGATGAGGCGAGGCAGTCCGCTTTCCGCCTTTTTCTGCAGACACTGCCGCCAGTGATGAGGAAATACAGGCCATTGCATAAGGAAGATCTCACAGCAGCAACACATCTCGTCGATCATACGGAGCGCAACAGCAGTAGGAAAGAGCTGTCATGGATATGGTCAGTGGATGTAGGCGGAGACACGGAGAACTCGGAATGGCTTGCAGAGCGTAAGTGTCTCGCTACTTCGGTGACCCACGCTTATCAACATCCGTCAGTCCATCGCGTCAATTGGCTGCGTCAAAAGGCGAGGCACGACCGATGGGATGAGCAAGTGGTGTTGGTGAAAGAGGAGATGAAGCGGACGATCCGCTCTTTTGAATTTTACGCCCGGGAGTGGGCTAGCCTTGAGCGGGGCAGTATTGGGCATCGTTCATACGCCATGCGACAGCAGGGGCGTTGGCAAGCGCTCGCAGACGAGGCACACGCCTCTTTTGCCTCGTTACCAGGCATGACGCCTATAGCCAGGACATGACATGCATATATTTACGACCAGCTATCAGCGACGTTACATCAACCCAATACATTCATCAAGTGTCCAAATGTAGCAGTGTCAGACCAGTCAACCTGCTTCTCTTGTGTCCAGGAGTGGACGGCATCCTTCATAAACCAAGCAAAGGAAACCCGGTTGCCCGTGAATTCCGTTACTTCGTGCTGGAGGACATGGGCGGGAAAAGCGAGGATGCTTCCTGGCCGCTGATCGACATTGAGAGACAGGGAAGGGAACTTGAACAAGCCCCCGCTGTAGTTGCCCACGGTTGCCACCATGTCAAAGCAACCGTACGACGCTCCCGGGTCAAGATGGGCGGGACTGACACGGTTGTTGATGATTTGCATCGCTGTGAAGCACGATGCCCAGTGATTAAGGACTTCCGCGTAGTCATCGCTTTGCATGAGCTTCGAAAGGACGGCCATCCCAGTGCTATACTGCGTAGGGTGAATGACGGAAAGGATAGCCGTGACAAGGGCCATTGTGTCCTTCATGTCGTCCATGAACGCATACCCGGACTCCTTGTTTATGCCAGTAAGCGTTGCCGACGTTGTAGGCGGCTCACGTCCAATCTGCACACCGGCAGTGAGATTAGCATAGTGTTGAGAGAATGTGCTTACCTTGGACCCAACGGCGTACCAAGCGGGTGCAAATGTCGGTGTTCCATTGGGGAGCGCTTGTTCACACCCCTCGCGAAAGTTTGTTTCCAAGCGACGCCAGCTTGCCTTTTGTTTGGACTCAACCGACAGCGGGGAATTCTGCTTGAATTGGCGACGCACCGTCAAGAGACCATCTTGCATTTGCCTCTGATTTAACGACTCAGTGCCAGATACTGGAAAGGCGGCATGCAAACGTACCTGGCGCCACGGAGTCAGCACATCGGGGAGATACCACACTAGTATCACCCCGAACTTGTCAACAACAACGGAAGGCAGATCCAGCTCAATAGCATAGTCTGCGTCATGGCCAAAGTCACGCAGTTGCAGGTCGGTGTCGGAGACCCGGTCACTCAGCCTGTTGAGCCGCTGACTGTACCGCACAGCGTCCATGTCAACGGTAACTATTGATACAGTTAGACAGATGTGGAGACAAACAAATCTACGCACCTGACGAGTTGCAGGCATGAGCGATGATGGATGCCGCATACGCGCATTCGGAGACCATAGACGCGGATAACGTCGAAGGGCGATAGTATTCATCCGGCGGAGGCATTGGCGCATCGCTCTTTAACAAGCGGCGGTACACCAGCTTGGTCTCCCAGCGAAGGACCGAAGAAACGGTTTCGATGTACGTCAAGGCTACAAGTGTTGAGTTAGTGTGGCTCTTACTTGCAATAGAGAGGCATACTTGTCATGCCTTCCATTGTGTTGAAGTGACAATATATTGAAGCGACAATAGTGGCGGTTGAGAACAAGGTGCGAAGTAGCGCCCCGAGTGATTTGCAGCGACTGATTGCCTTTGTGATCGGGATCGGAGATTCATTCCGCTTAATGCGGCACGCAGGAGTCATCCGGTGGCAATAGCCGATTGGTGGGTTAACTCAAAAGGGTGCCGCAGCGGTCCCGTGATGTCAGACTGCCTAAACGAGTCAACAGGCGCATCAAAGGAAGACACTGAAACAGCGGGACTCGCCTAAATGGGTTGAGCCGTAATACCCGATGATGGCAACGGTAATGTCGGTGCGCCCCGACATATCACGGCAGACACTCCCCCACTCTCTCTGCTTCCTCTCCTCTGCGTCAGAAATGTTTACTTGGGACGACACACAGACCACAATCCTCCAGGCATCTGTGGATAAATACATAAATGCCAATGGAACAGCACGTGACGATGTCATTGCAACGGCTTTGAATGAACTGGAGCAGGTGCAGCTGGGAGAACTGGAACCGTTGCCAAAGGAGGCCAGATTGCAGGTATGTCACGCTCATCGCCCCACACCCTTTGTTCATTTTGCTGTGGCAGGCGGTTGAGAAGTGGTTGGCGGACGTGTCCAACAAGCGTAAGCGTCAGCCAAAGAAGCGAAAGAGAGGTGTCATGATGGGTACGATCCGTGGCACAGATGTCTGGCTCGACAAACATAGGCAGGAAGTCTACGACAACGCATACAGTGAAGGAACAAACGATCCATTGTCAAAGTTTACCGATGCGCGGTGGGCAACTTGGCGAGAAGTGCCCCAGGAAGAAAAGGCGGTTTGGGAGGGAAAAGCGGAAGAGTTACGCAACCTGGTCCACAAAGAAGGAGTCAAGATAACACCGCGTCTCCTGCCCCTCGAGTACGCTTCTTCTTAACTTCGCTGCTGCTGAAACTGAGAATCGTCAGACCTATGATGAACAGTCTCGGGAGGTTGTGCCGAAGCGTGGAGCGGAAGTCGCTCATTGAGGACGGCGCATACATAGTGACACTGTATGCGGCAAACACAACAGACAAAGGCCCGGTGATGGGAGTGTAAGTGACGCGTCACAATGGATAGACGGACCGTTTACGCTCATTGTAGTATCGATCACAACCTGGAGCACGGAGCAACGTCAAACTTCAGTTCGCTCTTGAAGACCGCGGAAAACTATAACAGCATATGGACCTTGTTCGACGGCTGGGCAAAGGAACAACTGCAAAGAAAGGCCGATGTTCTGCAGTCAAGGGGAAAGCCGGATAAGCCGAGCAAAGCGCAGAAAAAGACGGATTTTGGGCCGCTTCTCTCAGTGGACGAAGAGACGGGCCTGCCCATTATGCTTAGTGAAGCGGAGTTGGACTCGCTTGTTGCTGGCGTGGTTCAGAAATGGATAGCAATTGTCAGAGAGTTCCTTACTCACCATTACTGTGAGATGGTTCCCCGTTTGTTCCCGAGTACCGCTCATCCCGTGTACCGCGTATTGTTGCACAGTGGCGGCGAGCAACGGCAAAGTCCCGCGTATACCTTGGAAGGCCCACGCTTCCCCTGCGTCCTGTCTCGATGCAAGCATGTGGTTGAACGACATAGCATTTCAAGACCCATCTCACTTGAAGAAGGAACAGCTCATCCGCCTATGCAAGCACTGGAGAGAAGGCCAGGATGGGCCGGACGGCGTGAAAGCGTTCAAATTCAGGAGCTACGTCAACGGCGACGGAGATGACGCATGCGAGGAATACGAGGCTTATTTCGAGCGTTGGCAAGAGGAGGCGCCAGCTCGGGAAGCAAAGAGGAGGAGGGCATCCGAACAGGCGGGTGCGGCAGAAGAAGCGGCTGCAGAGGGTAGCACCAAGAAGGGTGTGTGGATTCATCTATCACCAAAACGGCTGTCTAATGAAAGCAGGTTCAAAGCCTCCTCGCAAGCGAAACCGCGGCAAGAAGGACAAGTCTGCCAAATCTCGTGGCAAGCAGAAGGCGGTGTCGGAGGACGAGTCAGAGGAGGAGGTGCCTTTATTCCTTCCCTCGCCTGGACTTGCTGGAGTGTCCAGTGGCGAGGATGAGAGCCCTGTACCCGAACAATTGTCCACCGACGACGATGACAGCGGCAGGTGGAGTGCGGGGCCGGTTATGGAGACTTCAGATATGCTGGTCCAGCATGCCCTTGACAGGCGAGACGAGTTTGCCGACAAGTCACCCAAAAATGTCAGTCGTGGACGCGCCCGCGGACTGTTTGTGGCATCTCTATGTGGCGACAAACGGTACCGAGACGTTGCTGCAGAATATATCCGAGCAAGGGAGGGAACGTCAATCTCTGGCGCCATGCCTCCGCCTATTCCCGGCGTGCCTTGGGCGTCCTGGGGGTGGACATCCCCGTCTCTTCCTGAATCCGCCCATGCTGCCGCAGACGGTCTGTCACCGCTTATCGAGTTCCTCGTGACCGAACCCTGGAAGCGCCACAACTACGCCATCTACCGGCGGGTCGAGCAGGTGCTACTTGGTGTCGGCCTTGCATTGCGAGACCTGGATAATGGCCAGTTCACCAACGATCCAGATGACCCACCTCCGGCTCATATCCCCATCTATGTACAAAACACCGCTCTGGATTTCAACGATGTGCGGGAGACGCTTCTTCGCTCAATCGGTTCCATCAGCGAGCTCATTATCATTGACGACATCCCGCCCACTGTGTGGTCAGCCAACACACAGGAGTCTCGCTCACCTACTCCAGGCCACAACCTGATCGCACCCGATGGCCCGCTTGTTCTGGATGAGCCTCCCTCGCTTCCAGCCACTACGTTTAGCCCCTCCGACGCCGCTTCTTCCAGTCGCGCATGTCCCAGTGTTGTCTTCCGCTGGACCGAGCCGTTCGTCGGCCCCAACTGCCGCCCCTGACCGTCCATTGGTCAAGTTGCGCCCGCCTTTGGTTCTGCAATCGCTGCCGAAGCGCCCCCCGCTGGTTCTTCAACCCCTGCCTATGTTTAGGCCAAGACCATTGGGACAGTTGGGCGAAACAGTGCCTAGTCAGTCGCAGACGCAACAAGCGGGGGCCATCGCCAATAGCTTGCCACGAGCACCGCAGCATGCAGGGGAAGCCGCCTCCCATGGCAAGAGGCGGAGCGAGGTGGATAGCGGCGAGGGAGCTGGTCAGTCAAAGAGACGGTGCATCATTCCGGAGATTGAGGCAGGCAACAAGCGGGACGTACCGACAGAACAAGCGGACACCGGTAAAGAAGCGGATTCAGGTGCCGCCAATGATGACGCTCTGCAATGGAGCAGTTCCCGAGCGGGCCCATCCACACAAGCGGGCCCATCTACACAAGCGGGTCCATCCACACAAGCGGGCCCATCTACACAAGCGGGTCCATCCACACAAGCGGGCCCGCCAATACAAGCGGGCCATGCTGCGCCTCATGCCACAGCCGTCCCTCCAGCGTTGGCGGCCCCTCAGGTTGAGACAGGCTCACTCAGAGCATCAAAACGCCTGAGCGGTAAGCGAGAACAGCAGCGAACATTCAACTTGGTTTATGGGAAACGGAAGTGAGCGGATCATGTACACAATTGTCATTACTACACTATGCCGATTAATACATGCTGTTTACGTGCGGGACTTAGTCAGACTCGTCCATTGCTTCACCTCGCGCCAGCTGATCCTCGTCGTCCTCTTCGTCCTCAGAAGACGGCTCAAACGGGCTCTTGCCAACGTCTGATGGGCGGCTTGGACCAGCCGTTGACGGACCGGGTATCGGCGGACCAGTCGGCGTACGGGTCTTGCGCGGAAGAGGCGTGGCCGGGTTGAAGTTCAACGGCGCAAGGGAGAGGGGAGGTCGAACAAGCGTCCCCGCCGGCTTCGTAGGCGGTTGGATTCGCGGCGCCAGGCTTTCTGGCAGGTACCTATGGACCCGCGTCGCGCGCTCCTGCACGGGGATCTGCAGCCATTCTTGCTCGACCATGGTGGGGTGCCGCCGTTGTTGCTGCACCATGGTCTCCAACGCGCGCATCCGCTCCTGGGCGCGCTCATCAATCTCCTCAGCCCGCCTCACCGTTGCCTCCATCGAAGTCTTGAACGACTCCGACATCACGGACATTCGCTCCTTGAGCGTGCTGAGGGTGTTGAGGTACTTGCGCATACCCTCCTGTTCCGAGGTGAGCGCCCCCAACCCGGTGGAATGAGCGTCGAGCCGCCGCTCGACTCGCCGGACCTGCCCATCCACCCTAGTGGAATAGGCGTCGAGTCTTTCCTTGACTCCCTCGACTACCTCGTCCAACTCCGCAAGCCCGCTCATCGCCGAGTTGAGGTCCTCTTCAGCGTTGACGGCCCGCTGCTGAAGAGCGGCGTTGGCCTGCTCGAGCACTTCGACGCGAGCGGCAAGCGCGTCGCGATCCTTCTTCTCTGCCCTGAGCAGTTGGACGAGGCTGACGTAGGCCTCCTTCCACTTCATCTTCGGGTCCAAGGTGGTGGACCCCAGCTCGTTGTCGCTCTCTAGACTGCGCCGGTCTTCAGCGTCGTGCACGCCGCTTCCGCTGCCCTCGCGCTCGTTGAGTGCCTGGAACCCGGGGAACTTGGGCAAAGGTCGTTAGCTGACAGTGCACAAAGAGCGGGATCAGCGTACCTGGTCAGGCTTGTCCAGGTCCATCGGGACCTCGCCCACGGAGTCCACTTCCTTGCCCACCGGCCCAGCCCCAGGTGCCGCTTCTTTGGCTGGAGTGGCCACCTTGCCGCCCGCTCCTTCGACCGGCGCTGCTTCCGTTGGTCCCGCTGCTTCCGTGGGCCGCGCTGCTTCCGTGGGCCGCGCTGCTTCGGTCGGACCCGCTCCTTCCGTGAGCCCCGCTCCTTCCGTGAGCCCCGCTCCTTCGGTTAGCCCCGCTCCTTCCGTGAGGCCCGCTCCTTCCGTGAGCCCCGCTGCTTCGGTCGGCCCCGCTGCGGCCGTGTGCCCCGCTGCTTCCTTCAGCCCCGCTGCTTCCGTCCCATCCGCTCCTTCCTTCGCGTCCGCCTCGCCGGGCTCTAACATCTCCACGTCGTTGTCCTTGGGATCGACGGGCGGCTCTGTCGTATCCTGGGCCTCACCTGTCAAGTCAAAGACGGGCGGCTCCGCGCCATCCTGCTTCTCGACGGTCAAGTCGATGAAGTCCTTGGCCTTGAAGGCCTTGATGTGGCGCCCGGCCAGCCGCATTTTGGTGCGATAGGCGACCCAGTCCTGCAGATGCTTCGCCACGGTGGCAGTCTTGCCGTCCCAGGTCTCAAGGTCAACGACCCAGTCCTCCGCGCCCTGGGGTCCATCGTGGAGGATCGCCAGTTCCGGAACCGGGAGATCCGCCGCCTTCCGCGCCCTGGCCCAGTCACGCCACTTCTGCGCCATTTGCCCAGCACTGGTGTTTCTGAGCGATTGCCCATTGACGTAGCGCGGGGCGAGGCTGCAGGCGGTCTGCTGCTTCGCGCATCCCTCGCAACGCCCGGGCAGCGAACCGGTCCTGCTGACCTTGTACTGGCAGTCTCTGTTGTTCTGCCGGCAGTGATCACATTGAACGACCTAAATGGATATGTCAACAAGTGCGACATTGAGCAACTGAGACACTCACCGCATCAATCAGCGAGTCGGGCTGCATCTTCTCATGGGGCGACTTGTACGCCACGGGGAGCGACTTCTTCGACTTCTGGGGGCCGCTGGTCTTCTGGGCGACGCGCTGCCTTGCATTTGCCGGGGCCTTACCCTTTGCGCCCTTTGGAAGGGGTGTTTCTTCTTCACCGGACGATTCCACCATTGCCGCTGATTTCAGTTCCTTGCGGGCCCGCTTCTTCTGCTTCTTGCCCTCGCTTGGCGTGGCCGGCCGCTTTTTGGTCTTCCCGTCTGTGCCTTGCAAGTCAGCGAGGGGATAAACGGACCTGGTGACACTCACCCGTTTCTTCCAGAGGCGCCTCTGGGTCTGCGTCTGCGCTGCTGGGACCCGCTTCTTGAGGGGCCGCCGCTTCCTTCATCTGGGCGTCACTGGGACCCGCTTCTTGGGCACCTGCGGCCGCTGCGGACGAAGAGGCGTCCCCTAATTCTGTGTAAGCCAAAGACAACAACCGCTTATTGTTACGCACCTTGCATCCACCACTCCGTCTCTCTGTCCGCCACACCCTCAAAATCCATGTGCGCGATGAACTCACGCGGCAGCAGGTTCCCAATGAGCTCGTCGTCCTCTGCAATCGCTGTGGACGTGAAGCCGTTGGGGTTCACAAGCTGCTCCAAGGCAGACGCGACGAGAGGCGGTATGGAGACCATCTGACCCGCGTCTACGGTCACTACCACCCTGCCCCAAAACGCCGCCTGCAATTGATCAGTACAAGCGGTTATGCCATAAATGGTCACTCACCAGGTATTCCATCAGCGGTCCATCGAGATCCAGCCTCGTGCGCTCGCCCAGGTCGGTTCGGAGCACAGCGGCGACGCGCCCAGCGACGGTGAGCACCTCATCCATCGTGACGAGGGAGGCGGCATTGGCGGTGGCGGCGGTGGCGGCAGAGGCAGCGGACATGATAAGCGAGATTTAGATGGCGGCTAGATTGGGAGATAAGCGATGTGGTTGGATGGGCAGAATAACAGAAGGGGAAAATGAGCCAGGAGGGTCGCCTATGTATATTCGCCAGATGAGTCATGTGATCGGGTCCCACGCTAGCAAAAACCTAAGCGGCGATCTGGATCTGAAACTTGGACTTGTTCTCACACCGTCACCACCTCTGACCAGCTTGTCCTCTCCACGCTTTTCTCTCCACGCTTATCTAGCCCCATGGCGCCTATTCGACCACTGGATGAACGGAAGAAGGACAAGTCCAGTAAGTCGCCAATCTCCTCGCCATGCAACGGAATCCTTACATCTACAGAAACACGTTGCATAGGGCCTGCAGGCCAACCACAGGCTGCCCAGGTGCCGCCATCAACCTCGATCTCCGTCGCCACGGAGGTACAGCCGCCTCCCCGACTTCGCCCGCCTCTCGTCCTTCCGCCGCTCCGAGGGTACCCAGTCCCAAACCCGCTTCTTCCGCCGGCAGACGCCCTCCCGCCGCCTCTTCCACCTGTCCGCAGGCCGCCGCTCCAGCTTAAGCCGCTCCCGGCTGAGGCCTTACGGCAAGTCCTGAAGCCGCCTCTTCCGCTTCAGCCGCCTCTTCCCCTTCAGCCGCTTGCGGCTGAGGGGTCTGCCATAGTTCGCAGGCCGCCTCTTCAACTCCCGCCTCTTCGCCGTCCAGCGCTTCCGGCTCTGGGGTCTGGCCCGGTACCGAGCCCGCCGCTTCAGCATCCGCCGCTTCCAGCTGAGGGGTCTCGCCCATTCCGGAGGCCGCCTCTTCAGGTTCCACGTCTTCGCCTACCACCTGCTCCCCAACCGGCGATTGTACCACCTGCTCCCCAACCGGCGATCGTACCACCTGCCCAACCGGCGGTCATACCACCTGCTCCCCCACCGGCTGTCGCACCAGCCCTGGCCCAGCAACGACAACGGCGGTTGTCTCGACGCAACGTGACCCCGCCTCCGCCTCTTGTTGTCGAGCGTCCGCCCCCAGCCGCTATCGATCCCGACCTCGCCGCCCGTATTGCGCAGGGAGCTAGCCTGGAACGCGTGATGTCGCTTCGCCGTCGGAAGCCTCGACAATTTCGCGTGAGTCGCTTTTCATTTTGGCATTGCATATTTCTTTACTGTTTAACAGGAGCAGCTGGCAAACGGCCATTGGATTCAAGGCTACACGTTTAGTTACGCGCCCCAAGGTACGCTTCTGTCTATGGGTCTCGCCTGTACACTCACATTCTATCAGGCCAATATACCGTGGAAAGCACGCTCTTTGACGACGGGCCGCCTGAGGATTGGCAAGGGCCCGTGATGACGATCAATGGTGAGGATCAATACGAGTTTGAATCCATCACTGGCCATGATGTTATGGCGGATGGCACCACCCACTACTGGGTCAAATGGGCGGGTTGGCCGCACCCGTTCCTCGAGCCAGCGGCAAACTTCGCAAGCTCTCCTGCGGAGGCTGCGTATTGGGCCAGAGTACGGGCCCCCTTCTAATGTACTAATGTACCTACCGTCGCCCTCTTCCATGTCCTTGACTTAGACGTCGCTCATTGTCACTCTTCGATGTCCTTTACTTACTGTCGCTCTTCCATGCACTTACAATCGCTCATCAATGTACTTTACTTACAGTCGCCCATCAATGCACTTTACTTACAGTCGCCTCTGTACGTGACCACATCTTGACCATCGCTCTGACTGCCAATCACTGTAAACGCGCCCCACATCCTTACCCATCTCTGCCTTACTGTACATACACTCGCTCTAGCCTCGGCGACGAGCACATGCTAAGCCTGATACTGATAGCACACACGCGCATTAACTACGTACTGCTAGAGCTTTGTCTACATAGGGCTCGGCCCTCGCGGACAATAAAGGGATTTAAAAAAAAACTTACAGTCGCTCTTCAATGTACTTTACTAACTTGCTCCGTATCGCTCACAGCTCTGCATCCGCCGCTTTATCGCCCTTTACTTGTACCAATAATTTTGCTCTCACTGTATCCGAGTCCCGCCCATACGTCGAAGTATACAACATTGGCGGATAGGTAAGCAGATGCATTGGACATCCGCCTCTTCAATTAGCATAGCGTCATATACATTGAAGTGACACATTGAAGACAGAATACACTGTAGAATTGCTAACTAAACCAATTGGCAGTAATCCCATCCATAAGCGGAGACCCGCCTATGCACAGTATGCACGCTCCATGAATCTCGCTCATTTGGCCCATTGAAGTACGGACACGTCGCTGTCGAATCTGTCACCCTGGTCCTGCATGACAAAGAGGCGATAGCTGCCGCCGGACCTCAGGCAATGCTGCCTACGCCCATCTGAGCAGCGGGTAGAGCGCCCACAGCCGATGCAGCGCAAGAGGCGATCGCTGCTGCCAGAGCGTAGGCATCGCCGCCTACGCCCATCTGAGCAGCGGGTATAGCGCCCACAGGTCACGTCGGCCGACATCAGCTGGCCCTAAGCCATAGGCTATTTCGCCGTGTCCGCTACCCCATGGTCATAGGGTAGAGACGCTGCCTGGTGTGTCAAGGAAGGATGAAGGGGTTGCTACTGGAGCTGGGCGTGCAGGTACATCTGCAGCTTTGGGCAACTTCAGCTCATACTTGCGGAAGACGTGTTCAAAGAGCACTTCAGCGCGCGCCTTCTCCTCACTACCGAGCTTGCTGAACCAGTTGACACGGAGGTTTGGATGACAAACTATACAGATATTGAGACATACAGCCAGACAGTTCAACGTAAGCACATACCTGTTGCAATCACGTTGTACTGACACTCCTTTGCCTTCGTGTAGTATTGCTCGAGCTTCGTAAGACCAGCTTGGGCTGCAACAGCTAGCGCGGGCTTCGTGCTCGGGCTTGCAATCACATTTGTCAGGGCTGTCTTCATGTGGTCAAACATAGGTAAGACCCATGGCAGCGTCGGCATGCTCTGCTTTGACATGATGTGGGTAACATGCGTGAAATGCTTGACAAAACATCAGACACATACACTGATAGACGAGTAGGAATATACACACACTGAGCAGATTCGCAAGCTGCTGTAGAAAGTTCCAGTCTTCGGGGAGCAGCGTGAGAGCTTCAAGATCATCGCGCTCAGCAACCCAATCTCCGATGGCCTACAGACTCTAGCGGTCAGTAAGACACTGCATAGAACAAGCTGATCGCACCTTCTTGAGTAGCAGAGCACGCTCGATCATCGCATGCGTGCAATTCCATCGTGTGCGCACATCGCGGACCGGCATCAACGTACTGAGCGCTTTCCCGCCGCTCGGATTGGGCTTCCCATCATAATGACGGATGGCATGTTTGCGAAACGACGAGCGACGTTGAGGAGAGCTCACAATCTTGCGTACAATTAAACGTAGCTGAAACAAGTAATGATTAATTCTGCACACTACACATGGAATTCGACTGACCTTTTGAACAGCATTGAGGACCTCTTCAACGTCGATTGGTGTGTCCTTCTCTTCGTCAGAACACAGCTCTGTCAGCTTCTCGTCCATGACAGCAGCCTCTTTGTCCTCCATCGCATTCAGCTCGTCATCATCGTCGACGTCGTAATGAAAGGGGAGGAACTTATGTAGCAGATACCAGTCGGTCTCATCAGGATCCTCGGCATCAATGATAGACGCCAGAATCTTCTGCACAACGAGGTTAACGACGTGTGCGAGACACCGTATCTGGCCGTTCTCAGGTGAGAAATGTATGCCATACTTCTCGAGAAGTAGGCCGGTCAACGTCCGTGCCAACACGTCATTTGTTGCCGCGTTATCCATCGTCAAAGCTATGAAGTAAAGTCACCGTATAGCTCCGTCACGAGAGAGCATAATAGAACAACTTATCTTGTCCAGACTGCCCCGCTTACTCCCAGATTCCATGAATGCCTTCGCGGCATTGACTCCCTCGTGCTCGTCGTCCAAGAGGTGCCGGAAATCGACGAGGCGTTCGATGAGCTGCCAATCATCGTCGATGAAGCTTGCAATGGTTCCCGCAAACGTGTACATCATTTGCGCAGTCGTCCAGGTGTCTGTCGAATAAGCAATCTTGGATTTGACGGCCTGAAAACACAAGACTCAGCCATCATGAATTGGACGTCAGGTAATCACTCAACTGCCAGCTCTTTGACGAGCTCTGCATGCATCTTCGCGAAGATAGTTGCGATGGTGTTGCGCACGGTCGTGTCCGTGGGCAGCAGAAACTTCGACTGCATGTACCGGAATACACGCGCGAGGCCGGGCGACTCACCCGTGGTGAAGGGAAGGTCGTCCTCGACGATCCAGGCAGCAAAGACTTGAAGGAACCCGCGTTGCGTGGGCTCAACCTTCGGGTTGAGCTTGCCCTCTTTGAGGTACCCCTCCATAAGCTTTGCGCTGGCCACCGTGAAGCCGCCGCCAGAGGTCGATCCACCGCCGGCAGGTGCGGAATTCGTTTCCTGCACTGGCTCTGCCGCCGCCGCTGCCGCTGCCGCCGCCTCCTTGTGCTTCTGGGCGGTGTGCAGCGTCAGGTTCCCGAGGACAGGACGCTTCGTCTCGTCCGCCCAGTTGTCGCTGTCGACCGAACGCTCGAAGCTGCGCTTGCTGATGACTAGGTGAGTCTACTACATCAAACTATCAAGCATTAGTTACATACCTCCCGCAGAAACGGCACTGGAAAGTCCAGCGTTTGCCCGCAATCGGGTCAAACGTCGCCACGGCGGGCTCCCAGTGCTGGAGTGTTCGGTTGATGGGGCCCCGCGCACCTGTGCGTCGCTTCTCAGCCGCCTCGCGTTCCTCGACCTCGCGCAGCGCCGACCGTCCATCGGAGAGTTCTTGTTCAGACTCGTCTTGGACGTCCTCGATGGTTGTGCGTCGGCGGCTTGAGCTCGCGGCGTGGCTGGTGCTGGTGGACGCGCGTTCAGGTAGGTCGTCTTGCTTCTTCTTTTTCGGCCGGGCTGGGCGATGGTACGGTTTTTTTTTGGGCGGCAAGCGCGCGCTCTGTAGCGCTGTGAGTCAGTGCATTAAGGTTTGAAGGTGAGTTCAAACCTTATTCCCTTTGTCCTTCCCCCCTGCCGCCGTCTTTCCTTCCCTGTCTCTGCCCTTCTTGCCTTTCTCCTGCGCCGTGCTGGCCGCCGCACCACTCTTGTTTGCCGCACCGCCCTTGCTTGCCGCCGAGCTGTCCGACTCGTCACTGGACAGCCCGGGAACCTCGCTACTGGACGACGAGTCATCAAGCACAAACTTTCGTTTGGCCGGACGACGCTGCCGGCGGGACAACAGGTAAGTATTATGTTTGAGCCCTCAATCAGCTCGCGAATACTTACCGGCTGATTGTCAGCACTGTCCGACAGTATTTCGTGGCCATCCGCGTCCACGCTGTACGTGGGGATTGGCTCGGCCGACTTCTCGCGCGTCACACCGCCCTTGTATGTCTTGTCGCGCGGATCGTCTGGGATGTTATCTTATTTTCGGTGAGTCGTGTTGCACTGATCTATTCATCGTTATTACTCATACCTTTGGATAGCAGCTGCGCGCTGCCAGAGCCTGTCGCCCCTGCCGTCTTCTTCTGTTTGGTCACGGCAGACGTCTGTCGTGCTTCGGGTAGTCGATCCACAGGTGAGTCTTCAATACGAATGGAGACAGCCTACAGATACTCACCTACGGGCGCGGTACTGGCGGCAGCCGTTGCTTTGCTTGCTCGCATGCTCCCCGCCGTGTTGTTCCCATCCGTTGACTCGGTTCTGCTCGCCGCTGGGCCCAGCGCCTCGGCCGGAACCTCGTCAACGTGCCCTTCGACATCAGCAACCTTCGCTGCCGCTGGTGCGGCTGTATCTCGAGTGGAAACCCTAGTATATATTAGCTAAAATTCCGCAGTGTAATCGAGCCTCTCTAGTACGCACGAAACCAAACTCTCGAGCTCTGCCTTGAGTCGATTTAGCTTGACTGCAGCTGGGGCATAGAAGCCCTTCAATGTGTTCTCGCTGACTACGACACGGGTGAGGTAGCTTGTCACCTTGGCCATCCCAAGCCTCCCTCGCCGTACATGATGGAGCCGGCCGTTTGTGTCGCGGGTGTCTTCACCGAAGAGGATGTCAAACCGCCGATTGAATGTTTCCCATGCTGATTCGCCGTTGATGTTTGTCATAACAGTGTAAATCTTGTCATCTTTGGTGGCTTCGGGGACCGAGTGTGGGAGCTTCTTGCTAAGCTCTGTTATCTCTTGCACTAACCCCTCGAGGTTGTCGTGCTCCTGTGAATCGGCCATCCTGCGCAGTAAGACTAAGTGAGGCTGGGTTGGAGATAGAGTTGGGGCAACAGAGCGACGACTCGGAGTGCCCGGCTGCCTGACGCAAAGCCCTGCGGACCCTGCCGTTTGCTGAAAATATTGCCGTGGTGCCTTGAGCCTGACCGACATGGCCGGTCCGAGCCCAAGCCAGCTTCTGAGTGGCGGAAATGAGCGCGCGCGCCTTGGCTCGCGAGCCTCATGCCCGACTGCCATTTTAGGAAGGAGCCATACCATATACAGTATATATACAGTATATATACTATATACCGCAGCCCTGTAGATATAAGGATAAAGTATAGGGTTAAAACCATATATATGGTATATATATCATATAGTTGGAGCCTTACTTACCAGAATACATCACACAGCGTACATGATGTTTTGTGAGTGTGACAAGATTCAAAGAAGCTGGCATCCTCACCACCAGTATCATCGCCTGCCAAACTGACCGTTGACAAACTGGGTTGTGTATACTGTCTCAAGCTTTCCCTATAAATACATACCGCGATCTAGTCGCCGTACAGTCTACTCCAGTATCCCAACACGCGATGTCTGCGGGTGTTCGCCGACACGTCTGGAGGTCTTGCAAGGTGCTCACTGTCGATATGGCCTTCCCGAGACCTTCCCTGAGGTGATTTTGACGCGTATATTCCGAAAACGAGGTCGTCACAGCCATAGAACGAGTACTGAGCGAGGCATCGAGCGTTGTGTGAAGGCGACATCGCGAGACGCGAGGTGGCTGAGGCGTGTGGCGCGCAGGTGGCGCGAGACCTTTATCCACGGACTAGCGGGTAACGGTAGGTGTCCTCGGTCTGCGACCGCCGACCAATACGAGAGCGTGCGCTTGCATGAGCGCTTGAGTTGACGGTCGCGGTTTTCAAACCTCGAACACCAAACGTCGGGTGAAGACCGACGCCGGTTTACGGTAACCCAGCGGTCACCTCGAGGAGTACATTGACGAACTTCGCGCGCTGTTTTAGGCTCGGTTCTGACGATGGTCCGAGGAGTCGGAAATGAACAAACAGTAGAAGGCGCTGTTACAGTGTAGGCTACGCCGCCATTGATAGACAGAAACGCCGCGTTTTTGAATCCTTGACGGTAGGTATCCAGACTTCCGCGCGATTGCTGCGAATCATCACTAACATCGTTTCTCCTAAAGGGGGATGTGCTAAGCATAGTACTTTTGTCATTCAAAGTCTCCGACTTACCAGCAATGGGTAGACCGCCGGGTCACTGCCCTAGTACGCGGCCGCGCGCGGCACACGCACAGAGGCCTGGGGATTGTACTTACTAACGCAAGTGCTACGCGCCTGAGCGGCTCACTCCACCGCCGTGTTACCAATTCCGAATGTGCGTACTGGATGAGTTCGTATGATATCAGCTATAACGTGGGGAGTAGTGGCGAGTAGGCGTCCGCCCCGCCTCATCCTAGCCGACTCCCGTGTGCGCACTGCGAAAGGCGGTCTATCATCAAGTTGTGAGATTTGCTGACATCAGATCTCGTGAACAAGTTGTCATATAACTTCTTCATCCATACCAGAACCTCGTCTCCGTGTGTCTTATCTAGGCTAGGTGCGTCCTTACGCAACTGGGATAACGAGCTGTCCGTGTCCTACGGATCCAGTCGTATTATTACAAGGCAGGGTCGCATTTTGGTCGCGTTTCCGGGACAGCGTTGTGGCGCTCACACCCGCGCCAGGTCTCATTACTGTAACTCGCATCGTCACGCACGAAGCACGGACCAGGCACGGACCAAACCAGGACCAAACCTAGAATGGTTCCGCGCGCGGTCGCCACGCAAGTGGGAATTCCAACCCTTCCATTGTCTGGCGCGTGGTATGTGTAGGCATCCACGTAAAGCGCCATTGGCTCGTCGCTCCATGGCTTGGCTGATACCTAGCCGATCCTTCGTGCGACCCTTCTCGCCAACTTCTCGCGGTCAATAACTTACCTGAAGCCCATATATACCTGGTGGTCTTCTAAAACCCGAATCGGAGGGCTTCCTCAGTCGCGCCCGCCATGGATCCCCTTATCGGCACTCTCGCTTTTACCTTGCTATGTTTCTTGTATGCAGTGGTGAAAGCGCGGAAGAGAGTTTCCTTGGCCGATATTCCTGGGCCGCAGCCGGAGTCATTCTTAATGGGTACGTTCCACCGTTGCATCACATAGATGGGGCCTTGATGTATAGCGCAGGGAGTCTCGCCGAGCTGCACCAAGAGCAGGCGGCCGAGGCGGATTTCAGGTATCAAGCTGAATTCGGCGGTGTTGCGAAGATCAAAGCACCTTTCGGCGTACGTATGTCGTACTATGGTGACGAGCTGGATGGTTATATACAGGACATCGACAGGTCGACATGCTGTGGATCTGCGATCCCAAAGCTCTCCAATACATCTATCAAACGTCGGGGTACAACTTCCCAAAACAGCCCGAACGTCGAGTGCTTTCAGGACTGCTCGGTGATCATGGGCTGACTTGGGCAGACGGTTTGTCTCGCAGATCTGTTGAACATGCGCGCTGATAGCTAACAAGAGCGACAGGGGAAACACATAGGCGGCAGAGGAAAGTTATGCTCCCTGCGTTTGGCTCACCCGAAGCCAAGGCTTTGCTCCCTGTTTTTGAGCACTACGCCGAACAGGTCAGTCAGCGTATACATAACCCACATTCCAAGGCATAATCGAAACGGCTCCGCATAGGTGACGCTGAAGTGGCGCGATATCATCGAGGGTTCTCCGGACCAGAGGGCGGTTTTGAATGTGATCAAGTTAATCGCGCCCGCGACACTGGATGCAATCGGCGAAGGTGCGCTACGATCTTTTCTCTCTCAAGTTCTGCTCCTGACCATGACGCTCAGCTGCTTTTGACTACAAGCTCGGTTGCATGGACAACGCCGAGAACGAGCTTGCTAGGGGTTACAACAGTCTTGCGTAAGCGAGTGCCCTTTGTGCCTCGAACCTAGCGTCGTGCTCATGAAGTACCACAGAGCAGGAATCTTTTCGAGTCCCTCGAAGTCCAAACTGTTCTGGACTAGCGTTGCTCACTACATGCCCATGGGTATCTCCGAATGGCTATATGCCAATCTACCAGGGAAGGGCCTTGACAAGGCTCGTCAGAACAGGCGGGCAGCGCACAGGATAGCACGGGAGCTGCTTGACTTGAAGTCAGAGGCGTTATTGCACAGCAAAGGCAGCCGCGACGTCATGAGCATCATTGGTAGTGTCTAATATACTTTTCTCGCCCGTATTCTACTGCTTACATTATCCTCAGTGAGAGCCAATGCGTCTGAAAATGAGAAGACCAAACTCGCAGACGACGAGATGATAGCCCAGATGAGGTGAACAATGCCGCATCCAGGCTAATTTCTAGTTCCACTGACACCGAGCTCTAGGACGATCATGCTAGCAGGTCAAGAAACTAGTTCCAACACGCTCAGCTTTGCTCTGTACGAGTTAGCTAGGCATCCGCACTATCAGGACCGCCTCAGGGAGGAGATTCGCGCCACGGAACGGGTCGTCCACGAGCGTGGTGATTCTACGTTCACATCGTCCGACATGGACGGTATGCCTTTCCTACAAGCATTCGTGCGCGAGGTCCTACGCTATCACCCGGCTGTACCGCACAACTATCGGCAAGCCTTGAAGGATGACGTTCTCCCGTTGTCAAAGCCCATTAGGACCTTGTCCGGGGCAATCGTCAACGAGGTCCCCATTCCCAAGGGTACACGGGTAACGCTATCAATAGCTGCGTATAATAGGTACGCCTTGACAAAAGTATCATGTGGTAAGAAGCACGATTGATGGGTCATGCTATGGTATAGGGAGAAAGACATCTGGGGTGAGGACGCCCACGTCTTCAACCCAGAACGTTTCTTGGAATTCTCCGGAAAGCGTGGCCCAACTGTAGGCGTATTCGCCAACATGTGAGTTTTGATCGCAATAGAAGCCCGTCGCGGTTGTTCTGACTTCACGTTAGCCTGACATTCTCCGGCGGTATCCGTGCCTGCATTGGCTGGCGCCTTGCGTACGTCCATTCGACGACCCTGTTTATGTGTCAATACAGCTAACGATCAATGTATGGATGAACAGTGTTCTCGAACTGCAGTCTTTCCTAGTCCAGTTGGTATCGAACTTTGAATTCGGTCTGACGGAAGAGTTGAAGCGGCTTAGAAGGGAAAACGCTCTTGTCATGGTTCCGACGCTGGAAGGCGAGCCGGAGAAAGGTGTACAATTACCTCTGGTAGTATCTTTCGCTCCGCGATCTGACTAGATCTTCCCTCGAGCAGACTGGTGTGCTGTACGTCGATTACTATTTTGATTTACACCCGGTTGCAGGTCGTCCCGCTGCATGAGCATGTCCGAGAAACCTCGAATTGGTCGGCTCAGCTTGAGTTGTTCGTACACGCCGCCTCGGCGGCTGACGCTCCTACTTATACTACTGCGCATCTCCTGGAACATAATTTAGAAGGCCCTGCCAATCGATATGCGATGCTAGACTCAAGCACGCAGTATTCCTATGTTGGTCAGCAGGAGACTACAGCAATCCAACGCAAATCCTACCATCGAAGACCTATCCCCGTTCGCATACGGAAATTGTTGAGGCTGACCTGTAGGCTGTGGCGGCGCGGTCACTACTATTAGTACTAGAGCTTAGACTTGTTGAACAAACCTCCGCTCAATGCCGGCCCCCGCAATGAACTCACCTGGACCAACTAAATTCTGATTCAAATTTGCCTACTTTGACAGGATGGATACTAACGAGACTCGACCTTGTTCTCCCCATTCTCATTCCCGGTAGGCGTGGCTGGCGATTTGAAATCACGGCTCGTGTATAAGACTCGGAGTTCTTGATGACATATTGCCATTTTGGGCGAACACAGTTCAATTTAGATGGGCGCTTGGTTGGCAAGTCCCAGCTTACGTTCGACTTCCACTGCAAACTCTGTGTGCATCTGCCTGGCCTCTGCGGTACTCCAGTGCTGAAATCTGTCTGGACTGGCAATTGTATACTGGACCAATGCAGCGAGAGATCTACATGAACATACCAGCGCAGAATCCTCAGCATACGCCCAGCTTCGAGGTAAGACCGCCGCCACTGGGTCTACTCGCTGCCCAACTTCAGTGTTCCTCAAGTTTGCTCCTCCAGGAACGTCGCGTACAAGACTACCTACGTGCATACCAGTCAACTGGAAGGCCACCAGCGCCATGTCCGACACAACCGACCGACCGAGCGCAGCGTGCCGCCCTTGGTTTGCCACCATATATCGAGTCGTACTCGGAAGTGGTGCGCGGTAGCACAGACACTGCTATGAATGGTGGTTTGCTCCCACCATCAATCACTATTACCATCAACGATGTGGCAGCAGCAATGCCCGACGTACATGCCTTCCGACCGGTGCCGCTCCCGGATGAGGGCACCGGTACTTCGCGGGGCGCATACTTCCATTGCATCGTATGCCAACCTGAGTTTCGTGCATGGTCAATTGAGGTGCGTCTCATTCTCTCATTCACACCGAGGAGACCAGGAGTACGCGCATTGTTGGCTCATTGTGGTTGTTGGTGGCCTCCAGGAATTGAGGGTCTCCGCGTATGCCAAAGGTCGAAAGCATGCTCCCGAGGCTGCCATACCACGACCAACAACTCCGCGTGAGTATTCCTATCCCTCTTGCCAACCCGTACTCGCTGATGCATTATCAGAGCCGGCGCCTGTGCTCCTATCTACCAATGGCTATCCCGTGGAGAACTTCCAAAGCATTTCTTGCAAGCCTGATTACAACAAGCATAGTCTGGAGGTACGATTTGCGGGTCAGTATCCGACGCTCTGCTGACAGACACGACAAAGGAACTACGGCTAGCTTTCTATGGCGCAGGACGTCAGCTAACATCCGCAGAGATCATTCAACGAAGCGCTGCTCTCCGGATAGCGAAGCCATGAACGATTGGACGGGCGAACGGACACTACAATTGTAACCTTGCTATCGCTTGCTATCCTGTACGACGATGTGTCTTGATAAGTGTGAGTGGAACGTAATAAGAACATGTACGATATCATAAATACTGCTCTTCAGTTATTATACAGTGCTGGGATATACTAATACATGCAGGTTTCTCGACGCACTCCAGATGCTCGGATACAAGTGTCCTTCGTCATGGTAAGTTCTCATCATTTCTTGGAGCTTCTACCGCCTGATGCCCGACAGCCACGACCACATCCTGGCAACACGTTCGACCCGCGCGACCTCGTCCTCCGACACCTCGCCCTTCCAGACGCTCAAGAACTCGGGCTCGTCGTCGATACACCGGAGGGCGGTGTCGACGCTCTTCCTTGACGCGAAGGCGAGGTAGCAGCCCACGATGGACATGGCATCCGTCGGCCGCCTCGGTGGCGTAGAAATCAAGACGCGTGTGGCCTGCTTGTCCGCTGCAGGGCGAGTGGCGACCGACTGCTGCGCCGCGCTGCCGTAGGGGAGCGCCTGCGCAAGGAAGTCGCGCGCTGCACGGAGCTGGGCCTCGGTGAGTGCGAGACCGGCGCGCACAGGCGGCTCTTTCGACGCTTCCGGGAGGACAAGACGCAGTCGGTGCACGCGCCCCTCAGGCTGGTAGGCCTGCTCGGTGGCGCCGGCGTCATAGCCTGGTAGCGGGTAGCACACGTCGATGATGTGCGTGTAGCTCGCATCGTGCGGGTGCGTCGATTCGGTCTTGAACGCCACAAACAGACCGGGGACGGCTTCCTGGAGGCACGGCTCGTCGGCAGGCTTGGGTGGCGGCACGAAGGCCCCGGGTGCGGGCGCGGGGGGCTGCGTTTGCTCGGGCTCGTCGTCATAGAACACAATGCGCTTGATCTGCGCCTTCCGCCGGCGCGGGAGATGGCTGCGGTGCGGCTGGATGTGACCTTTGGGCGACCACGACCCGCTGCATGCCTGCTGTTGCCCAAAGCTCGTCTTGATTGTCAGGCTGAGCTCTGCCGTGAACCCGCAGCGCTCGCGGAGTGGCGTGCGGAGGACTGGAACTGGAGGTGGGAACTGTGCGAGTGGACTCGTCGGGTAAATACCGATGGTGGACGGCCCAGCGGCAGGTATGGTCAATCTAGGTATCTGGATCGCAGTGGCAGCCATGGGGGTGCGCGAAGAATTTGAATGAGAGGTGCGAAAGTCTAGAGAGTGAGAGTGAGGATGGGTTCGAGTGCCAGACTCAAGAGATACGAACTGATGAATGACTGTGAAGTATGTGAAGCCGCCTTATATGCTCGTTGGACACGAGGATGGTGGCACCAACAATGCTATCTGCACGAGGGAGGGCGGTTCCGGTGCTTATTGGGCAGGAAGGTGTCTAGAGCTGCTTCTCGCCTCGTTGTTGGTGGGACTCCATGAAGGCGATGATCTTTCATTATATACTCTCCTCACCGCGTCGGATATGCGAGGCTGGAGAACAGAGCCTCGGATGGATGTTTCGCGCTTTGTGTGGCTTCTCCGTCGCCGACGGAAGGCACAGCTGATCCGCTCCCGTGCCCCACAAAGCATGGCGGAAACGGATGGACGCGAGAACCTTGCTGCTTGTGTATAATGATCCAGACCTCCTGGGTCGGACGCCGTCCGAGTCCAAATAACTTACTATCAATGCTGTGACCCGTTCATATCAAAACGCGCTCAGTCTGGTTGGGGTAAGTTACCAGCCTATCAGATACAACTATTATCTAATAACCATTTACGACATTTGTTGTGAAGGGCATGTGGTGTAGTTGGTTATCACGCTCGCTTAGCATGTACAGCTTATGTATGCGAGAGGGGTCCGGTTCAATCCCGGACATGTCCATTTTTTCGCTCGTGCCCGCGGTTGTCACTGACAGCTCTGGATCATAATGGAACTTTTTCAACTGCTTTCAGTACTATCAATGTAAGTTCTGGTACTTCGGCGCGAGGAATCTCGACGGCCCTAGTCATGGACGTTCAGACTTGACTTAGTGCAGAATGAAGCAATGCACCCCACTCAAAGTCTTGTGCTGGCTATATTTCTGACTGCGCGCACTTCTCCGGTCTTGTTCAATAGGAGCTGACAATCTCTTTCACTCGGTCGTTGATCTACTAGCAAGCTCCAAGCACTCTAGTAATCAGCGTTCGAGTGCACAACCTTATGAGGTCGCGATAGACCTTGTTCTAGGTTGCCACTTGAGCCAATAGAGACAAGGAGGATGTGAGGCGATGCTTGAAGCTGAAGCTCGGCTAGTCTGTACGGGACTGCGCCACCAGTGACTTGCAAGTCCGGACTGACTAGCTGCCATTCAGCACCCAACCACAAATCGGACTCCTTCACTTTGCTTGTAAGTCATGTCACTCACCAGTGATTGGGCACGTATTCGCGAGGGAGCCAAACTTCATATGATTGTGTGCATCGGGTTATATGTCAGATAGGAACAGCGTCATTACACAGCAGGTGAGCATGAGTACATCCAATAAAGGTCGATAGCAGTGCGTACGAGAGATGCAAGGAAGAGAATCTCCATAGTGTGGCACCAGTATGAGCGTAGCAGGTATGAGACACTGGATGTAGCATATAGGCTGTCGAAACAGACCACAAATTCGTAAGCGGAGGGAAAGACTTCATTCACTTTCGAGAGAGTATGGAATCATTTTCTTGCGTTCTGAGCGCGGCATAGTAGCTGACTAACCAGCCGGCAGTTCAGTATGGGCATCACGGATAATATTTATGTGAGAGGATGCTTACTTGTAAGGACGTCGCTGACTCGGACTTACTCCATCCAGTCATCGACTTCGACACCCATGGTGTACGGGAGTCGGAACCATAGTCTTTCGCGCTCGTCGGCTGCCCTTCCCTGCACCAACAACTGGCAATCATCGCAGAGGGCGAGATAGTTCGGATTGTCGAAGTGGAGGAAAGGGACCCAATCCTCGAGGCATCTGTAGTCGTTCAGAGCGCCGTCATATCGCACTTGGCCGTGCAAAAGGTCCACAAGAGACACGGTGCACGTTTTTGGACTTGTGCATCCGCCGGACGTGACAGGCGCGAAGATGCGGGTGGCAGAAACGACGTTGTCGTGGACGAGTGTCTTCCGGGCATTCAGGCATCTCATGATGTCCTTCGGCGCGAGCTGCTCCCTCCTTCCGTCCCGCCGTTTGAATCCATTGACGATGATTTCGGTTTCAAGTTGGCAGCACATGTAGAGCGCGACAGGAAGGATACTGGCTATGCCTGTGAGACGGCCAATGTTGACCGCAGCGATCGCATCCCTCCGCTTGTGGGTCATGAGAGGGCTTGCCTTGTCTACGTCGGCCCTCGCCCAGACATAGAGGTTCTCGCTGAAGCAGGATTTCATGCAGTCTAGTGCATCATCAAGCAGCTCTTGAATCCCATACTTATGAGAGAGGCGGGCGAGGGCCGCGACAGTCGAGAATGGTAATTGTTCAATGTACCGATGAGATCTACCATGCTGTTCAGAACCAAGGCTTTCCAAAGCACCCCAAGATCAGAGGCTGGCGAGCGCAGGACCTACCTCTTGTTGATGAACAGAGCGGATAAGAGATGCCGCAGGTCGTCGGGATGGTCTACAAGGTGTATGACAGGGGATCCGTCGAGTTGCTCCGCGGACTTAGGCTGCGGGACAGAAAACATGCCAGCGAAGACCTCGGAGTGCATCGCCAAAAACCCCTGATAAACTCGAAAGGCTACTCCGCCCGCCTGCAGCACGATGTTCCCATCCTCAAACCAAACAACTCTGTCACGTTTCAAGACACCTCCCGCTAGGGGCTTGAGTATGTCTTTCAAGTTGTCCCTATAGTTTGCATGTGTGCGCTTGCGCCTTTCCGAGGCTATCTCTGAGTCTTCCCGGGAAGCCATGCAAGGTGCTTCCAGCACTGGCTTGCGTTCGTCACGAGTGAAGCTTGATGACTGGGACGCAGGTGCCTGGTGGCAGTTGAGGGCCAAGAACGGTCACCGTCTGAGGATCAAACTATCTCATGGAAATCAGTATAGAAAGACTCGAGACTAGGATCATTACCTTGAATGTCCGAGGTGAGCACACACGCAGGCGTACGTGGAAGGTAAGCCATTGGAGTTTTTGAACCATTCGGCAGTCACGGTCACCTGCCACTACCAACTTCAGCCACCACCGCGCTCCGCGTCCGAGTCGCGCGTTCGCGTGCGATCCAGTGATTAATCCCGTTGGGGACGGTGAACTGAGACTACCATGATGTACCTTGCTTGTAGCGGTTAATAAATGCAGAGGTCATCATCATACCATGATGTACCCAAGGATATACCTATGCCTTCGCATTGGAATAAATTCCCCCAATCCGTCTGCGGTAGCGATAGACGTCCCCCGCCGGGCCCGAGGGTCGCAATCCCCAAATAACGCTTCGCTATGTAGCTGGCACAGAGCTCGAGCGCCGGCGGCCGTTGCTGTACATGACATTGATCGCTGCGACGTCTCGAACCTCTAGCGTTCTGGGGACAGCCGAAATATGGAAGAATGTGTGACGCGATACTGTGTACATTGAATATATACTAGCTATAGCGGCGTTTGAATGAACAACGAGTCGGCACCTAGGAGCATATGTACAAATCAATGAAAAGGAAAAATTCATGGGATACAGCTCTAGAGACTACTCATATATATACTCTGGATAGTATGGGCCCCTAACTTCAACATTTCTCAACTCCAAGGTCATTGGGAGGTCCGACCACATCTTCGCACGCAAGCCAAGAGCTCTCTCCTGTACGTGCGCCTGGCAACCACGACAGAGGTTCCCGTATTGATCCTCCGAGTTTATTTCCAACCAAGCGATCAAGTCGGTAAGACACGCATAGTCTTCTGTGCCGAAAGTGACCTCAAGATTGACGAGCATTTTCAGCAGCGATGGGCATATGGGTTGGGTCGTGCACTTATGCAGAGTTCCCGGAGTGAACTGGCATAGACGGTAGGTGGAGACGACACGGTCATGGACAAACTTCTTCCGGGCCTTGAGGCACCTCAAGAGATCTGCCTGCGTGAGCCGCTCGATTGTTCCGTTCGCCTGCGGCACTCCATTCAGTAGGTCCTTGGACTTGAGCTGGCAGCATGTGTAGAGGGCAGAAGGGAGTATGTTGTACGTGTCTGTGAGCCGTGCAATGTTGACGGCAGCAATAGCGTCCGTGTCCCGGTAAGATACGAGGTTGCTGCCCCTGGCAGCGGCGGCCTTCGCCCAAACGTCGAAGTCGTGACTGAAGCAGGACTGTATGCGCTTCACAGCATCATCCCGTAGGCATTCCATGTCGTACTTGTGAGCGAGGCGGGCGACAGATGCGACAACGGAGAAGGGGAACTACGAAGCCTTGTCAGAATGCCCATCTCGTGCATTTTATGTGGCCATACCCATGAGCGGCCGGCGAAAAGAGCTCGCAACAGGTGCCGCACGTCCACCGGATGGTCGTCGAGTTTGACGACAGGGCAATCATCGAGTGTGTGTGTCCGTGAGCTCTGGCTGTGGTACAGAGAATAGACCGGCGAAGACGTCGGATTTCAAGGTCAAGACGCCTCGATAGACACGGAACGCTACTCCTCCAGCCTGCAAGACGACGTTGCCGTCGTCGAACCAAAACTCCTCGTCACGCTTCACTCCTTCTGCAGACATGTCGCCCTTCTCTGAGTCTCTGTGTGCGCTCGCTTCCGCGATGCTTGATCCCGTAGCCAAGAGTATTCTGCGTGGATATACCGACCCTGTCGGCAGAGTCGATGATGAATCAAGTCTGGCGTAAAAGTAGAGGCTGACAGGGGAGACAATTGCGCACGTCCAGCCAAGCTTGTACAGGGTTCAGAGGTAAAGGCGAATGTACAGTACAGGCCGAGGGTTCGGCGCGCACCGCTGGTATACTTCCAAATTCAATTCACGACCGTCGTCAACATCGAGATACATCATAATTCTCCGATCTTTACGCAACGTACCATAATCCAAGTAATCATACAGTGCTGTTGTCCTAATATTACAACAGCGTCTCACTACAGTTTCGACGAGTACACGTTGTGACGGCTACCATACGCCAGTGAGTTTCGGAATCCCTTGAAGTAATCGCTCGTAAGTAAGAACATGTCTATCAAGCGACCACAAAGATCATGTGCTTACCACGTATGATAACAAAGCACGGCTCTCATTAGGGTTGTTCAGAGTAGGCTGTCCGGGCAGCTATCGAGCCTGCTATCCCGTCCAGATGTCCGAGGCTCGACTCCGGCAAACGCCGACAGCGAGCCTCAGCTGTGATCCTGATCGCTGTCGCAGGGGCCTCGCTGACGGCGCGCGGTGGCACCGGCGCTCGGCACTCAGTCGGAACGCAAACGCGAGGTTTGTATGGTGGCTAACCCTGAATTAGGGCTACCATCATGTCTTGCCCATAATAGCCCAAGTGTTGTAGATATATGCAAGCATGGTGTCATAAATATACACACTTATGAAGCCGTCTATCGTAGAGTTAAGTAATCATGCTTGGTCTCATTATGAATCGGTGTGCACAATATAGAGATTACATTTGGCAATTGTTACTATATTTGGTAAGTTATGATCATCGGTAAGCAAGGGTGGCAAGCCGGGAATTGCACAGTAACTCGGTATTTTGTGCACTGTGGCAAATAATTGCTTCTCATTGTTCTCAATACATTTTGATACGTACAGCAACTTCAAGAACAGTTCATATTCACAATCTACCACTGCCCGCACTTGGGCTCCGTAACAAGCCCTAATTCAGGGTCAGCCACCGTACAAACCTCGCGTTTGCATTCCGACTGAGTGCCGAGCGCCGGTGCCACCGCGCGCCGTCAGCGAGGCCCCTGCGACAGCGATCAGGATCACAGCTGAGGCTCGCTGTCGGCGTTTGCCGGAGTCGAGCCTCGGACATCTGGACGGGATAGCAGGCTCGATAGCTGCCCGGACAGCCTACTCTGAACAACCCTATTCACTAGCCCAGCCCGGTGGTACCTCAATACCCAACAGCTGGGGAAGTTCAGTCCAGGTCTCTTTGCGTAGTGATTCCTCTGCCATCCGAAGTACACTCTGGCACTCTGGACATATGTAGATACGACCCTCGGTTTGCCGGATGTCGAACCTGGTGCAGAATGGTGATAGCAAAAGGTCCACCGCAAATTTCATAGTAGTAAGGCGTGGACACATTATTCGTTGGCGTATCACTTCTACTTTCGTGCGGCATTCCAAGCATTGCAATGACGGCCTGATGGGATTGTATAACTCGAAGCGCGTATTGATGTATTTTTGGTGCAAGATGTGACGCGCATCGATACACTTGATGACATCCGCCGGGTCAAGGCTTTCAAGGGTTCCGTCAGGACAAGAACAGCCATTGAGGAGACGTTCTGTTCCCAACCGACAGCAAAGGTACAGCGCACTGGGCAGCATAGACTCCGTCCCGGTGAGGCGAGCGATGTTCACGGCGGCGATGGCGTCTGCGAGACGGAACTTCATGATGGGGCTGCCATACCCGGGCCCTTCGGTGACGATTTCCCATGTCGCCAACTCGGTGCAGAAGCACGACTTCATCCGCCACAGGTAGGCATCACGGACGTGGTCGATTTGATACTTGTGTGCCAACCGGACGAGAGCAGCAACAGCCGCGAACTCAAGTTGTTCGTCGGGACGATAGTATCTGTCAAGACACCCAATCAGCGAGAGTACGCGGAGACATAACGCGCGCTACGTACCTGTTGCCGTGGTAGATGACCCGCAAGAGATGGCGCAGATCCTCGGGGCGGTCCGTGAGGTGGACAATGGGACATCCTTCATACGTCTCCATGGACGTCGGCTGAGGCACGGTGAAGAGATCGCGAAAGATCTCTGAGTTGTGGGCAAGTAAGCCTTGGTATATCCTGAAGACGTGCCCCTTGGCCTCGAGCACCACATTGCCGTCGGCGAACCATATCTCCTCGTCGTGAACAAAGCCAGCGGGGTCTTCCGCCTGCGTCGGGATATCCATGACAGACCACGACGGTTCAAAGAGTGCTGAGATGAGTTCCAAGCGACTTCTTGCTACTAGCTACTATGGATATCATCAGCAGGATGCCAACCCCGAGGATGACTTCTGCGTACATACTCACCTACGTGCTGTCTTCTGCTCTTGAGCCACTGTTTGATTGACCCGATGTTCCAGATCAGTCAATAGCGAAATGAAGGGGAAGGTAATCAATAGTAGGGGCTGAGTCTGTTGGACTGACGAGAGCAGGATGTCGATGGAAGCACCGGGCCTGTGGCCACGGATACGGATATATCAATAGGCTCACTATTCACTTTTACTTACTCTCAGTAACACGGCTTACTCACGTACTTACAATTGAGTTACAACACATAAGTACACTTCTTGTCTGATACGACTTACAGTTGCGGTTACATATACCGGCGGCCTTGGCTCTTAGCCTCTCATGCTTGTAACCGAAACCTCCACGGCCCCTTTCCCTACGAAGATACGACCTCGTTGTATAAAGTGCCATAGGGTTCTATGCATAGCTCTGGGTAAAAATGTGCGGGCATTTCTCGGCCAACTTCCCCGAGTGGTTTGCACCAGCAGACCATGCTAGTCTCGTAATCGATACTCAAGTGATAACTCTCACCGCACTCTCCTAGTCGAACGAGCACCACTGACCGCGTCGAAAATGCCCTTCCGCATCCTCGTCGGCTCGTACACGAACGAGATCTACACCGTCTCATTCGACCCGGACGCCGCGAAGCTCACGCTCGAGTCCACGCTCACGGTCGGGCACCACCCGTCCTGGTTAACCCCGCACCCGACGGACCCCTCACTCGTCTTCACGGGGCTGGAGAAGGACGGTGGTAAGGCGGTCGTGGTCAGGTACGACGCGGAGGGCAAGGGCACTGTCGTGGGCGAGGCACCGAGCGGCGGCTCCGATCCTTGTACCCTGCTCGCGCTGGGGACAGAGCTCTTCATCGGCAACGTGAGTATTTCTCGACGCGTGCGGCGCGAGCTGGGTTGGAGTTGAACAACTACGCAGTATTCGTCGGGCACGTTCACTGTTATCCCCCTCACCTACGAACCGCCGCACCTCCAAGCGTCCGAGACCATCATCCTGCAGTTCGAGGGGACGGGCCCGAACAAGGAGCGGCAAGAGGCGTCGCACCCCCACCAGATCTACTCTCACCCGACGCGTGCGGAACTTCTCATCCCCGACCTCGGCGCGGACCTCGCGCGACGCTTCAAGAAGGATGCGAGCGGGAAGTGGGTGCCGAACGGCGAGGTGAAGTACCAGGCAGGGGGAGGCCCGCGGCACGTCGTTGTATATAGTGAGTCTTGCCCTTGGATGCTACACTAGTCGCATGACATCCCTCACCGCGCCTCGCAGACGATATCCTCTACACCGTGCACGAGCTCACCAACGAGCTCAGCGCACACCGCTTGCCACCCGCCCCGGAGGAGCCCTCACATATCGCCACGGTCTCCACCCTGCCGCTAGCAGGCACGTCGTCCGAAGCAGCGTCGTCGATGTTCGCGGCGGAGATCCTGCTGCCCGCGCCGAACGCATCGTACCCCACGCCGTACATCTACGTCTCCAACCGGGAGGACCCGTCCCCGGGGAACGACACCATCGCCATCTTCTCGACTGTGGACTCGGATGGCGGGCCCAAGATGGTCGCGGAGGTGCGCTCGGGGCTGAAGCACCTGAGGGGGATGGTGTTTGGGGGCCCGGACGACAAGTGGCTGATTGCGGGCGGTGTGTATGGAGGCGGCGTCAAGGTGTTCGAGAGGGTGGATGGCGGAAAGGGTCTCAGGGAGGTTGCGTCCCTTGAGCTAGAGGCTCCGACCGGCTTCCTGTGGATCTAAGTGCAGAAGTCGCTTTGTGGAATCGATGTAAGTAAGTACAGTGTATAAGAATTTAAATCAGTACCCAGTAAGTTAGTACCGGCTTACCCTGGGCTTACCCCACACGGTCTGCAATTTTGATGTTTGCCATCAAATTCAGATCTGAGATTGGCCTCCCGGCCGCTGCACGACCTGTGGCAGCCTGTGGCACTTGTCAAGTGCCGCTATTAGTATGTAGGTACCAGGCGGCGTCGTCCGCGTAATTACTACCTCTCTTCATCGCAAGACATACATGCAGTTCCTTGTCGTCTACCTACACCTCTGAAGGGGAAGATCGCTATCGAAGACACAATACATCGGCAAAACAGTCGTGATCAGTGCTCGTGAGCTCACCTGACAAGGCTCAGCCTACCCGCACGGACGATAGTGCCGAGGTAGTACGACGCGCTCTTGAACCATCACTGTCATCATATGAGGAACATGCTGACACGTACTTGTAGCAAGCTGAACAAAACGGGTCCACCCTTGTCTAGCGTGAAGAGGCTTGAACGAACCGTAACGTCATGTCGCCGGTCGGTCTAACTCAGTCTGGACTCGGAGGCAACGAGATTGAGCCCTACCCTCCTCGTTTACAGATTCATTACTAGCCAGGGAAATGCTCTACAAGATCTCCCTCTTTCGGGCATCCGCGTGCTCGAGATAGGCCAAGTCATCGCAGGGCCCTTCTGCGGACAACTCCTTGGGTAGGTACGGTCATGGGCACTTGCGTCACCGAGAACCAACCACGATTGATTATAGGCACTACGGCGCAGAAGTCATCAAAGTGGAGCCACCAAATGTCGGAGACCCACTACGCGTCTGGCGAGAGCTGGATGTTGACGGGGTCAGCCCGTGGTGGCGGAGCATTGCCCGCAACAAGAAGAGTGTGACGATTGATCTTCGGAAAGAGGAGGGCAGAGAGTATGTACATGCAGTTAAGGAAGAGACGTTTTATTCGGGATGCTCATCTTGCTATTTCTACTTAGCTTGGTCAGGAAACTCGCCATCAAGAGTGACGTCCTGCTCGAGAACTTCAAGCCCGGAAGTCAGTGCCATCTCGAACTCGCTGATTCTTGGTATTGACATCGTTCTAGCCCTAGAGAAATGGAAGCTCGGTCCTGAGGACCTGCACCCGCACAACCCGTCCCTCATCTTCACCAGGGTCAGTGGGTACGGGCAGACAGGTCCCTGGGCTTCCCGTCCAGGATACGCTTCCGTCTGCGAAGCTCAATCTGGCTTCCGCTACATCAACGGGTACCCAGACCCCGAGACGGGCATGCTGGACGGCCCACCCGTCCGCCCAAACATCAGTCTTGGAGACTCCGTTGCAGGACTGCACGCTGCGCTCGGAACGGTGAGCCGACCGTACTAAACGGATCCACGCCCCCTCTGAATGGCAACCGCGCCTCATGTCCACAATACGCAGGTGCTCGCGCTTCTGTCTAGAAAAGCGAAGGAGGCCCGCGGCCAGGTCGGAGGGCAGACGGTAGATGTCAGCATTCTGGAAAGGTGCGTCGCGCGGCTCGCTCGGAGAGGATGATCCTGGGACGACCGTTCACGCCTAGTATGATGAACCTGATGGAGGGAATTATCCCGGAGTACGACCGCAAGGGCAAGGTCAGGGCCACCACACCTGCCGCGCCTCGCCAGCTAACCTCTTCCCCCTGCAGATCCGCGGGCCGTCCGGATCCTCAGTCACAGGGATCGTCCCGACGAACGCCTATCCCTGCAAGCCTTCCCCGTCTTCGCCCGACATACCCTCCTTCATCGTCATCGGCGCGAACGCCGACAGCATGTACGTCCGGCTCATGACTGCCGTCGGGCGGCCAGACCTCACCGGGCCAGCCTTCGCGCACAACCACCACCGCGTCGCACGGCAGCAGGAGATCGAGGACGCCATCTCATCGTGGACGCGCGAGCATACGGCGGAGGAGGTCGAGGAGGTCCTGCAGGGCGTTGGGGTCCCGAGCGGCCGCGTACTAAGCGTGAAGGAGATCGTGGACAACCCGCAGGTCAAGGCGAGAGGGCTTGTCGAGGAAGTCTGGGTGGGAGATGAAGCTAGGGAGAAAGGGTGGAACGTCAAGATGCCGAAAGTGACGCCTGTGTTAGAGGGCTGCGACACGAAGACACGCTGGGCTGGTCCTGACTTGGGTCAGCACAACCGGGAGGTCCTCGTAGGCGAACTGGGGCTGAGCGAGGCTGAGTTGACTCGCCTTCAGGAGGACGGTATCATCGGCCAGTGTTGATAGGACATGTCTTCTGCGACGCAGCGAAGACCAGCGATCAGTGGACTGCCTCGTTGCAGATTGAACTATATTGTATCTATTGTAGCAAGCGCAGTGTGTTGTGTTACAAAGATTGTAGCGTGTACTATCAGGGCCCATATGCACAAGGACCGACATTCGGTGATTCTACAAGGTATACAGCATGACGAGAGAATGTCAGGGATATACAAGATGCAGCACCACAACGGCGACCATAGTCCCGATTCAAATCCTGGCACGGACAGCAATAACAATTAGACCGAAAGCATCCCTTAGTCCGCGGGCAACATGAAGCTAGCTAATGCCCACCCAATGTCCTCCGCACGATTTCGTACGAGCAGCAAACAGTCCTCACCATCGTCAACATACAAAGGAAGGTCTTCGTGGAGGGCAGGATGGCCAGCCTCTTGGAGCACGTCATAACAATCACCGGCGCGGAGCGTGAAGAAAGGAAGGTCGCGGTATGAGACACCTGGCGGCGGCTCGCACGGGTGCACGACCCGACAAGTGTATAGCGACGGTATTCTGGTGCCACCGACGCTTGGTCGCCTGCTTTGGCGGCGAGTAGAGGAGGGCGTACTGCGCGCAGGCGCGGTACTTTGTGAGAACGAGGGAGAAGCATGTCCAGGCGCGGATGGGGAGCGGTGTTGTCGTACAACAGAAGAAGAGCTAGGAAGGAGCGTTTCCGTCAGCCTCCGCTTGAAGGATGGCTTCCGTGTTGGGCGACCCCGGTCATCCATGTCCTCGACGAACTGGGGACGCCCTGGAGAAGGCCGGTCGGTATTTGAACGACGCGGGCTCCTCCGACGTGTATCGGCGGCGTCATCCAACAGGCGTCCATGTGAGTGTGATTTCTTCAGAGGCAACGGAGCCGGCCTCGGTTTGCTCTTCGTCAGCGTATTCGTAGGTTTCTGCGGCGTCGTACCCAAAGCGTTCACCATATCGCCGTAATATCCGACGACATCCGAGTCGATGGTATTTACGCTGTGGCTCGGCTGGTGCCCCATCGACCTCGCCGACTTGCCCGACTTCTTCGAGCGAAAGCTTTCGCTGGAGTTGTGGCGCTCGAGCTTGCGCCCGACGTCCAGTGAGCGCACGCTCCGCGCTTTCACACTCACGGGCGTCTGGAGCGACAGTGTGGATGGCGAGCTGAGGGGGTCGTACACGAGGCTGGGGTCGAGGGTGAGGATGGAGGATGACACCACAACAGTCGAACTCGTCTCGCTGGAGTCGTCGTCGAAGATTTTCATGCGCAGCCGCGACTTCTGGCGCGTCATCTCTGGTGCCCCCGTGCGTCGCTCAGATGGCCGCACGATGTTGAGGCCGAGCGTCTGGCCTTCAACGTCTGCCCAGCGCGACCACCACACCCTAACGGTCTCGGCAGCTCCGGCATTCATCTCACCCTCAACCTTGAGTGAGTTCCAGAGGGTGAGCCACCGATCTCGAACCCGCAGGTAGAATTTCATCTGCCAGTTATTGAACTGCTTGAAGCAGAACGTCAGCCCCTTGTCCAACAGCGTCAGATAGGCAGGCAGCTCTGACGCCAGCTGGGCACGCAGGGCAACGTAAGACTGTGAAGCCTCCAGGAGCTGGGGCGGAGGGCGTGACTTAGCGACGTTGAGGTTGAGCAGACCGAGGTGCAAAGGTTCTAGCGTCTGCATCGCCTCTACGAGCCGGAGGGGAGCGAGTGTCGAGTCCACGAACTTCGTCAACTCTGGCAGGAGTTTCTCCTTGACGGTCGTAGTGAAGTCCTCGCACAGTGCCGGCAGCTCCTTCGTGCTGACCTGGATGAATGCCGCGAATGCCTCCGACTCCTCCGGCTGCGACACGCCGATCACCTGTCCGAAGCTCGTGGACCACCGCGATAGCTGGTCCATCAAACCCTGCACCGTCTTGCACCACTCAATGGTCTCCTTCGCGAACGTCCGCGCGAAGGCTTCGGAATCCTTCACCTGCTCACCCAATCGCACGACCTGCTCGGCCTCCTGGTTCGCCTCGGCGCCCTCCTTTGCTTTGACGGACTTCATACTGAAGCTCTTCATCCGCCCGAGACTCACGGAGGCCGACACGCCAAGGTTCAAACCCTTCTTCTTCGGCTTAGGCTTTGGGTCGCTGTGCCGCTTGCTCGGCGTCCCTGAGGAGCCATTGAGGACCTCCTTGATCACCTCCCGCCGCCTACGGCCCTCGTTCACACCGCGTGCGACCTCCTCCATCTTCTCCCGTGCACGTTTGAGGTTCACCTTGTCTGGGTGTGCATCGGATGTCTCCTCGATGATCGCACTCAGCAGGAGTGGATACTTGAGCAGGCGCTGCACGGGCTTAATGAGAAGCGATTGCAGGTCCCAGGCGTGGGTGAGCTTCGACGCGAGCATGCGTGATTCCGCGAGGTAGGCCGTGAGCGCCGGGGTCTGCGGCAGGCCAGTTAGGTGCTCCAAAGCAATGGGGTGCTTTGTGATGTAGGCGAGGTAGAGCGGCTCTATAGTAGAAATCTGGAACACGCAATCAGTCAAAATGAACAGTGATGAATAACGCGTGGGCGTACCGTGTCCAAGAACAGAGCCCCGACATGGTCCACGCCTGACCCCCCCTCGAGCACGGATCCCAATGCTTCTTCGATCTGTTCCGTGAACGAGTCCGAGAATACGGCCAGTTCCGCAACATTGTTGAAGATGATCCGAATGTCGTCCCGTGTCATCGGTGGGGAAGAGGATGAGCTGGACACACCCGCTGAGGAATCTGACGATGTGGATTGGGTGCGTACAGATGACCCCGAGGACGGTGGGGTCGCGGGGGCGGCAGGGAAAGGAGCAGGTTGCCCTGGCACAAGCCTAAGTGATGAGAGTAAGGACACGTCCTGTGCAGACTCACCTGAAGCAAGTGGGATGTGTATGTCCCGAATGAGGGCGAGGTCAGACGCATACGCTCTCTCACTCGACAGCAACTCCTCGAGGGCACGGACGCGTTTCGACACGGCTATGGACGGCTTGAGAAGCGAGGACGAGCCGGAGTCGGAAGCGAAGAGAGAATCGTTGGGTTCAAGTGCGATTTCGTGGACGTGATCATGATCATCGGCAAAGGTGGCTGAGGAGGTTGATGGATCGGGGGTGATGGGTAGAGGCTTGTCTGGTGTCTGAGAGCGTCCCGAGCGGCCAGACTTCTCGCTCGCAGACTGCGAGTTAAGCATCCCGGAGAGAGAACCCAAGCTGCGCGAATGCGACAAAGGCATGACGTCGTCGGTGTGTGCCGCAGTGTGTGGTGTGTCAGGCTGAAGCAACGAAGAGGAGGCGCGCCGCCCTGGGCCTGTAGGTCGCAGAGGAGACCGAGGTGGTCTAGGTGGAGAAGAGGAGGATAGCAGGGGAGAGGATGGTGGTGTGGTCCACGGTGCGCTTTCTGAAGTGTCAGTGGTGCTGGTAGAGAGCCGGAAGCTCGACGGAGGGCCCGATATGCCCACGCGGCGCGAGCGAGGTTCGCAGGCAGACGCTTTCTCGAAGCCGTCGGGCTGGTCAGAAGCGACGCTCATCTCCGTACTGAAAGAGGGAGTCTCCTGCTTTGCTTCCGTCACGGAAAACTCCATCGGATCCGCCCCTGCTCGCTATTCCGCTGTGGGCGCTGTGTGTTCGACTGTCAAAGTGCCCGAGAGTTCTACCGTAGGCCGGGAGAAGAAGTTGAGCGACTCGAAGCGCAGAAGACGATTGTGCTCACGCTTGCTGTCCTCCCAATACTTCAAATTGGCCTCATACACGTGAAGAACATGCGCCTCATTCAGTGGGCCTCTCACGCGATCGTCGTGGCGTTTGACACTGCGTTTAGCGAGGGTACAGACAGCGTCAACCGTAGGCAGTGCTGGGCGAGGCGAGGGTTCGGGCGTAGAACAAGCAGCAGGGGAGTGAGAGTGGCAGAGTCAGACAGCGTTCCGTCTGCACATCAGTTAAAGTACCGCATTTGTGCCTGAAACTTACCATATATAGACTTATCCCGGCGTATTTGACCCACACGCCCAGGGTGCTGCTGCTCCCTCGTCATGTCCAGCGTGAGCTCGACGCGCGACGGGGCCAGGATATCAGAACCCGCCGCGAGTTTGCAGGATGTCCAACGATATTGTTCATGCAATGGAGGCTGTGAAGCTCGCCCGACAAGAAAATGAAAACGTGAGAGGGAGCTTTCGACTGGAACACACGCCTAGGCAGTGCGCGCCCTCATATGCTTATATACTATGGAGGAGTGCGGTCAAAAGTGGAGCTCCTCAGAAGCCGCGGCGGGGTCACAAAACGGAGAGCGAGAGGGTGCAGAACGGTCTGACGGATTTGGAAGGTGCCCTTCCCTATGAGGAAGGTCTTGTACGTCAAAATCACGTGGATGCCATTGGGCGATCATCGATGCCAGGCAAGCTGCCGCTGTGGGCCTGCAATGCCCTGCATTGCTGTCTGACTACTGTAGTGTATGTCGCAATAATACGTTGCGCCCCATTAATATACGAGTGAGTAATAAGCTGGCCTTTACTTCTTCTGAACTGTATACTTATAGGCTACTCTAACTGTCGCACTGCGGCATGCACCAGACGGCTTGTGTACCTCGACACTGCTGACTCATCAGTGACAGATGGCCCACTGCTAACTCGCAATATTTGAAGCGTGTGCGCAGCTCGAACACATGAGACGCGAAATTAATTCGGGATGAACATGATGAAGCCTAGGCTTGCTACCAAGGCATGTTATATACTACCCTGGTCTCCGCACCACTTCCAGGTCTCCCGAATACAACCTCCGCTCTCGGCTGCTTTCCATCCTCGAAGGTCATAACAATATTGAATAGGGTCTCTATCTTCGCCAGAGGGCCCCGCGCAGGATCCGGCGAGCAGCATATCGCCTGAGGTGAGTTCTCCGTGTTGGCGAACACGCGGCGACGCAGCAGGGCAGCGTTCACAGCGTCTCCGAGGGGCACGGGCCCCACCTCCTTCACGATCTCCCCGCAGAGCGCGCGCGCCTTTTCGAGTCGGAAGGGAGAGCCAGAGAGCCATGGTGGCTCGTCGACGAGCCTATTCTGAAGGAAGTGGTTTGTATGGACGATTAGCCCGTCCGCATCCTCTCGCAGGTACGCTCCGCCTCTTGGTGATAGCTCGAGCCCTCGCGCTCTGTGAGCGTCCGCGATGAGGATGTGCTGACTAGACGCAGCGCCGCCGAGCGTCTCGAATGTAGCAATGGCCGCGTCCAGGGAGTCGCATTCGAGCGCGGTCCGGAGGAGAAGATGAATAGGCAGGAGGTCAGTTGAGATGGGGCGAGCGCGTATGGCGTTCAGGCAAACGCCCACGGAGGACGAGTTGAACCCAATCTTGCCTACGATCCCAGGCTTCAGGTACAATAGACACGGTGAGCACACGATGCAAACTCTAGGCAGCGTCAATGCGCACCTCGGTGACCATCCAGATGGTCGGCTTTCCGACGCGCCGGATGGACATGAGCGCGAGGTTCTCGCCCACGGACGCCCGCCAGTCCCAGTTCTGCCCGAGCAGCTGCTTCCCGGACGTCCCGAGCTTCCAGGCGAGCGCCGTGCATCCGTCGTCCCACTGACCGAGGGCGATCTCGCTCCGTGCGTTGAGCGCGACAATGTCGAGCAGCCCAACGTCGCTCTGCCCAACGCCGTCTGCGATCCCTCGCATCTCCTCTAACAGGTCCGGGGCGAGCCGGCCGATCGTCGCGCGAAACTGCTCGGCGACCTCGAGTACCTGCGGCCAGTCATACTTGCATGTGTCCGCAAATATTCCGCGGTAGATTTGGAGCTGGCTTAGGATCTGCGGTGCAAGTGCTTGGCCATGCTTGAGCCCAATCTGTGAACATTTATACACTTGTTGGTTGTACCCGTTATTGCATTCTATCGCTATGAGCGTACCTCGTATGGTGGACCAAACAGATCTATGACCAGTCTTCCACCTCCCATGATGGCGCAAGCAGGAGGAGCGGTATGCGTCAAGCTACAGGGGGGATTGCTTATCGAGCCGTTCTCAGGCTGACTATTGGAGCCATAGAAGCCGGTCTCAGTAGGCTGGAATGTGACAGGGACTACCGAACAAACCTTGCCTGTTCATCCCAACAGGCCGTTTGGCCTGCGTTGGGCCATGCTCGCGGCGGGTTGGAGGACGGTAGTATGTACCGGGTATCGGACCTCGTTTATGGTCACGAGGTCGTGTTACGCGCACGCCGCACGGCGTCTACTGTCACGGTCGTCGGTCGTGTGCGAGTCTCCAGACGCGCGTCCGACTCTCATTGTGCGCAATCGACGAACGTTGGTGAACCGGTGACCTGTGGACACACCTACATTAAATCTTCGCCGTTACCCTCCGTTTTCTCCACTCCTCTCGACTGAAACCGATCCCTGATGAACGTCTCAGTGCAGGAGGTGGAGAGTACGGCGTTCGTTCGCGATGAGGAGTTGTGGTTCCCGGATGGCAATGTCGTGCTCGAGGCGCAGGGTCGTGCCTTCAGAGTGTACCAAGGCTTGCTGGCTCACCACTCAGAGATATTCCGCGATCTCTTCACCGTACCGCAACCGACGACCACGGAAATGTACGAAGAATGCCCAATCGTACACCTCACGGACCAGCCCGAGGACCTTCGCCAGCTATTACGGGTCATATATCACGGGAACAGGTGCGCACACCTTGTGGTGTAAACCTACACAGGGCACAACCAACTGCATTCGATGCTAGATACTACCCCGCTGACGAGCAACTCGAGTTTGCAATCGTCGCCGCGCTCGTTCGAATGTCACACAAATATGCGATCGAGCATATTCGCGACTCCTATCTCTCACGCATGAAGTCGTGCTTCTGCGAAGATCTCGACGATTTCCGGAAATTTCGTTCTCAAAGCGGCAGCCCCTCCATGAAGTTATGCGTTACGGCTACCGACGCCATCGCCGCTGTGAACATTGCACGCCTCACGGAAACACTTTCCATGCTTCCGAGCGCGCTCTTCTTCTGTTGCCTGCTCAAAACAGAAACCCTGATTAATGGCCATCCTCGTGCCGATGGCACTCTGGATTGTCTCAGCCCCGCCGACGTCATCAAGTGCATTGATGCACGTCTATGCTGATATCAGAAGGCCAATTCGACCCATTCCGCGATATTCGATCCCACCACGTCGCCCCCACTGTGCTTGCAACCCACTCAGTGTCGCAAATCAATAGACACCGTGCATACTTGGCTGCTGGATGTGTTGCATCCGACGCAGGCACTCGCGAATCTGCTTACTGAGAAGCACCTATTAATGAATGACGCCCCGAGGTCAGTATGTGAACCATGTGTAGATTCGGTCCGTAGGGCAGAAGGTTCCGCGTACAGGAAAATTTGGGCCGAACTTCCTCAATTTTTGGCTATCGAAAGACCGCCAGGGTGGCCTAGTGAATGAATGCCGTAGGTTGCTATATAGTGCGTATGCAATCATCATCAATATTTTGCAGTCAGTTGAAACCTCACATAGGCTCCTAGATGAACGTGGACGATACGACGACGGGATCTTGCAGTGCCATCAGTTGGTCATCAGTGTAGTTATGGTTGATACGTAAGCTTTGTGTACTTCACCGCTCCTCTTTGCATGACATGTATTTGTATACGCCTCAGACCGTGGTTCAGTTGCTCGTCGACAAATGGGGGTCATTTGGAAGACTGACGGGTTCTTCGCTGTCAGTGCCTAGCTGCCAGTGCTGAGGTCTTCATGTTGAGCTTCAGTACTTAGGCCTCGACTAGGATGTATCCGAAGTGCTCAACCCCTTCTCCGTCATCAATACTGGGTCTTGTTTATATCTCTGACATGACAACTGGGTGTAGCGAAGGTAGATGCGACACTCCAGGGCCGATACTTTCTGGAGGTGGGCGTTCAGAGTGCCGTATTCAGATGAAGCTGAACACGAGGTGTGACTAGCAGCTCTGGTTCGAACAAGATAATGTCGGCCTCCACGCCGGTAGAGTAACATCTCACATCTACCTCGACAGTCTGTACCAGAATTACTAGTCTTCGCTGATTCACTCTGCGTCCCGCAGCTCACAAATACGGCGCGTCTCATACAGATTTGCGCGCTACTCAAGCAGCAAGCAGGATACAATGGATACGAGCATGCCTACCAGCTTGCTACCAGCCCAGATTTCCGTCTGGTAGGTACGATTGGCATGCAACCTCTCATCCACAGCCACCCGCCAGTACGCGAACCAGTCACTTTCCGCACGCCTGAGCCCTGGGCCTCAAACCCCAGGGTGCTGTGCGGTCATTGCCCTATGTCAACGCAGTCCTTCAAGGCAGCATTCAAAGCACTGCGATGTCGAGCAGCCAACTTCCCTACGCCTGAAGCAGCTCACAGTCACAGTACGTGTTGTCTCTCCCAGAAGATCTGTCATTCGCTGCGCGAAGGTATCCGGCGGTCTCGACTCGGAGTGCTTACAGCTATGTTCGCAGGTGGCCACGAAAACTGCACGGTAACAACGGCAGGATCGTAGGGTCGAGGCCCGCGGATGCATTGACGTCGAACGTTCCGTAAGTACCTTCCTCTCCCCGTTTCGATGTAATGGCATTAGAGTGGCTTATAGGCGTATTCCTCGCAAGGAAACGGTCTAGACCTGCAGCGGGCCGCCTGTTCTCCGGCTGGTCAGGATTGAAACGCTTCGAACATATTGACCAGAGGCCTGCATCCAATGGCTGTCAGTCCGGAATGGAATCGCCACGCAAACCAAAAGACAACTTGCGTTCTGGCAGACTTCATACAGCGAATTCAGGAGGCCCTACGATGATGTGAGCTAATGGTACGTCGTGCCATTTCGACTGCGCGGCTTTTCAGGATGGATACCTGTGAGTGCCATCAAGGCCTAGACGCGGGAAGACGGATGTGCATACCGTAGGACCGCGAGCGGTACGCGGATGGATGTGCACGGTCCCGCCAACCCCTGACCATCCTCGCAGCCCGAAAATGCATATAAGGCCAGCCAAATCTCGCGGATTCCTCAGTATCATCTTCATTGCACACGCATACGCAAGCATGTCTGCATCCGCTACTGCTGCTCTTTGCTCCGCCCTAGCTGGTCTAGGGTTCTCCTCTCCTGCCCTCGGTGCCATGTACTCGCTGGCCGAGTACAACCGCTACGCCAGTTGTGAGGCACACAAGGTGTCCGACTTGTGTCACGGTGGCTCGAGGGTTCGGGAAGGAAGTGCGCTTCCTTCGCCTTCGGCGGAATGCATAGTCTATCCTCGTATGAAGTAAGTGGCGATCGCATATAGCAAAGTGCCTTCTCTGACAACACTCCCCCGAACAGAGCTCGCGCCAGAAAGGCCTCCTACCTTGGTATGGAGGTCGGCGACGAGAACGAGGAAGGCTACGAGGCCGGATGCGAGAGCGACCCCGCCGCTCTCGCGCGCACGCAGTACCTCCAGGGCCAGCGCAGACTCAGTTCCAGTCGCGCTCGCACCGAGGATGCTGCGGCCTCCGGCCAATCGGCCTACGTTGGTCTCGGCCTGGGACTGCCCTTCGGAGTCTCACCTCAGCCGCACAGAAGACCAGCGTACTCCGTCAAGGTCGTCGATGTCCCCGAAAGCTCCGCCATCGTTGCGGAGAGGGACATCCGTCGGCCTGGGACTGGGCGGACGTGGGACAGCTGGCCGCCTGTCGCGCCGTCCCCGTCGTTGTTGCCTAGTCCCACCCTGGCGTTCGGCCCGCCGCCGTCGTGCCCATCTCCGAGCAGTCCTGCATGGCCGCCGGTGTCGATGGCGCCGTCGCCTTCGATGCTGCCGAGTCCGCGGTGGGCGTTCATGGGTACTCCGAGACGGCCGGCGTGGCCTCCGGTAGCACCGTCGCCGTCGATGCTGCCGACGCCAGTCTTCTGATACTACGGCTTGCCATATAGTAGGCAATGTTACGTAGAGTCATATCAGAATTTGAGAGTGAACGAGCGCGATCCTCCCCCTTGTGATTCGCGTGATGATTGCAGTAGTGCGCTGCTAGCTGGACGCTCCGGACGAAGAGATTGAGAATATACGCCTGTAACTGAGCCGTCAGTGCATGGTCCAGTCCAACGCGTCCCAGTAACCTTGTCTTTCGTTTGCAATAACTGACCCATTTCAAACCTATCTGACCAGTCCCCCCCCCTACGCCTTGCTACTATACTAGTACACGCGTCGGTCGCACTCTGTCTGGTAAGTACCAGTGAGAGAATTTCGGCAGCAAAACATACCTTGGTCCTCACTCGCTGGACGGTTCCTCTCTTTTCGAACTTCGTGGTGCCTTAGGCTTGTGGCAGTGCAGTAACACAGCTGCGGCCACGTATGATAATGAGTGAAAGCAACGAGACCATGTGCCATGGCTTCGAGCTCTGAGTGCATCATGTGTGCATTGAATTTGCAGCGACACTTCACCTTCTCAGAAGGTTCCGTTTAGCGGGATCTGCTGATCTGGGAGGGATCTGGGGACAGGGAGGGATCAAACCGCCACGTGGATATGGTCTTGGCAGCGCAGCGGGCGCCTGCGCGGAGGAGAGCTCGCGTCCCGGAGCGCGTGAACACCGCCCTCTCACCGAACGACCAACGAACGACAAACTCCCGGCAGCCATGAAGCGGGTCTACCCAGAGAATCCGTACCCACCGACAGCGACGACCAGCGCGGCGGCACTCTCGCGGCAAGCTGTTAGCTCTCGCGCGTACCCTACGAATCGCAGTTCTTCGCCACCAGCTTCAACGTACTTCACGCCTTATGACGGCACACATCATGGAGAACCACAACCTTCGACGCCCGACGCGAACGCGCACTTTGCCTACAGTACGACATTGCGAAGACACCGCCCAGATGGACCCGGCCTGCCCACACCAAACAGTGCGACGGGATTTTCCAAGTTCGAGGAGCTGCGTACGGTCGTCGAGATGGAGGGGCCGTCGGGACTCTGGCAACGGACAGTAGGGATAGCGAAGGGGTGGTTCTCGAAGGACGAGGACTACGAGAAGTTGGCTACACCGCTGAATGCAGACCACCGGGAGACACCCTCTGCTATCTTTGCTCACCGCACGGTGGAGGTACGTCTCGCGTCAACTCTGCCACAACCATGCCATTAAGCTTCACCAGGACACGCTCGCACGCCTTCGTGTCTCGCCGTCCAGTGGGCTCTCGTCTGCAAGCATAGCCGGATTGCTGGAGAGACACGGGTACAACGAGTTCTCGGTGTCCACCCCAGAGCCATTGCTCATCAAGTTTGCGAAGACGATATACGAGAACCCGCTCATCATCCTTCTATGCGGCAGCGCAACAGTGAGTGTAATCATGGGCAACCTAGACGACGCGATGAGTATCACCATAGCAGTGCTCATCGTCCTCACTGGTGAGTACGTCCATCGTGTTTGCAGCCTTGCTGACTAAGGCGCAACAGTCGGCTTCGTTCAAGAACAGCGGTCAGAAAAGAGTCTCGAGGCCTTGAACAAACTTGTCCCCCACCATTGCCATCTCATTCGGTATGTTCGCCGTCCACCCTCGCTAGACCACTCACCAACATGTATCCAGTGATGGCCAGCAACTACATGTTTTGGCCAATGAGCTTGTACCCGGTGACATAGTAACCTTTACCACTGGCGACCGCATTCCCGCCGACTTGCGTCTCGTCACCGCCTCAGACCTCGAAATCGACGAGAGCAGCCTGACCGGCGAGACGAATGCGCGGCGGAAAGACACCGAGCCGTGCCAGACGACGGGGTACGGACCCGCCGCGGTCGCGGAGCGCACCTGCATCGCATACATGGGCACGCTGGTTCGGAGCGGGCGGGGCAGCGGCGTCGTGATTGGCACAGGGACGCAGACGGAGTTCGGGGTCATCTTTTCTATGATGCAGGAGGTGGAGGAGAAGCGAACGCCGCTGCAGCTGAGCATGGACGAGCTCGCGAAGAAGTTGTCCATCATCTCGTTCGGGGTCATTGGCGTCATCGTCATTATCGGCGTGCTGCAGCAGCGGTCGTGGTTGGACATGTTCACCATCGGAGGTGCGTCGCGTCTGCTCAGTCTCGTGGGCTGTGTGTATGCGGAATACGGATTGGCTGACGGTATCGAAGTGCAGTGTCCCTCGCGGTTGCGGCTATACCGGAGGGGCTGCCCATCGTCACGACAGTCACGCTTGCGCTAGGTGTCGTGCGCATGTCGAAACGCAAGGCGATTGTTAAGAAGCTGCACTCAGTCGAAGGACTCGGCAGTGTTTCGGTCATATGCTCTGACAAGACAGGTGAGCTGGTGTCATGTCTCGTATTCGCGGACACTGAGCATTGCGACTTCAGGGACACTGACAAGGAACGAGCAAACTGTCATGGAGATATACGCTGTTGATGAGGCTGTGCGTAGCGACACGTCTAGTCCTGTCCCGCCCCCGCATCACATCTCGCCCGCCATCCGGAAGGCTCTGATCGTCGGCGGCCTCTGCAACGATGCAATCAGGAAGGAGGATGGCACCCACGTAGGTCACTCCACAGATGTCGCCCTGCAGACTGTACTCTCCGTCTTCGGTATGCCGGACCCGCGGCAGGTAGGCTCATCCTTCATTTGCCCACCGGGACACGATTGACGAGTGTGATACAGGAATTCACGCGTCGCTCCGAGGTTCCATTCAGCTCGGACCGGAAATACATGTCTGTCAGCGGCGTGCATAGCGCAGCCTCTACCGTGATGAACGGCTCGGCGGTCAAGGACGGCGGTCGGGAGGTGTACTACATGAAAGGCTCGATCGACGCCGTCCTCGAACGCTGCAGGTTCTACCACGTCTCGGACGAGTCCACCCCGGCTCTCGACGCGAACACAAGGAGCGTCATCCTCTCCAAGGCGCAGACGACCGCTGCGCGTGGCCTGCGCGTCATCGCCATCGCATACGGCTTCAGCCCCGTCGAGCCGAGTTCGGGCCCCAGCACTCGTTCGTCCACGCCCATCCAGTTCGCCTCGGAGAAAGAGAAGGACAAGTCGAAGAGCAACCTCGTCTTCGTGGGCTTCCAGGCGATGCTGGACCCCCCGCGGAAGGGCGTCGCAGACGCGATCGGGCTGCTGCAGACAGCGGGCATCCAGGTCGTGATGATCACGGGCGATGCGGAGGAGACGGCGCTGTCGATCGCGCGCACGCTCGGTTTGCGCGTCGGTGCACGGGACAAGGCGGCGTGTCTGACGGGCCAGGCGATCGACGGGATGAGCAAGACGCAGTTGATGGAACGCGTGGGGAATGTGAGCGTCTTTGCGAGGACGACGCCGAAGCATAAGATGGCTATCGTGGAGGCGTACCAGGCGAGGGGCGCTGTCGTAGCTATGACGGGTGACGGAGGTGAGTGACTCTGCGTGTTGCGTGCGGGAGAGACGCTGAGCGGAGTTTGTAGTCAATGATGCACCTGCTCTGAAAATGGCCGACATTGGTGTCTCTATGGGGCTCAGCGGTACGGACGTGGCAAAGGAAGCTGCGGATGTTATCCTTGTAGATGATAACTTCAGCACTATACTGCCTGCAGTCGAAGAGGGTACGTGATGTCCATCCCCGGTCTACGGCCCAATATGCTCATAGTCGTCCCACAGGCAAATCTATCTTCTACAACATTCAGAACTTCCTGTCGTTCCAGTTGAGTACGGCCGTAGCGGCACTGAGTCTCATTACCATGAGCACGTTCTTCGGCCTCAGCAATCCTCTAAATGCCATGCAGATCCTTTTCATTAACATTCTCATGGACGGTAAGCCTCATTGCTTGGAGTCTTGTGTTGTCTCTGAACGCAACTCTGTGTGCGAAGGTCCCCCCAGTCAATCGCTAGGCGTAGATCCCGTAGACCAAGAAGTCATGCGGAGACCACCGCGCAAGAAGGATGCTCCTATCATCTCCAAGCAACTGTCCTACCGAATACTGTTCTCTGCAGCAATGATCGTGATTGGCACGATGTACATCTACCTCTACGCCCTATCGGACGACAACATGTCAAGACGAGAACAAACCATGGTCCGTCCTTGACTCACAAAGCACGATGATCAGTCACTGACGACAACTCAGACATTCACATGCTTTGTGTTCCTGGACCTCGTGTCTGCGCTGCAGAACCGGGGCCTCGGGTGCGGCATCACACAAAACAGCATGCTCATAACGACTGTATCTATATCGTTCCTTGTGCAGTTGACCCTCATATACGTATCCGTCATGCAGAGCATCTTCCAAACGGAAGCGCTGAGCACGGGAGACATCTCGCGACTGCTCTTCATAGCGGGCTTGTCGTTCGCGCTGCACGAAGGCCGGCGGCGTTACGAACGCTCGTTAGTTGCGGACCAGACATATACGGCCGTCACGGAAGAGCTAGCGTAGCATTCCACTCCAGGGTATTCCTCGGGCTCATTCATGTACTGGTATTTATATATATTACTTGCATTGCTCACGCTTGCATTGCTCATGGCTGTATAATCCAATGTTGCGCAACGTCGACCTATCGCACTCCGCTCACCGACAACTCAAGGCTTGCAGGTTTCATCATTCACATGCATCACACGGTGGGATTCCTTTCTTTCGCAGTGTATCTCTGATACTACTACAGATGACATTGCCACAGCAAGCCATACAATCAGAACACTGGCGTCGGCAGCATCGACGGCGACGGTGCTACCGGAGGCCACGCCGGCCGTCTTGGAGTACCCATGAAAGCCCATCGCGGACTCGGCAGCATCGAAGGCGACGGCGCCATCGACACCGGCGGCCACGCAGGACTGCTCGGAGATGGGCACGACGGCCGCGGGCCGAACGCCAGGGTGGGACTAGGCAACAACGACGGGGACGGCGCGACAGGCGGCCAGCTGTCCCACGTCCGCCCAGTCCCAGGCCGACGGATGTCCCTCTCCGCAACGATGGCGGAGCTTTCGGGGACATCGACGACCTTGACGGAGTACGCTGGTCTTCTGTGCGGCTGAGGTGAGACTCCGAAGGGCAGTCCCAGGCCGAGACCAACATAGGCCGATTGGCCGGAGGCCGCAGCATCCTCGGTGCGAGCGCGACTGGAACTGAGTCTGCGCTGGCCCTGGAGGCGCTGCGTGCGCGCGAGAGCGGCGGGGTCGCTCTCGCATCCGGCCTCGTAGCCTTCCTCGTTCTCGTCGCCGACCTCTACACCAAGGTAGGAGGCCTTTCTGGCGCGAGCTCTGTTCGGGGGAGTGTTGTCAGAGAAGGCACTTTGCTATATGCGAGGGCCACTTACTTCATACGAGGATAGACTATGCATTCCGCCGAAGGCGAAGGAAGCGCACTTCCTTCCCGAACCCTCGAGCCACCGTGACACAAGTCGGACACCTTGTGTGCCTCACGACTAGCGTAGCGGTTGTACTCGGCCAGCGAGTACATGGCACCGAGGGCAGGAGAGGAGAACCCTAGACCAGCTAGGGCGGAGCAAAGAGCAGCAGTAGCGGATGCAGACATGCTTGCGTATGCGTGTGCAGTGAAGATAATACTGAGGAATCCGCGAGATTTGGCTGGCCTTATATGCATTTTCGGGCTGCGACGATGGTCAGGGGTTGGCGGGACCGTGCACATCCATCCGCGTACCGCTCGCGGTCCTACGGTGTGCACATCCGTCTTCCCGCGTCTAGGCCTTGGTAGTATGCATCTCAACAAACATCATTTTCAACCAGATCTCTGCGTCCTTGCTCTTGATTGAAGACCGTCTCCCATGTGCAACTTCCAATGGCCTCGGGCTCCTCTAAGGCTCCCCGGCTCTCGTAACGCGCAGGAGCTGCCACAGCGATGTGTGGATGATGGTTTCGTTCTAGACTGTCGGAGCGCACACAAGGTCGGAGCGCCCCCTCGGACCGTTACACTTCCGACCACCGAGCGGAGGCTCTTCTAGATGCGCTGCGAGGTATGTCAGTTTGTACACAGAGACGCTGAGGATTAAGGAGGGTGGCAATCTCAACATATGCATGGTTATGACTTGCGGACTCAGGCCGCATGCCAGTCTGACAGCGAGTCTGCAAGTCATAGCTGCGCACCCAGCCGTTCGTTCGCCCTCGCTCTCTCACTTCCTGTGCATATCTAATACCTGATACCAGACAGCATCTGTAGGTGTCCTCATCTGTAGCTGACTACGGTCAGTGCTCCGAATGCTCGAGCCAGAAGTTTCGGATCGGCACCCTACGGTCAACCTGGAACGCTCTGGGCTCACGCGGCTTCTGGGGCGCGCAAAAGCGGGCCGCTGTCCTCCCCATTACAATGCTGACCACAGGATCCACCACCGGCGCGAGAATCATGGAATGATGGTCAGCCACACACAACGTCGTTGAGGTCACTGTGAAGTTGGTCATTCGACGACGAGACGTTTTGAATTGCTATGGCATACAGCTACACTGATCTGATTCTTCTCCGAAAACAGCCTACACACACTACTGCAAGACGACGCGTCACACGTTTACTTTACCTTCGGCTTGTGCGTGGCCGCCTGCTCGGCGGGGTTGTTGAAGATGTTGATGTCCCAATTGGGCGCATACGTATACGGCATGTTAAACCGTGTCGGGTCGCGCTTCCCGAGGGAGACGAGCTTCTGATAATCCTCTTCCGAGAGTGAGACCTGCTTGAAGTTCGAATCGATGCGTTCTATAAACAACGGCACCGTATCAGCCACTGCTCAGCCAGCATGTGCAGGCGACGTACCCTTCTGTACGGACTTGGGGATGACGGAGTACCCACGGTAGACGCCGTAAGCGATGAGGACCTGCGCGGGCGTCGCGTCGAGCTTCTGCGCGATCTCGCGCACCTCGGGGTAGTCCGTCAGCCTCGGCTTGTCGACCATGTTGTTGCCCAGCGGGCTGTACGCTGTGATGTGGATGTTGTGCGCCTTGCAGAACGCGTCGAGCTCGTCCTGCTGCAGCAGCGGGTGCGCCTCGATCTGGTTCGCGGTCTACATCGCAGCCAAGAAGTTGAGTGCTCGGTTGACAGTGGAGAGGACGCGGGACGTACCGGCCAGACTCCGGTGGCATCGGCGATGCCCTGGATGTGCTCGATGGTGAAGTTGGAGACGCCGATCGCCTTGACCTTGCCGGTCTTGAGGAGGTCGATCATCGCCTGCCATGTCTCAACGAGGCTCGTCTCCGTGTCGAGCTCGACCCAGCCCTCCTTCGTCGGGTGCGGCGGGAAGAAGTCCTTGCCGGGGTTCGGACTCGCCGTGAACGCGACAGGCCAGTGTATCACTGTCAACGCCGCGGTACTCAGGCACAAAACATGTCATAGGAGCAAGAACACCCACGGTAGAGGTCAAGGTAGTCGGTCCCGAGCTGGCGGAGCGTCTCGTCTAGCTCCTTCTCGACGAGCTCCTTCTTATGCGAGGTGTTCCAGACCTTGGACGTGATGAAGAGCTCCTCGCGCTTGCAGACCGAGGGGACGACCTTCTTGAGCGCGCGCCCAACCTCGTCCTGGTTCGCGTAGATCATCGCGAGATCGAGGTGGCGGTAGCCCGCGCGCACGGCGAGCTCGACCTGCGCACATCGTCTCCGTGTCAGATAGGCACCCCCACAACAATCTAGAGCTCAAGGCAGAACGTACGGCATTCTCAACTTCGTTGGGCTTCGACAGCCATGTGCCGAGGCCGATTTGGGGGATCGTCTGCCCGCTGGACAGAGACAGGACCTTTCCTTGAGACATGGCTCTGAGTTCGGGATTATGGGAGTAAACAGAGGGGTGGGGGTTGCGATTTGCGTGTCCACATGCTCGCCAGCTGGGTTTATATACTGACGAGTTCTGGCCAAGGGTTCTCCCCTATGTTTCTGTCGATGTCAGTCGCGATCAAATGTAATGGCCACCGGTGTATGACGCACCGGTCCGCCGGGCCGTCGGGACGGACTCGAAGTTGGCAGTCACGTGGCTGACGGTGCGGTGGCGGTGGCGGCGGTGGCGGTACGGTACCTACTAAGTTACCAGGCAGCAGGCTGCCACTGCTTGACTCTGCTACAGCCTACCGCGCATGGTTTCCTGGAATACCTCCAGCGAAGGGACGGAAGTATTGCTTTGGTGAGCTCTCCATTCTATGCAAAGATACGTTCTAGCTCCATTCCAAGTAGCCGTGCGCTTCCCGGCGTGCAGGACTTGCTACGAAGTAGTACGAACGACACGTTCAAGCAGTACTAGTGTGACTTCCGCTCAGTTCGGGGTGTCGCCCGCTATCTGCTTGCGCTCGTCTCTTGTCGTCCATCTACCATGCTCGATGTTGTAAGATGTGACAAACTGTTTCAATTCAATGGTTGCGACTGCGGCCTACTCCGTGGAGCTCGCACCGGGACCGCCAGCAAGAACGGAGGGACTGTACCGTTGTGCCTCCATTTCGAAACTGCCAACCGGTCGAGCTGACATATCTGACATGCGACAGTCTTCAGGAACCATTTCAAGGCGCATATAGCAGTGCCAGAGCTCTGCTCTCCTGGGATGCATGCGGAGGAGGAGGACATCGGCCTGGGTCTCAGGTGCCCCACATCCCCTTCGGCGCCTCCTCTCGGTCAGACTCTGGCTGGAATATTAACATCGACATCCTCCCCCATGCCTCCGCCTGCGTACGATCTCTCTGGAAGGCCTTCAGGAATATGCGATATCCTGTCATTTGTCCGTGCTATTCTGCTGTCCAACTACTGATGCAAGTATGACACATCCCGGAGCGGCGCGCACGACGACTAAACCGCAAAAAGCAGTTGCAGACGCGCAGGTGTGTGCATTCTGTCAAGTGTCCGGCGGATCGTCCAGCCAATCGTTGACTGAAAGCATCCGCAGGTAAGCGTCTATGGGCTCAATTTGCATTTCAGCTTAGCTGCCACTGCACGCGAGTGCGATCTTTTCGCGCTCCGTAGCAGTCTGTGGCTGTAACTGGCGTTCTTCTCCCGTGCCGACGCTGTCACATTCGCCACAGTAGGCAGGAGTGGACTGGTCGCACGGTAGGCCGCGGGGCGCCGCGTCGGTCACGTCGGGGTTCGCTGGCCCTGAATGTGGCCATAACGTTGCCTGCGGCGAGAGTTTACGCCTGTTACGTCGGCTGCATTGCCTTTTTGCCATGCGCTCCACGTTTGTGCGGCTGTTGATGTCTTTGGTTTTCTGTCGTGACAGCTTCGCTTCCAGCTGATTATGTCTTCGAGGGCAGGCAGGGTCCGTCAATGATGCTCAGGCGCGGAAGGCAAGTGGCCTCGATCGTATATAACCTTGCTGATGCAGATGGCATGCCCCCGTCGCCTCTTCTTCCTGACGTCTCGCACGCGATCGCAGCCTTACGGAGAGCTCACTTCTACATCTGTCGTAGGATCCGCAGCCCTTGGATCCTCGCATTGCCAACATAGCCTCGTCTACTCGATCTGGCTCCCCAATCACTCGAGATGCCTTCACTGAAAGCACCAACACCGCTCGCCCTACCCGGAACAGATTTTGCTCCAGCCCTCTACGATGAGTTGCGTTCGGCTGTCAAAGGCCCCGTATATCGTCGGAGTGCCCCGGAGTACGTGGTCAGCTATATGACTCGTAGACAGCCCTGACGGACTGATTTCGTGCCGATGACCCCGCATCTAGATTCGGCGAGCGTGCCAAAACTTTCAACGGGAAGATCACCATCCTGTCCAAGGCCCTCGTCTCGCCGCTCGACACGCAAGACGTGAGTGCAATCGTCCTCTTCTGCCGCAAGCATGGCCTCTCTCCCTCGGTCAAAGCTGGCGGTTACGCGACCGCGGGCTGGTCGGTCGCCGGCGATCTCATCGTCGATCTAGGCATGATGAGGGAGTGCGAAATCGAGCCACCTGTCGCGGACGCGGAGGGCGGCAAGGACTGGACCCAGCTGGCCGATATGCTCCCGCTTGGCAGCAAGGGTAAGGGTCGTGCCCGCCCCTCAGGAAAGAAGGAAGAAGTGGCAGGCAAGGTCCCGCCAGAGACGTCGACAGTCCCCGCCCATGAGGCTGAACAGCCAGCCATCGGCGCCGGGACGAAGCGGAGACGAGAAGACAGCCCGGGGGCGGACGCGGAGAATCGGCCTCTCCCCAAGCTCGCAGCGACACAGGAGAGGCGCAATCTCCTGCGTTCGTACGACACGGCGTCCGATAGCGTTGCTGCTTTCTTACGCGGCCCACCGCTCCCCGAAGAAGGCGGGGAAGAGCCCAGAAAGCCTCCAGCCAACCGCCGGAGGAACACGTCGCCTGAACGGGCTGCGAGCAAGCCCGAAGGCGAAGGTCAGTCTTCCAGCAGCACCGCTCGTAGTGAGTCTATCGGCGTACCGGGTCCACTCGCCATGACTCGCTCTGGGTCAGGCTCAGGCTCAGGCTCAGGCTCAGGCTCAGACCCTTCAGAAGCCGGCACGCACATCACGACGCCCGACACCGACGAGAAAGGCTCTCCCGACGCGCCGTCCTCGCGCTTGCAGGATCCCTTCGGATACCTGACCGCTGAAAGCCTCTTTCCCGCCACTCACCCGCCGAGCCTGACGAGCACGAACCCGTTCGGCTTCGCGTCCGGCTTGTCTTCTACTATGCTCACTCCCGGGTTCTCCAGCATGAGCATGAGCATGGCCCCCTGGTCAGCATACACCGCGTCAGGCTCGCTCGGAAGCCAAGGCGCCTCCAGCGCCGGCGTCGGCCCGCGCATCACGTTCCCTCTCCCCATGGGACTGGGTATGGCCCCGGGCTCGTTCCCGATGGCCATGGGCATGCTGCCGCTGTCGCTCCCGCAGGAGGGTGGTGGCTTCGGCGTGGTCGCGCCGGCGCGCCCGGTCCACCCGCACGCGTATGTGACGCTGGGCGCGGGCATGCGCCAGAAGGAGGTGGATATGTTCACGGCGGAGCACCCGCTCGAGGGATACAGCGGTGTGACTGGGGAGAGACAGGAGAGGGTTGTGCCGTATCATATGCCTTCGTGAGTGCGGACGCGGTGGGTGCTGGCGTATGTGCTGACGGGATACTGTGCTGTAGGTCCGCGCACCCGGTGGGCTCGTCGATCTTGTTGCTCGCGGGCTTTGGGTTTATAAGCCGGATGTATGGGCTGAGCGTCGATAATGTCGTCGAGATAGAGATGGTGTTGGCAGATGGTCGGATCGTGATCGTCAGCGAAGACAGCGACCCAGGTATGCACGAGTCCTTTCTAGCACACCGCTCAGCTGTCAGCTAATGAACTGCAGATCTATGGTGGGCGATACGGGGCGCTGGCCCTGCTTTCGGGATCGCCACCCGCTACAAAGTCAGGGCGTTCCCAGTTCCCGTCGTCTTTGCAGGCAACCTTATCTAGTGCGCGATCCCCGCTTATCTTTATATCCGCGTTGACCATGTCCTCTACAGCCGCTTCCACCGCGCTACCGCCGCGTCCCTCATCAAACACGTCCGCGACTGCATCAAGGGCGCTCCGCGTGAGCTGTACGCCAACGTGCTTCTGACGGCCGGCCCGGCGGACAAGGACTCGCTCGTGGTGGTGCAGATGTGCTATGTCGGGTCGAAGGAGCAGGGTATGGAGTACTTGAACGCGATCTCGAGCTGGGATGGAGAGCGCTGCTTGCTGAACGAGGTGAACGAGAAGAGCTACTTGGCGCAGCAGGATAGCGTCGCTCAGATTCTGAGGGGGAAAGGTCAGTCGGCCATCTTCAACGAGAGTGACGTGACGTCTAATAGGTCTGGGTCTATGCTAGCTGGACGGCAATGGTTCATCCGCTCGTCACTCATTCACTCCCTCCCGGACGACATCATCAACCAGACCGTCATCCAATTCTCCAACACACCGATCGGCTGCAGTAAGTGCTCCTCCTCCTCCCCCTCATATACACGCCTGGCTGATCATCGATCGCAGCGTGGATCTTCGAACTGTCCGGGGGCGCTATCGCCGATTTCGAGGACACGCCGATTCCGAAGGAGCAGCGGGAGGCGGTGTGGACCGTCGCGGCGCTGCATCAGTGGGAGATGGGCATCGACGATCCGAGGTGCATCGAATCCGCGGAGGAGGTGCGTGGTTCCCCTCTGTTCGTGTGGGTCCGTGTGGTGATTAGAGTGTGTCGATGATAGTGGATTGACGGGACCATCGGGAAGGTCGCGCTGGGCGGGCCGTTCCCGTCCGTGCGTCTTCTGCTCTTCTTCATGCGTCTGGGCGCTGATGTTTGATCTGCAGTTCATTGGGCGGCATGAACCTCCGTCGCGAACGATGGCCTGTTTTGGCAAGAACTGGGCACGTCTGACGGAGCTGAAGCGCAAGTATGACCCTGGTTGCTTCTTCAAGAATAACTTTTGGCCGTTGGACAAGAATGGTCAGCCGGTTGAGCCCTTGTCGAATGAGCCTCCGAGCCCATCTCCGTGATCCACACCGACTTTTGTTTCCACCATGTGATCCTGTCAATGTACTACTTCATCTAGGTGTACTTACTGCCTATCAGTCAATATTTCCTCATGGGTGAGGTTGCTGTTTTCATCATAGCTCCTAGGCAGGCTACGTTCATGTCATTATCCGGTCACTAATGGCAATGCTCTATACTCCGATGCGGAGGATCATGTACTTTACAACCCCCTCAATCGCTTCAAGACACTCTTGCCGGTGTGCGACCATGACGCATGAAGGCTTGTGCCAAGACGATAATACTTAGTAGCGATCGCTGACCCCTACTGGGCTCACTCGAGTCTGAGGCTCAGGTAAACTGTGGACCATCGAAAGAGCGATCATTCAAGCCCTCATTTCTACGTCGAAACGAATGCAAGGGCCATAATATTGGCAATGTCCTCCGAGTCAAGGGTGGAGCTGTGGAGAACGAAGTGTATTCGGTAAGTTACTTAGACTACGCGCGCTCAATACGAACCACCACACAGTGGACTGTCACGTGCTCCATATATATCAGTACATTCAGGCGCTCGTGCATACTTATAATGACTTGCCTTTCTCCAGCTCTCCCAGTTGGTTTCCGCTTCGCCTTGGCCTGCACGCCAAAGTTGGTCGACAAATTTCTTATATCGACGTGCCGCCATGCAGTCAGAATATGGCATATCACTAGCTTTCGTCTACGATTCGGAATGCCGAGGCATCGTAGTGCTTACGACCTACCAACGATTACAGTATTAGATGAGGACAAGTAATCTGAGCGTACTGTGAGTTGACTCAGTCCTGCCGTCGTGCTCTTTGAGTAATCTATTCGTGTCGCTGTTGACCAAGAGACAGTCCGCATGCACAGTGCAGTGCGCCCCAGTTCCGAGTCTCAGGCCCAGGGCGCGACCATGCATGACTCTGTGTCATGAACTGCGCTTTGGACTACCACGTAGGTGGATCCGTCCTTCTGTGCCATGCACGAGCCATGTGCGCGACCTGATATAACTTAGGAAGTAACCTTGGCGCCTTCGACTCTTCCACGTTCCACCTTCGACCCACCTTCCCGGTGGAAAGGCGGATCAGCGATCAAACAATGTTCATTGTCCACCGACCACTCTATTTCAACTCATGCCCACCACCCTTCCTGCTCCTCCATGTGGTGGAACGGTAGTTGCGGGCTATGTCTGGCCTTGCTGTTCAGCAGTCAGCCATGACTGACAAGGCCGGCCCATGAGCATGAGACTCGCCGGCGTATAAAGGGCTGCCAGTCAGCATATTTCCACCGGATCGTTGCACAGACTGCCCATTTCTGCTCCACACTCTAGCTCTTGCACTCATTCTCATGTCGGTCCCTCTCAGCATCGGGGACATCGCAACAATCTTGTCGATGGCAAATTGCATGTATAGGGCCCTGAGCGACGCTCAGGGGTCAGCCAAAGACTACCAGGAGACGGTCAAGGAGGTGCACGGCTTTCGCGCTGATCTCGACATCATAAACAGTGTCGCAGTCCCTTTGGCTCTGGCTTCGAACGCCGCTGTGGCCGCATCCATCCGCGACAAGGTCGAGAAATGCGACGTCGTCACAAATAGATTCCTGGAAAGGGTCGAACGCTATGACGCTACGCTTGGAGCACGTCGCAGGCGAGGGAAGGTGTTTACACGTACATGCCGGAAGATCAGCTGGTGGCTCTGGCACGCAGAGGAGGCTTCCGAAGTCAAACAGCAGCTGAATGTGACAGCCAACAGCATCAGCATGATCCTTCAGGTGCTCAACCTGTAAGCTTTATCTCGTCGTCGCGCTAGCTACCAAGCTCAACAATGCCTGACTCAATATCCTGTTGCTAGCTCCGTCCTCTTAGACATGTCGAAGTCAATCAATGCACTCGTGGGTAGCAGGGAAACATCGGAAAGAGGCTGCACCGAGTCCACGGTATGTCTCAACCTGATAGTAACCGACCCCTTAGTGGACGACCACATCTAGGCGGAATACTACCATACACATTCAAAAGACGGCGGCAGCGGCCCTGGCGTATGCGGGCATACTATGCCGGATCACCGCGACTTTCGACTCGAAATGATTCTCCCCGTTCGCGACAAAGACCCGGTCTAATATCACGATTGGCGTCACAGCGGAACCACTCTGTGCGGCGACAAATCGGACAAGGGCGTCACCAAGAACTGGTTCATATGCATCCGGTGCGTACAACGCTCCGCTCACACTGGACGCTGCTAGATCGCTCCGCGTTCGCAGGCGCGTCTCAGAGCAAATTGATAATATATGACGACGCGACAATACGCAAGCAAATCACACATACGCCCCGTATCTCTCTCCTGATGTCAACATCACATATGCAGACTCGGTTGTAAACGTTCACCCTCGCGTTCACTGTACCACTATGCCAGTACCCAACGTATATCCCTATCCATGCGTCTGTTCAATCATGTAGCGTATGTGTACAGTAATGGTTCTGTTGCATGGGTGTTTGGCCCCGGAGTGCTAAAACACCCCTATACTGTCTTGACCTTCGATTTACGGCTTGTGTTGCGGGACGATGTGATCATATGCGATGTCATTGTACGAGCCTGTCAGTTCAATCTTGGAGCGTACTAGGATGACCACAACACATGGCCGGTTGCCATAACAGAACAGAAAATTATTGACAAAGATATCCAGCAGATGCATGGATCATCCGGGGAGGGAAGAATGGGTGTCATGGCCCACGGTATTGACCTAGATCGCACATTGTCTGTCTCACAATCGAGACAGCAGTGGTTACACCTCGTCATCCACTTGCACGATAAACCTCGCTTCCGGCTCTGCACCCACGTTCGCCATCGTCATAGTCTTTGGGCATATGTACCTGTGTTCCACGATCTCACCATCCTCCTCCGTATCGATCACCATTAGGAGCTGCGCCCTATGCGACACGGACACGGAGAGTTGAGCACCGAGGTTATTAGCACGCAGCCCTACGTACGCACCTATCATACAAGTCATCGATGTCGAACGTCCTGCAGGCTTGCGTGAGCACCTTCGAAACGGTGTGGCGTCCCCGCGTCTTGAACATCGTCTGCATGTCGTCGCTAGTGCCGTCGTCGTACTCGATGATGACGACGAAGCGCTCGTCGGGCCCGACTCGCGGATGCGGGAAAGGCGGTTCTGCGTACGTTGTCAGAAACAGACTTCAACGAGAATGCGGAGACGGGACAGTCCAAGCTCACCGGACGCTTGAGGTTTTGCAACTGGCTCTTCCTTGATAGCGGATTTGGGTGCGGTACTTCCCGTTGCGTCACGCTCCTGCTTAATTTTCGGCGACGGTGCTGCTGCTGCTTGTGAGACTATGTTCGCCGTCAGGTAGTGCTTGAGCAGAGCACTGGACTACGTACCGTTGCGCTGTTCCGACCCTCGTCGCTCAGTCTTTGACACTGGCGCCTTAGGGGATTGCGACGGCGGCGGTGATTGCTGCTGCTGCGGTGATGGCTGCCGCGGCGGTGACGCACTGTCCTCCTCGTCTACAACGAAAGATCCTTCTACTGCATCGTCCTCGCCGTCGTCTTCGTGTAGCTCGTCGTGAAGTTCGTCCTCGACCTCCTCATCCTCTTCATCTTCCGAAGCGATGACCTGGCGTCTGCCTACACTCCTGCTCCGGAAGACGACCGATTCCTCCTCCTCAAACTCATCGTTCTCCTCATCGAACTCCTCGTTAGGGGGAAGACTGGACTTCCTCGGACCGCTTCCTTGGCTGACTCTCGTAGAGCGTGGCGGCGAGAGCGGTGCAAACGAGCGGCGCGAAGTGCGGCGTCGGTTGCCTTCAGGCGCGAGGCTCATGCGAGACAAGCGCCTTGCTGCGTCTATCACGTCTTTTGTGGGTGCAGCTCCTACATCGTGTGTGATAACGCGATCCGGTTGAGGAGGTGCGACGCTCTTGCGTGGAGCTCTCTTCGGCTCTCGGGCATCCGTGTCAGAGGGCTCGACTATCACTGACGTGAGGACGGTCTTGACCGCGTCCCAAGCGTCGCTCGTAATCTCTACGTTGACCCCTTTGTTACCCGCGATTTCTTGAGTGTAGAAGCGCACACCGGACGCATCGACCGCGAGATCAAATGTTTGGTTAGCGATAGTGACAAGGTCCTGTGAGGGACGGAATGTGAGTCGGATTCGGTAGAGTACCCATACCTAAGTCATAAAGTACCTCATAGCTCCCAGGCAAACGGACCAGGACGCGTCGGGTGTGTGTTTCGCGCGTGTCGCTTGCAATCTGCAAGACGATCAGTTCTTGTGTTGATTTGATCTCTGGATCCTCGGGGGACCTAAATCGCATAGCTTGTGCAGTACAGAAAAACAAGCAAGCAAGAGCAAGAAAAGCAATTGAAGGTAGCGCAATTGGGCGGTAGATGGTATGAGAGCTGAAGGAACTCAACACGCGCTAGTCGCGTGTTGGCGCCGCGTAACGCGTCAGTCACCTGGTCGCGGGTGGAGTGCACGTGGATGACGCGTCTCGCGTGACGCGCCCGAGACGCGCGTATCTTGGGCTTGGCGCATAAGTATGTGGCGGTCCACCAGCCGATAGCCATCGCCACCTCCACCTCCTTTAAATCCTTGCTCTCGACGTCCACCTTCACTGAACTGAACCAAAACATCTGCATCTGAAGGAATCATGTCTTATGGCGTAAGTAATTGCATTCATTGGGGATATCTTATCTTACGGTCATCTCTGCCCAGCAATATGGTGGCGGATACGCACCTCCGACGGGCGCGCCACCCGGATACGGCGGAGGTGGGGGATATGGAGCAGGAGGACAACCTGGAGGCTTTGCGCCAAGGAGGGCAGCGGGCCCTCCGCCAGGGGTCGACCCCCAGTGAGTCACAGAGTCAAGTATCTGGAGGACGTCGCTGATCGTGTGGTGGCTCTGCTGTATAGGTTGTGGAACTGGTTCGCCGCTGTTGACTCGGACGGAAGCGGGCAGATCAGTGCCCATGAGCTACGTAAGTCCATCTCATGAGCTCGCTGTCGAATGCGGAATACGACTGAAATGCGGGGCCACAGAGAAGGCGCTCATCAATGGCGACTGGACGCCCTTTGACCTCGACACCGTGAAGATGCTCATGACCATCTTCGTTAGCACAACATCCATTCTATAAATACTGAAGCTGACCTCGCGAGAAGGATGTTGACCGCAGCGGATCGATCGGCTACAACGAGGTCCGTGCTCAGTAATCTGCTATCCTCCGCAGACGCCGACTGACCAACGCCCCCGCAGTTCGCCGGCCTGTGGAAGTACGTCAAGGACTGGCAGAACGTCTACCGCCACTTCGACCGCGACCGCTCCGGCACGATCGACGTGCGCGAGCTGCGCGATGCGCTGACGCAGTTTGGCTACAACCTCTCGCCGCGTCTGCTCGACCTGATCGAGCGCAAATACGGTGCGTCGTTTATTAGTCGCTTGCTCCGCAGCACCAACGCTCACTGCGCTACCCCCTGGGGGTAGACATACGTCAAGGTGCTGCCGGACACGGTCCCGCCAACGGCATCACGTTCGACCGCTTCGTGCGCGCGTGCGTCGCCGTCAAGCAGCTCACGGAGTCGTTCCAGCGCCTCGACGCGGACCGCGATGGCTGGGTGCAGCTCAACTATGAGCAGTTCATGTCCACCGTGCTTACTGCTCCGTGAGCCGCTACGACCGTTTTATATGAGCTGAGGATGGCGGAACCCGTGTTGCTGCAGAGAATCTGAAGAAGTCGGAGAGTCTGGAGAAGACGCTGAGGCTGAGATTTACATACGATGTACGATATAGTAATCGATCTTCCCATCCTTGCCTATATTGTGTGTCGTGTGCGTCTTCCCGCACATCACACCGCCGTCTCACCCGCGCATGGAGTCGTCGGAGAGATGTGAGTCGGAGCGGGGCAAGTTCATGTATCCATCTTGCATAATTGGTCTCAAGTATGTGAGGCCGTCTTACGGTCTAATTGCGCCTGTGGCATGGTGCATACCAAACTGTGCCTTTTCAGCACCGAGTTACCGTGAAGCGACTGATACTTACACAAAGTTTCCAGGCGAGGTGTCGACGCTGTCGGTCCTGAATCCGCTCCGGGCGATGCTAACATGCGTTATGCTCCCAAGCTCGAAGAGTCGAGAGTTTATGTTCTGTCATCAGAAACCTGGAGAAGTGGAGGTGCGTCTGGAAGTGAACACTACTCACGCAGCTTTGAGAAAGGAAAAATGCCGGGATTGACGGTTTGCTCCGGGACTCCTGCTGTTGCCGCGAGGATAGGTAGGGACGTCTTTCGGAGAGCCGATAGTCGAGCTCGAGCTCGATAGTCGGCAGTGCGTAAAGAGGTACCACCTCTCGCTGGACGAACTTTGCTGGTGCTGCAGAACGGACAGGAGTAATTTATGAGCAACCACGACACAAGTCGGACCCAGTTGCTACCTTCGCGACCGATCATGGTGGTCCCCCCTGGCTCTCAACCCGACCTTTTCGGATGGAGACACCATCATAGAGCGGCCCGTCACTGCGCAGCCAAGCTTTCCTCCGTGCGCTCAGTGGTGCGGCGGCGCCTTTGGGCTTGAGGTGCCTGGAGATAAGCGGCACCGAGCCTCCTGGAGATTAAATGGCACACGCTCGAGACGGTGTATTGGGCGTACCTAGTACCTACTTCGAAATCACCCTTCCGATCGCGACCCATTGTACGGGCCGCTGGGTGGGACGTCCTAGCTTACTGCGCTCATTATGCATCAGGAACGGAGCTAGAAGCATGGATTATTGACTGTCCGATGCCAGTGCGGCGGCTTGGATGAGTTATCGGTTTCGCGGTGCCTGGCTGGGTGCGCATTGGATACGTTCGGCGTCTTGGTTCCAAGTCAATGAATGATGAGGCTGAGGTCAGTGGTCATCGGTCTGTGGAGAGGCAAAGTTTGATGACGGACGGGCGAGTCAGTTTGGTCTAATAACAGGATCGATGCGTTGGCATGCGCGGATGCGGAAAGTAACGGACATTGCGAATGTGAGAGATCGTCGCGGGCAGATTGGCTCGGACAGGGCTTGGTCTGTCCCGCGCTGAGAACGAAGATAACATGAGCGGCCGCGGTGACGTGACGGTCCCAACAGATGATTGGTTACGAACTGCACATGATGGAAGATGGTCCGGATTTGCAAAGATATGGGATAGGAGCGCGATACGGGGATAGAGGGCAGGAAGAGTGGAGAGTGAAACGTTGCCCTGAATAACCACGTTCTATACTACCAGCGCACGAGCGTTGATAGCAGGCTGCGGGTTATGACAGGTGATCGGAGTCGACTACTTATATGTCCTGACAGGGGTTGTGCTGCCTACATTTCACTTGCCAGGCGGCGTAACGGCGAGAGTGAGTACTGTGATATTGCAAGTAAACTCGACAGGAATCCATACCGAGAGGGAGTTATTGGTTAAACGGTTTGCGCCATGACACGCCCATCCCGTAGGCTGTGCAATCGTCACAACTTGCGACTTTGACCCAGTACCAATATGTCGCTGCGCGACCATGATTGCTGTAATTGGGGTGAGCAACGCAGACTTCCTCTGAGTGACTGCAATATCAGACTCTTGATGTCTGTCGTTCCCTGATCATGACACAGCCCATGGTAGTCACTGCAAGTAAGCTCAACGCCGCGGCGCGAGAGAACAGGTCTCCTCACCGCAAAGGACAAGATTGGAGCCTCTTGAAGTTAGGCTCGGAGTGTAGCGACGATGTTGTTCCGTGCTACCAAATACAGAGGACGAACGATGATTGGATAGGCTTGTCCGTCCGGCGCAAGTCAAATTGAATAGTTGCTCCGAGGTCACCGAGATATGTCTTCGAATTGTATGACTATCTATAGATAGTTTTCTGCCTCCTTCCTGCTTTCGCTGAGTCTCTCTCTCTCGGTGGTTGGCCGTAAATCAGTTTGAAACAAATCCTTGTGGTCAGCGCGTCGCCATGGGCGTTGAGAGGATGGCGATCAGCGGGAGGCGGGCGGAGAATATATCTAGAATTAATGGGGCCGCGTCGCGCCCGATCTGATCTTCGTAGGATGGTCCCGGGCGCCTGGCGGGGTCTCTAGCCGAATCGGGGGGTGCCTGGATCGAATTCGAGCCGTGGGTGGCTCGTTCGTCCGCTCGTGTCCTCCGTTCAGGTTTCCGCCCTCTCGTCTCCTCGTCGTCCTCGCCGCCGTCCCCCGCCCCTGCCATCCCGCCCGACTACCAGACGTGCTCGTCGTCGTGGACGACGCCCCAGACAGACCCTACCCACGCGGAAGAGAATTCGGGGACGCCCGCACACGCCGCCCTGGCGGGGCCAAGTAATGAGCAACGCATCGCCCACCGCGTACCTCCTGTGGGCCATCCTCTCCGTTCTCGTGCGTGTCTATGCTTCCTCGCGTCCTCGGGCACGTCCAACATTGATATGCTCGATTCTGTCATACATGTGTGATCCAACGCGTGGTCGCCTCTTATGTCCGCGTGTTGCATATGCATGCTGCATGGGCTCCTGTGGGTGCTGCGTGGTGCCCCAACGGTACGTGATACTGCCTTTGGAACGAACTCGGATGGCTTGCATTTGGTGTCGGGCAGTTCCTCGGCTTTCTGATATACCACCTCTGGAGCTACGACCGTTTCCAGTGTCTCCGCTGGTCGGCCGGCCGCCAGCCGGGCGCGTTCAAGCGTGTCATGACTGTGCGTCGCCCTCGTTCTCTCTTTTGCACGCGTTTTGCTCACGGCGGGTTATGAATTACTCATTTGCGTGCATATATGCGTGCTTGGGTGCGGTATATGCGTGGTGGTCACAATAGTATTCATATCTAGCAAGCGTGCCGCTGTTCACAATATACAGCATCGCCTATACGGTGTTGAAGTACCGCGAAGGTGTGTCATTAATCTCCTCGCAACGCAGGGCCTACCACCCTGTCTCGCACACGCCGCTCGCCGTGAGCCTCCCTGCTGACACGATGCATGCTCCACCAGGCTTCGTCGTGTTACCCACGACAAATATAAGTGCGTATATGTGTACTTTCGTTATTCACCCCTCACTCACTGTGCGTGTCATCTATGTTGTTCCACTGCTCCCTTCCCTGCCCCCTCGGTGCCCCGATACCCCGCTGACTCCGGTGCTGTCTCATTTCCTCTGTCGTTCTGACCTGTCACGGCTTCATCTACCGAAATGTCTGGTCCCCGACTTGCCCTACTGATCCGGCGACACCTCGTCCCCCCGTACCACTTGTTGATGGGCTTCCTGTCGGCTACGCTCCGCCTCGCTGGACGCCTACGCTAACTCGCCCATCTCTGCTCTACCTTGGCTACGGATTCTCTGATCTACTCAACTGGCTCGGGACTGACATTCACGACCCAACCGAAATTATTCGGTACTGCCTCGATGGTCCGCATCGCACCCTTCCTGTGCCCATCACACTCCCGTACTCCCGTCCCCACCCACTTACCCCGACCGACTCGGCGCATCCCTTACCTCCGACGGAATTCATCCCCTGCCAATCGCTGCCGTGGCCTGGCCGTCCGTCCTTTGCGCGTCTCCGTCTCGGTGATGGTTTGGCGTTCCCCCACATTGACGCGTCGCCTCACTTCGTCCTGGCCATTTTCACTATGGTGTCGATATGATCATGCGACGCTGCCTCGGATCTCAACCATCAATTATCGGCGGGGTTTCAACTGTGCTATTTCTGCTGCTGCGTCGTAACGGTGGTTTGTTTGATTGCCGGTTGGTCTCGCGCGTCTACTGTGCTTTCCCGCTCTCCGGGTCTCTCGCTCTGAATGCTCTGCGTGTCGTGCAAAACCGTTGACATGCTGGACGACTGCATCGACTGCTCTTTATATGCAAATATGTGGTAACATTTGCTCTGCTGGCGCTAATAGTCTTCCCTCGCCCGATCGAGATGTATAGCGACCCTTCGCGGTCGTGGATCCTCCCGCTGAACTTCATCTTCAGCTTTGCTTGGGCACTCGAGCTGTGCGTATATTCAATCATCTTCCTGTATCGTCACGCTCATCGCATTCTGACCTGGCGTTGATGCATGAAGGGTAACCCATCTTGAAGGTCTGTCCTCTCTGATCATCGGCTGTCTTGGTTATGTGATGGACGACTGACGTATTGATGCATGGTTTGCGTAATCCAGAGCTCGCTTTCTGGCTGTACCTCCTCCATCAGAACCCTGACAAGGGCGAGTGGTTCGAGAGCTGGGAGTACAAGTTCTGGTACTGGGGTGCGTGTGTATGCATCTAGCCTCATGCGACTCACGAACACTCATCATCACTAGGGAGTATCGTTTCGATCATTGGGATGCCGTTGACGTGCATGATCGCACGGAGACACCTGAACACGGTATGTACACCCGCGTGCGGTTGGCCATCCGTCGCTCCTCATTCCCAGTCTCATTCGGCGTGCATCCCCTGCAGCTCGACGCGTACATCTTCCTGAGCGGCTCGGGCGGCTCGCTGAGCACGACAGTCGCGTTCCTGTACGTCCTCTGGCGCTTTCCGCGCTTCATCCGGCACGTCAAGGCGGAGGGTGCGGACCCGACGGTCGTCGTCCGGTTGGCGACGTTCTATCAGCTCAACGTCAGTGCGCGCTTCTTCGTATCTTCGCTCGCGGGTATGGTGCTGATCGGGTGGATGGGGTAGCTCGCGAGAGTGGTGTTTAGGTTCTTGTTTACGGTGCCGCTGTTGATGCTCGCGTTGGATGGGATCATTGGGCAGAGCCATCCACTGAACTCGCATCTGTACGTGGCTTTCTATTTCTTCGGTATATGGCGTGTGAGGCTGATGGGCTTGAAGGGTGTCGGCAGGTATGATCGCTTTTGGATGATTGAACGAGTGCAACGAATGACGTGTTGGGTGATAGACTTCCTGGTTATGATTGGGGGAGTGGGGTGTTTCGTCTCATCCGCGATCACACTCTTGGTGCGTTGCTCTTCAATGACGATTCCTACGGTTGCTCACCAGTCGTCATGTGTTCCCGTTCTCCCGCTCTCTTGACGTACGGCTTTCTCGATTCATGCTATCGCAGATATTCTTCCCGCGCTCGATCCTGCGCGAGGCCGGCTATAAGCCCAAAGCGACATCGACGTCCACTGTACACCACTCACCCAAAGCACACAGCACTCCCATCCTCGCCCACGCACCCTCGCTTTCCCTATCACATGCGCCGTCGATAACACACTCAGCTCCTGTCCTCTCATCGTCCCTCTCTCCATCCACCTCTGCATATTTCTCAAGCCACCCTCATTTCACGGGCGCCCTTTCCCACCCTCAGCTACACCATATCGCGAGCCTCGACCAGTTGCCACGGACACAAGGATATGCACAGCAACATTTTTCTGCAGCGGGTGGGGTGGGTATGGGCGCGGTAGGTGGCGGGATGGGCCCGATAGCGGGACCAAGTTCCTGGGAGGGCGAGCCACCAAGCGGGGCGGTGAGTCCATATGAGAGTATGATCGACGTGGCTGTGGGCAGGGGCGGGACGATTGAGGAGGCAGACGAGGACATTGACGAGGAAGGGAACGGCGACGCGCCGCCGTACTCGCATACGCACATACAAAACTCCCACTACCATGCCCAGCATGACCACCCGCGGGACCACCATCCACATCCCCGCCCACACTCATTTCCGTATCCACGGAACTCGCAGACGCAGACGCCGCCGCCCTCGTCATCCTCGCCGCCCTCGCGGCCACATTCACAGATCATCCTGCCGACAACGGCGGGCGCTTGGTCTCCTCAGGAAGCACCAGCGCACTCCGCCCTACACCAGCGCCACCCCTTTCCGCACTCACTATCTCCACTACAAATACCACAACATGCGTTGTCCCCACCAAACTCGCCGACGGCGGTGCGCGTCGCGATTCCACCACTAGCGCGCCAGCCGTCGGCGTCTGCTCACTCGCCGGCGTGGGCGGAGAGCGTTAACGTCGCACGACGCGCGAGCTCATATGTGTCGACGAAGCCGTTGCTTAGAGAGGGCGAGAATGAGCTGCAGTTGCGGCATAGCGGGAGCGATCGGGGGCGGGAACGCGAGGAGCGGCGATGGGGCGCGACGCGCGAGGGGTATAGGAGAGGTGCCCCGAGGCTACATCCTTATGTGATGACTTTCACGAGTCCAATCGGTGGGTGTCTTGTTCATGCTTTAGTGGTCGACGTATGCTCAACGGTTGTTTGTTGGCGCTGGCGTAGATTTGGTGGACTTGTCGATGCCCGAGGAGCTCCCGGGCGAAGTGCCGTCCGGACGAAGATCACCGTGACCTCTCAGTTGCTGTGCCCTTTCTCGTGCGCTCATGCATCCTCATCGGCGCATATTCCCTGGATACCCTCATCTGTTCCTTGCTCTGCTCCGCGCTGTCGACATCGTCTCGTTGGTCCTGGACCGACTCTAGCTGTCCACCTGCAGTGGTATGAGTCGGGGTGGACTAGTCCACGTCGGACAATTGGCTCGACGGACACTGGGTGATGGCACATCCAGAGGTTGTCTGCGGGTGGGCGTTGGAGTCTGTAGAGTAATATATTGCTCGTGACTCATACTTGAGGTGCTCCGTGGGTTGCGGCGCATGTAGTGCGTCGCTATTGGGGTCGATGTAGAGGGAGAGCATTGGCATCGGCGCACGCGCTTGGCTTGCATTGGGATGGTGGTTTGGTTAGGAGTGGACCTAGGATAGCGCCTGTGCTAATGTCTGTATCACTGATCCCGCTCTTGCACTTACATTGTCGGATTCTTGCAGTGGATAGTATACCCAGTATTGCATGTTGTATGTATAGTATTTCATGCCACACAGCAACAAACCGCGAGAGTGGAACACGGACAACGGTACATGGGTCAGGATGCTACTGTACAAACATGCGGCACTATCCCGAACTGGTCATTCAGAGTCTGAATTTGGCGTGGAGTCGGAGAATGACCCTGCCCTGCCCACAAGAACCTTTCCTCGCGGCTTGAAGCCCCGCAATATTGCCTTTCGGCGGTGCTTCTCTGGACCGTAACATGATAGTCGACTACGACAAGAGACATCGAGTATGTTGCGATCATGCCAGGGGCGAAGTAGATGCTGTGTTTTATGCATCACAATCCGCATGGCTTTTGAGAATTCGGATTGATTCCACATGCGCCGGTCTTGAGCAACGGAGAATTGAACGTCGACGTCGGCGAGCCGGTTGAAACAGGGTGTGCCGATCAAGGCGAGCAACTCGCGTTGCATTTGGTAGTCATGAGGTGTCCAATCGAGCCTGTCCGTCTTATGACCGTAATATTCCACTGCCGAGGACAGGTCGACGATGAGACTGAGCCGTTCCAGGTGACAATTGAGGAGACTAGACAGAATTTGATGTAATTGGTCGACAAGTCTTAGAGATGATGGCGTAGTCCCCGTATTGGTTTGTACATTCAAGGCTCTGTAGCCAAGCTGCAGGAAACGCAGATTGACGCCGTGCAGCATGAAGAGACAGCAGGGATAACCTGGAAGTCCTGGTTAGCAACTGTAAGAACTCTGAGCACAAAGGTTTCGTTACCTGGCCCGGAGTCAATCAGGCGTAACTGCTCTATGGATGGTCGGACTGCTTGGAGCAGTTCTGTAATAGCCGTCAGATTGACGGCGAAGTCCTGCTCCACGCATAAGAAAGTGATGCTTTCGCAAGCATTCGAGGAAACCAGCCAATCTGCAAGTCGCTCGAGTAAATTTGTCTCGAGGGATATGATTGTGAGCCTCTTGAGCTTCGGTACAGAAGCAGGACAGTGGACCGTAAAAGCCGGTCTCCCCGTGTTGCGCTGTGCTGACGGCCCAGCAAAGATCCCACGAGCAAGCTCGAGCTCTGTTAGTGCTGGTAGAGCACAGATGATGCGCGTCAAACTGGCGATGCTACCAAGAGCAAAGCTCCGCAATGCCAAGTGCGTGACGCGCTTGAACCGATGAAGAGATTGAGCAAACTTGAAACTGTGGTAGGCCTCCCTCCGAGGGCACCCTTGGAGAGTAAGGCTTTCTACGTTGGGACAGAATGGGGCCAAGACGAGAGGCGTGGCGTGAAAAAAGCTCCGATCATTGTCGCTGGGCGAGATAGACAGACTTCGTGTCCGGTGAAGGAGCGTTCGAACGCTGGGAAATTGGCGTGAAATGCGGACCAACTGATCGAATTGACGGCGGCTGCAGAGGGAAATGTCGCTATAGAAGAAGCGAACGCTGGTGCCGTACCAATGTCGACACACGGACATACATGCCCGCAGAGTTCGTCTGTCGTCTCCTAGAAAACTGATGATGATGTCGATGAGTTCGATGGGTATGCGATCGGTGATTCGTCGAGGCAGGGAGTATAGCATGGGTCTTCGCCCGTCAGCACGACGCGGAAATCCCCAGTAATAGTTGGCCCAATCGACGTCGTCTGGGAAGAGGTGATCATGAGGTGCTGTAACAGGCGAGACAGAACGCTGCTTGGGCGGCGTGTCTGGCGATTGGACAGAGCTGTAAAGCGGGCTGCGAGGACGAACGAGTCAGAAGGTGAGGTTTGTTCAATTACGTGGCATGAGGCTGTCGCACGACGTACATGTAGCTCGGATTACTCCATCGGTCCTGAGGAAAGAGAACGTGACGTGAAGGTGCATCCTGGCTCGCGTTGAAGAGCGGGTGTGCAGGATAGCAGCGCGAATCATCGGTCGCATCGATGCTTGTATGACGTATACGTTTGTCGGCTCGGCGTACACCTCTAGCATACGCTCGTTTCCTGAGTTCCAGCCAAATTTTCGACGATTGTGATTCACAAAATCGGTCTTGTGTCTCGGTTTCGCATCCAGTCATGTATCGCAGTGAGCACGCCCTATGGACATACCTGTGGAGGAAGAATGAGTTGATGACTTTCTGGGTAAGGCGGAGAAGAACTTTACATGTTCCTAGTCGCGTCCCCCAAATACTCGAAAACGTCGCAGATATGCATGAACGTTCTGAGGTCCATGACGCTCCCGGTACTCCGAAGGACTTGGTGCAGGCGACGGGCTAACAAGTGTACATGTTTCCCATACCCGTGTGTTTCGCAGTTCAAGCAATACATTGGATAGATTTTTGCGAGCACGATGGATACGCCAAGAGCATGAAGTGTCGGAGGGTGTTCAGATATGCATTCTTCATTTATGAGGCTGTGAACCACGAGGGGGTGTTCGTTGCTGGACCGCAGGGCGTCTCCACTGAAACGATGGTCAGCGAGAAAGCATCTGTGACTCAGGGAACCGGGGTACCGATGCATCATAGGGGTAGACGACTACAACTTGGATGTCCAGAGAGAGCAATACGTCGTGCACTAGTCTCAGACGCCCTGTGTCAAGATGGGGGGCGTACCTTTATACCATAGCCTTCGACACCATGGTCACCACTCTTATAGTCCTAGTCAAAAGGTCCACAATACTGACTACTTGGGGGCGCAGAGTTCTGTCCGCCAGGGTGTGCACGACTGCAGACGAAGAGTTCAGTATAACCTTATTTGTGGAGCATCAAGTTACGACACTGCAACAGATGTTCATACACACCTATGCAGTTAAGCCAGGTGAGCGCGTTTTGTGGACCTGGATATAGACGGCTTCATTCGTAGTTGTAGTCGGATCAGGTCATGTACCACAACACAACAGGCGAACGTGGATGGTGTACTCACAAGTATCGTCCTCCAATGGTGGACGACGTCCTCGAAGACCAGCTGAGGCAGTGACCTGGGGGTTGGTGGTCCCGATGCGATGTGTGGAAGCGCTCATGTCATTTAGCGCCGGCTCTGGGTCGCTGGGATGGGGTACCGTGTTGTACACAGTGGTCTGAACGTTTCTTCGATCCTATGTGTGAATTCAGCACATCGCTACTGCAAGGGAAGATTACTTGCTGATCAAAGAGGTCGAAGTTGTTCGCTCGTCAATTGCTAGACCTTGAAGCTTGAAGGGTTCCGAGGACCGTGGCGGTAGTAATCAGTACGGGGCCTTGACCCGATTCGATCCTAGCAGAGCATGGACTCCTTCAATGGGTTGTTCTCTACATACCACATGCGAGTCACAACGATGGGCCTCCAGAGTCAGTAGACACAGGTAGGTTGACCTCGAGGCAACGCTGTGACGCTGAACGACTCGGATGGTCGCTTCCGAACGAGATATACGATACTGAGCTTATACTGAGCTTACCTTATCACATATGTACTCCTTGTGCAACAGAAGCAACGTCATAAAAGACGCGCTCAGACAGAATGGTCGCGCACTTCGGTGGCGGTCGAAGCACTGGGTTGTCGTGTCTCCTGCAAGTGAACAGGGAACATAGGGCAAAATTGGATTTCATACACGAGATGCATTAGCTCATACCGAGTAAAGAGACCGTTGGTTGACATCTCGTGGTGCGCGCGCATGGACTACAATTTATTGACCTCGGAAAGTAGCGGTTGAGGTCAGCTCCGTCGCCCGAAACTTCCTCATCCCCGGTCATCCTGTTGAGGACAAAACAGAAGTCACAGAGCAAGAAGAGGAGACGCCTTGGTTGCGCATAAGGTTGACTGACTCATTATGAGTTAAGTTACTTACTGGTGTGGAGGAGGTCTCAGGAGGAGGAGGAGGAGGAGGGGATCCATTTAGCCGTGGAGTGACACTGACAGCACGTGCCTGCGAAGGACGTCGTTACCGAATTTGGCAATGCGAGTCGTCGATCAGTGGAATGCTCGTTTTCTCAAACTCTAATGATCTCACTGTTCCGCTTACTACATAAAGTCCAACTCTACTTGGCTCCTCCTAGCGGTGTCGCCTGACGACCGTGGTGATCATCCAGAACTAGTCTAAACGAATATCGAAGACACGGAAGAGCGCGGAAGGTGGGTACCACAGTGATCCTGCATGCGCGTGCAAGACATGAGTTTCTGAAGTCTGAAACGTCTGCCATAGAGAACCATTTGTTGCTGGGGAAAATCGCATAGCCCAGGAGCGACATTCCTCAGGGTCGTATCATGCACACGGCCCGGCGATTGCTGCGTACTAGAGCACTGCCTACTAGTACGCTTCGGCCCTTCAGAAGTCGCACACATGAGCCTACAATTCTTGGGCGGCGATTTCTGATCGGGCTACAAGCCTCATGTCAAGGCGTCTGAACCCTATTGTCCATTGGTCGAGGATAATCCACACTTGGAAGGCGCTGCAATCGTGCGTCGATGTCAAGCTTGTCCGGACAGCCTCATAGGCTTCGTCGCTCAGCATGCTCTTCGCACATGTATGCCGCATGTACTCGCAGCTGAGTCTATTCCTATCGGAAGTCCGGCAGGGCGCGGTCGGACTTGTATTTGCTAGAGGTTAAGGATCGGAGGCTGCTGCTCCTCCCGTACCTTCACACAACGTGGACCTCCTCTCCAGTCACAAACACTAGGACTGCTTCAAAGGACCTCGCCGCTGTGCCCATGGCCAGCGGCAACAGTTACAATGTCTTGGGCGTCGTTACGGGGGTGCTAGGCGTCTTTGGACTTGTTCCGGCGTCCTACATGCTCGCAAAGAGCCAACTACCGATGGCAAAAGCCAAAGACCTGGAGATCCTCCTGTCTGAAACAACTGAACTGCTGCGTTCAGTAGCTGAGGAGGGGCTCCTCAGCAGCCCCGAATTCATCGACGGTACTAGGCGGACTCTCGCTAGGTACGTATCATCTCGTGCAGTGGACCTACCTGGCCTTAATCAGCTTGCAGGATTCAGTCTCGATCCAATGAGCTTAGGCTCAGCGCTTACAGCGCTACATCCACAGTGCAGCAGGCCAAAGGTCTCTTCTGTGGATTGTCATACGCACTCCACCGCCTTGGTAACGAGGTGAAGCAAGTACGTGCGATGATTTCGGTACGCTCAAAGTACAATCTTGTAGAAGCGTCAAGCGATCTCACGAGTCCTGCAGAATCGATGCAATCACGTTGAACACAGGCGGCGTGGAGTCTTCGAGGCCAGCCTACCCCTCACTCCCATAACGGAATCATCGTCTGGCGCGGACGAGCACGCCGTCTACGATCGCGCGGACAATCGCGCCGTCGATGATGATCGCAGTCTCAGCAATTGAGGAGAGTCGAGGAGACTCGGAACTATCAATTGGAGTGGTGACGCTCCCGTACCTCGTGCGGAGTCCAAGCTCGACTGTGCATGGTGTACCGGAGCACCACAATCTACCAAGGATGGTCCGTCTTTCGTTCCACCCGTATCGATAAGCATGGCTGACCGTACAGCCAGGATTCTCTTCTTGCGAACACTGATAAGACGGCGTCGACGGGCGAGCTGGATTCGGAGATCGCGCCGCGGCAGCTGAGGACTGTCTCTGCACGAAGTCGACACGTTTGTACAATTACTATTCCCCAGCGCATGTTCATCACGTATGCCTTCTATCATCCAACGAACGCTATGCATCGCTTTCCTCATGCTTTCTACCCCCCGTACTTCCACCACCTCGTGCTTTCCCCCTCCCTCGTACTTTCCACCCCTCGTATCTTCCACCCTGCTGTGCTTTGCTTGCATTGCATCACATCCAATTGATACCCAGCTGTGTTGCATATTTCCATACTCGTGCCACTCCGATGATGCGAGAGAACATACATTCATAATTACATCCTAATGTGGCTTTCGCGTCTAGTCGCAATCGCTATACAAACTACATTCCGAGAGGACCTTCCTTCTCCATGCATAAAGCAGCACCCAACGCAGAAATCGGCCTTCTACCCAGCTTCGCTATATGGACCACAACCACTTCCCACCACTGCTCGAGTCTCGATGTCGACATATTAAACATCTGAGACTCGCGCGTCACATATACGCATAGTTGAACCGGACCGGTAACAACGATAAACGGGTGGGAGCCGGTGGTCTGTTTGCAGAAAGATGAACGGTGTTTCAGTGTAGTGGGATAGGGAGATGTCGAACCTGATGCCGATAGGGCCTTCAGACCAGGGGGCCCTTCTCCGGAGCTTGCAGATTGTTTTCAACATCGGATTGATACTGCTCGATCGGGACCGATTTCTGACACAGCACCTTTCATCAGTGACAAGCACGATACTTCAAGAGCGTACTACTCACAGCAATGTTGACGCGTAGGTTCTTCGCCCGGTTCTGCAGACGGTAGATGTCGTACAACAACCCGAATATAATCGCGTGTAGTTGCTGCAACGGCGTCCCTGCACGGTACGTGAGTATCTTGAGGTCCAAGGCGTGTCGTTCCATACTAGGGTCCACGAATCAATTTAGGTTGAGCCGAACACTGCAGTAGCGGTAGGACGTACATCCTCAGAGCTTTGTAGGTCTCGGCGATATACTGAGGGTCATGCAGCCGACCGCTCTCGATAACCATCTCAAGTAAACTCCTGGTGTCATCAAGAATCTCGTCAAGCTCTTTAATCTGTCGCTTGGGCATCTGAGAAGAAACGGCGTGGCCGAGTACACAGGCCACGA